AATCCTTGCAACACCCTAGTAAGATTGGTCAGTGCTGTTAGTCCCATAATGCAGAGGGTTGCCCATAGCTAGTTAATTAACTTTGAAATCATAAATGTGAATTTCTCATTTTGGAACCAGGCGTCTCTTGGTGTTTCCACAGCATTGTAGCAATTAGCAAGGCGCTGTGGCTCAAATGAGTAAAGGCAGCCAGCTCCCTCCTGCACATTTGTAAGATAAGCCTCTGGAAGCAGGTCACAGGAGATCAATTCCAGTAAGGTCTGAATCCTTCATCTCCCTTTTAGGAACCAAGCCCTGGGCCCAAGGAGGTCCCCATCTATCTACAGCTAGTGTCCCAAGCAGTATAACCAAGGTAGCACTTCCTGGTGTTGTTGTAGTTGTTGTTTAAAAAAAGGTGGGCTAAGGCTCAAATTAATGTTGGAGTAGATGACCCTTGGGGTCCCTTCCAACTGTACAGTTCCATGTTTCTATGTTCATTGGCCTGGAAGCCTTCCCTTCTAATACCAAGATTAGAAGGAGCAGACTGTAGGTTCTTGGTTGTGAAGAAAAGGCGCTTGAAGCATATGCAGAGTGGCATTCATCTTCATTATTAATTTGTATCATGGATGGCCAATGTAGTGCTATCCAACTGATGCTGAACTCCAACTTCCATCTGCCCCAGCCAGCATGGCTAATGGTCAGGAACGATGGGAGTTATAGTTCAACATCTGGAGGGCAGCGTGTTGGCTATCCCTGACTTATATGTTGCAGGGTCAAGATTCCTATTCAAAACTGTCTCAAATAAAGCTCTGCTTCAAGGCCATCTTGAATTTCCCCTTTATTTTAGACTATTGGACCCAAATTGCAGTGACTTGATGGGGAGGGGTAATAGTAGCAGGGGTCCCCCGCATATTCTAATTCACATGCTTGTGTGGCTGCAAATCCAGTGCTGAAAGGACGATCTGCAGTCAGCCCAGTTCAAATAGAGCCTGGTGTTTTTTCTTGCCGTTTTTACTTTTGGCAAGAGGTGGCGCGTGGAGAATAGGGGTGCAGGATTCGTGTCCAGGCCTTGATAGGAAGAAGCATCTCTCCCGCGTCTCAGATGGCTGCCCACATCTCGATCCGCAGCTGCCGCCCCGCAACCCTGAGCTTAATGAGCCTGCAGTAGGCACAGCACTCAACCTCTCCCCCCCCCCCTTTTTTTTCCCTTTCCCCCTAATCACCACCCTGAAATTCCAGGCTGCTGGCAGGCACAGCAAAAATTACTTTCTCCATTTTTTTTTTTTAAAAAAGGGCAGGCGCCTGCCAAGAGAAACTCGGAATGGAGCAGAAGGCAGGGAGACTTGGGGAGCCTTAATGATGCTCCGCCAGAAATCCTGCCGGCAGCAGGGAAAGAAAGAAAAGAAACAAGCCAAGAGAGATGTTTGCAACTCCAAGCCTTGACCCGGCTAACAGCTTGCAGCTCCAAGGGTGTTAATCCCCACTCCCCAGTCTCTCAGCAGAGGAAATAGCAAGAGTTTGGAGGAGCCAGAAAGCAAGAGACAACCCTGCAACAAAACAAAGGGAGGCACTCTCCTCTGGGGGCAGATTTTGGGGCTCCCATTAAAGGTGGAAAGTAGAGCAGCCTGGCCAGCAACTTCTCCAGTGCAAACCCCACTGAATTGAGAGAGAATAGCTTTGAGTATGTGCAGGATATATTTTTTGCCTCCCTAAATCGCCAAGCAGCATGGTTGGATTTGGAATAAGCCCATGTTGAAAGTGCGATAGACACAATCTGTGCTGAAGTTATCCAGGGAGCCTTGAGAAGGAGAAGGAAAAGCCAGCACTTGAGCTAAGATCTCGTTAAGAATCAAGGAACCTCCAGGCCAAGTTAGTCCCTTACAGGAACTAAATGGATCTCTGCACAGCAGGGAGGCTAAACCAGCTTTAACCTAAAAATAAAGCCTGCAGATGTTGATATTGCTGTGGCACTCCTTGCAGAGAACCATTTCCTTTAACACATTCAACCCTGCACATTTGTACTACACCATTTCTAAAGGCAAAGGGCGGCTGCACTTATTACTGCCTAGATCTACAATCCCTGCCTTTTAATCCCGGCTGTATTGAGACTAGACACATTAAATGGAATTCATCCCAACTCTCATCAGCCCCAGCCAGCATGGCCAGTGATCAGGGATGATGGGAGTTGTAGTCAAATGGTTGGAGTACCACAGGTTCCCCACACCTACTATGCAGACTTAAAAGGCACTCAGTACGCTCAAAAGGTTTCTTATTCAATGTTTTAGTGTTACATTCCTAGCTTTGGCCCTCCTGTTGCAAACATGCCAGAGGCTCAGCGCTGCTGAATCTCCCCTCAAAGTCTCATTTAAATTCTTGGTTTGTGTAGCAACAGGCACCAGGGCTCACTTTTACCTTGTCTAAGGTTTGTTAGGGACTGGCTGCCATTTCACCATGGGGAAGGAAAAGGTGTTCTACATACCCAGGACTCTCTAGCCAGCTCACAGTTGTAGAGAGAAAGTTATCAGATAATGAGAATCCAGTGAATGCTAAGATAAATGTTACATTGCTAGATCAAATCAAGATCTACATAGCCTAGCTGTCTGTCTCTAAACAGTGGCTAGCCAGCTGCCTTTGGAAACTCTCAAGCAGGATGCAGAAGAGATCACCATTCCTCACTTGCCCTCAGCAGCTGGTAGTCAGATATGCTGACCCTGAACATGAGAGGTGCCATTCACCAATCACAGCTCATAGCTATCCACAGATCGTCCTATATAAATTAGTATACTCCCATTTTGAATACATGTGGGTTCCCTCTTCATGCTGTGAGCACCTTGTTTCCTATGCCAAGTAGGTAACACCCGCCCCAACTCAGGATAGGAGCCATTCAACTACACAGAATGAGGTGGTAAGAGTTCTGGACTGTACTACTTCAGACTGCAGGTGGAGGGGGCTGGGGGGGAAATACTCCCCCACTTAGAAAATAAGACTCCCTGCATGGAGAAAGCTAGCATGTCAATAACTTACAGTGCAGGCCTCTCCTGGCAGTGTTCCTGTTCTTCTTCCAAGGAGTTGCGTTGGTTGTCTTTGCATGGAGGAGCAATGGAAAATGAGCATCATCAGCACCTATAAACTGAAGTGCATCTCTGGACTCTACCACCTCATTCTGCTGTGTGCTTGGAAGCCAAAAAGCCATCAACACATTCTACAACATGTCTGCTACTGATTGCACAAACTTTAGTTTGTCCTGAATCTATAGTGTAATATAGACACTGAAAGTGTCTTTGGCCTGAACCTGGGCATAAAATGAAGCCCTGCCTAACTTGCACTGGTTCCCTACTGGGTGTCTCATCATCTCTCTCCAAATACACTCGAGAAGAGAGAGAGCACCATGCGGAAAGGGGAGGGAAGACTTGTGTTGAGTTTTCAGGAGGGTGGGAAATCAAATCTCCGAACAGCTCCGAATGACTGTCTGGAAGCTTCGAAAGCTGAGCTGGCAAGGGCAGGTGGTTGCACAGCTGCGCCATTTGGATCATGCGCTCTCATCAATATTCATGAGGCAGCCCGGCCAATCAGGAGAGTAGCTGTCATTAGTGAGCATCTGGCTAGTGAGGAGAGGTTTATTCTGTTTTTGTTTTTTGAAGTGAACTTCTTTTGACATTTTGAGAATTTTCCTCTGTAGGTTTCAAAGTCCTCTTTGCCCACCCTCCACCTGCGCATTTGGCTTGATCCCTTTTGTGGCGCACAAGGCCCAAAAGCCCCCTGCAATGTAAAGCCATAACTAAGGAGAGGCAGAGGAGATGTGAAATTTGGGGGCGGTGGTGGAGGGCCTCCAGAGGTATCACATCTCAATTTTTTAAAGTAATAATGAGTGCCTAGTCTGATATAGCCTCAGCCGCATGACTACTTCCTACAATGCTCCACTAACTTAAGACTCTAACAGAAGACAGCAAGACTGTGCCAGAAGTACTTGTGTCAGAAGTAGCACATCAGCAACCCCCTTGCACATGACCTTGGGTTCTTTTGGCACCAGAAGGGCATGAAAAGGAGCCATGCTGCAGCAGCAACTATGCAGCTGAAATAATATAGAGGAACTTAAATAGATACATGGCACTGTACTTATTGCTCAAAGCACTTCATGTACATGATATCATTAATCCTTAGCATCCCTAGTAAGGAAGGCCAGCATTATTATCCCTATGTTACAGGCAAAGAGGGAAGGCCAGTGAATAATACCATCTCTTAAATCTACTCGGTGAGTTCTTGACCAAGCTGAAATTTGAACTGGGGGACTTCTGTCTCTTACCTACTATGCTGTGCAGCCATGAATCATCAAGTTGAAATAGACTAGAAGTCCATTTGGGTGTAAATCCCTACAAAACAAATTCATGTATCCAGCAACAGCCCAAACACCAACATCAACGTAATCCAAAATACCACATGCCACAAGCAGAGGCCAAGTTCATGACAGAAAACAGCTTACTAAGCAAATTATGGCTGGTTGGGGCTGATGGGAATTGGAATTCAACAACATCTAGACAGCCACAGATCCCCGAAAGCTGCTACAAGATTTTTAAAAATCCCAGATTCATGATCTATCCGACTTGCCAGTAAAACCTTTTCTTACCTCCAGATATATCAGTCTTTCAGCCAAGGAAACATATCCATGCCAAGTGAAAACTAACTGACAAATCACCCCATCACCAAAACACTCTCCTGTTTGCCCCAATATCATAAGAGACCTTCCCTGTTTCTATATTCAGGGCTGCCCATTTTTTATGCCTTTAGTGAAAGGTTAACCAAAACCTTACCAGGGACACTGGAGTCTCCAATGTCTCCTAAATAATAATAATATTTAACCTGGATTGGCTCTAACTCCTCCTATTATAACATGCCCCTAGCCAAGCACCTGAACTATCCACTGGCAATCCATGCATAATATGATAGGTGCTACGAGTGTGGGATGAGGTTGGCAGAGGTTATTCACAAGGGAACTGCATTTTGCACAATGTTTTACCTTTGCCTCAGATTAAAGCACTGCTTGTAAGAGAAAAGGTTAAATCAAACATTCTCAGGTTGGGTAAAAAGCAAAGCACTGTAAATGGACATCGCCTGGAAATGTTATCCTTTTTTATTTTTGCAAGTATACACATTTCTGAAAATTCACATATACAGTATCTTAGAGGATGTTCTCTCTGTGCACCTGTTGCTGCAAGGGATCTCCTTCTCTGTGCTGCAATCTGTGGCTGTTGGAGAGTGTGCATGAATGAAACAAAATCCCTTCCTGCTTCATCAGTACTCAAGGGGGCGGACTCTGATAAAATGGGACAGACAGATGCCACTGACCACCCTCACATGGATGCTCCCATGATCTCCGTGCTATAAGATCCTGCAAGAGGACGTGCCCTTCCACCACCACTTGTGAAGAGGGCCTTGCAGTTTACATCCTAAGGTCAAAATGACTGGAAAGTCAACAACTGGAGGGATGTATATCTGAACTTGGCCTGTCTGTTGATGGATGTAATCGGATATTCCATTATTACTTTCTATACACACCATTATATATACACCACCAGAACTTGAAAGAGAGGACACTTGCTTCTTTTGCTCTTCTGCACCCTCCTCAGTTCCACATCTAAAAAGAAAATATGTCATAACTGGGTGGCAGACTGGGGAGTGGGAGAATGAATGATTAAAAGCAACGTATGACCAGAGCTTTTCAGGTAATAGCAGTTTTACTTGCATGTTTGTTTTACTGAGATATTTGAAGAGCGAAAGAGGTCTGAAAAACAGGTCAAAGCACTTTAATTGAGGAGTTTCTCTGCCATTTCAAAACTCGAAGCCCACAGACTGAATCTGCAAGTTACAGCAGAAAGCACCCAGACACCAGAGTTGAAGTTGGAGGGCAAGAAACTTCCTAACTTTCATTAAAAAGGGTTTTCGGAGAAGTGTATGGGTATCACCAGAAGCCTAATTTCATAGTACACCAAACTTTGGGAGGCAATGGAGACAGAGGAGAAGAAACAGCAAAAAAGAGAAAGTAAGAAATGTTTCATGCAGGCCTCCCAGCCTATTTGAGCCCATTTCTTTTAGCTCTGCATTATCTTCTACCTAAAGGAGAATGGGCAAGTCAGAGGATATCTATAAGATCTCTGGTCTGCTGTCTGTGCAACGACAATTGGAAGGAAATTATCTAATACCCTCAGAAAGATACACAGTGGTGGAGGGGTCATCTTATTTCTAGAGCACATGATGGGTTGCATGCATCAAACACACAAGAGCATTACAGAATAACCTCCTCATTTCCCCCTCTATGTTCTTAATGCTCGCACCCTCTAACCAGAAGAATCAGCTCTGGTGCTAATGAGCTGGCGAGGGTGCCCAGCCACTCATCCCAGCTGCATGCAGCTCCGCCAGGGAAACCCAGATGTGGGCTTGGCATCCACAGCCAGCAGGTGGGCTCTCTGGCTCTCTGTAACAAAGGAAAGTCCAACCCCAGGCGAACTGTTTTTGACACGCCTACAGGGTAACCAAAGACAGCTGGGCCTCTGCGAGAAACACTATCAGCGATGGAGAGGAGGAGGGAGAGAAAGGGAACGCAGCCAAAACAAAACCGAGCAGCTTCCTGCGTAGGATTGTTTGCCAAAATCTACAGAAGGTGGGATAAGAAGTGATAGGCTGACATGCCCTTGCTGGAAGCAAGGCAGGATCAGGCTGCAAAAACAGGAGCTACATCATATAATTTACAGCTACTGCAGTATTCCTAGGCGTGAGCTTCAGCTTCTCGGGCGTTGGTCCAGGCTGGTCGCCCACTCAGGTCACCAGTTACAGCATAGGAGTTGGACCCTGGAGTTTTGACAGGCAATGCAATTTCCAGGAAAGGGCTAGAGACAGAGCTCCAAGCACATCCTGGACAGAGCCCTTTTCCTTCTTGCTCTCACTGTTCCTTGACAAGGTCAGCTGATGCTACGGAGTCAACGGGCAGTGGCTCCTCTTCCTCAGAATCCGGGCTCTCCAACTGGCTGTCTTCCATGCTGATGTCACTCCAATGAGGGTGAGATTCCACAGAGCTTTTGGAAAAGAGGGTTGGGTTTCAAAACAAGGAGGTAAGAGAAAAGGAGGGTTGGTTTTCAAGAAAAAGGGGAAGGAAGGGAAGAGAGAGAATACTTCGTTGAAAATCTTTGGTTCCTTCACAGAACTATACATCCCAGAGTTCCTTGGTTTGGAATCAGACCAAACATATTTACACCTACACTGCCAATGTATCGTTTAGGACAGAGGTGGGCAGATGGCACATCAGGATTTCCTGGGAGAGCTCTAGGTGATTTGAAGTAGGTCAGCAAGCGTTTTTGGCTTCCAATTGTTTAATAATGGCAACAACCAAATAACTCCCATCCACCACCCCAGTTATTAAGAAAGCTGGAAAGAGGGCACAAGAAATTGTGTGTGTGTGTTCCCGTTCTGGTACTGAAAACAAATTTCTGATGACAGATTAATTTAATTCCAATGGAGGTTTTTTGTATCTGACTCTGATTGGTAGATCTTGGGGTTCTAGTAAAAACCAAAACAGATCCTGCAAGCATGACCTCTGCCCACCCCTGCTCTGAGAAATATGGTTAGGATTGTCCCATTCCCCCTTCCCCCATGCACACAGTTGCTTAGAGAGACAAAGCACCACACTTTCAAATGGCACACCCAGGAATCCTGTGTGATATGGAAGAATGCTGCAGTTTATCTCTTGGGAAGTATAGTGTAGCTGTTTTCACTGGTCAAGAACCATAGCCAGTTTAAGACCAAAGCACCGCTGTGAATTCAGGAAGAGCAGGAGATGGAAGAACAGCACACAATTGTAGATGAGCAGGAAAATACTGTACTCAGTAACTTAAGCCTCACTAAACACACACACACACACACACGTATTAATAACAAATTCAACAAAACTACATCTGAAAGGGGGGAAAAGTTTTCAAGACCAGAATTTAGTTCACCCCGTCCCCCTTTGTCTCAAAACTATAACTGCTTTTTAAGATTATGGGAAATGATGAAATCCAACTACTGAAAAAGCCTGTAGTGCGGTGGTTAATTGCTTGGTGATGTCCAAGCCTTGCTTACTTGATTAAAGAGGAGACTGATGGCACTTGATTGAGGAGGTGGAAAGCATGATGTTCCTGGAAACTCTGGCACTACTCTACTTTTTCTGCCCTGTCTCTGGTTTCCCATTCAAATACTGACCTTCCTCTTCCAATCCAGCTCTCTTTCCCCCAGATGGGAACTGTTTTCATTCTGGATTCGCTTCAGAGTTTTCAGCATCTAGTACAAACTGCACCAACACACCCAGTTCTGATTACCTGCTGCTGAAGTCCCCTTTGGCCAGCAGAGTGGAATGGCTGTCCTCCTCCTGCACCCAACCACAGTTCGACATGGCGTAATGGAGAATGGCATCTGTGACGCTCAGAGAGCCCCGACCCTGGACGCAAGCTTCAATCTCTGGTATAGAGAGCTGGCTCTGGAGGAAGAGGTGCAGCTGGCTATCCGAAAGGAGCACAACATTCTGTACCACCCTTGAAAGGAAAATGGAAGGTGGTAAGTACCAAACTAAAGGGACAGCAAACAGTGCCTGGTAAACCATGCTTTCTGTACAAGAGAGCCTTCCCTAGGATGCTTCCCAGATCAAGCAGCCCTTCCTGCCCTTCTCTTCCACATAGCCAAGTCTTAGCTTTTGGCAGGCTAGCTAAGTGAGTGAGAGATAAGCCAAATGCACACAAACCTCTGCCCTACAAAAGAGAACAATCATAGGGTTCAGTGAAGGCTGTCTACCTCCAAGCATCTGCTGCTCAAAGTGACAACCTCTCAGCCTAATGGTAGGGACAGTCCTGTTCCGCCATCAAGTTAAGACTTCATGGGAGTTGTATTCCAGCAGCCTGGTCATGTTGTTCGGATGCCTGATTATCGTCTTCCAAAACAACTGCAGTGGTACCTCTAGATACGAACGGGATCCGTTCCGGAGCCCCGTTCGCATCTAGAGGTAAACGTATCTAGCAACGGCACGTCTGCGCATGCATGCATTGCTTTTCGCCGCTTCTGCGCATGCGTGTGACGTCATTTTGAGCGTCTGCACATGCACAAGCGGCGAAACCTGGAAGTAACTCGCTCCATTACTTCCGGGTTGCCGCGGAGCGCAACTCGAATGCGCTCAACTCGAAGCGTATTTAACCCGAGGTATGACTGTACTCTATTCCCAACTTAAGAATGGAAAGCGTAATGCCGGTGGACAACAAAAGAGGTTTAAAGACTCTCTCAAGGCAAATCTCAAAAAATGCAGTATAAACACTGACAACTGGGAAACACTGACCTGTGAGTGTTCCAATTGGAAAATAGCCTCTACCCAAAGGCGTCATGGACTTTGAAGAGGCACAAACTCAGGATGAAAGGGAGAAATGAGCTAAGAGGAAGGCACATTTGGCAAATCCTCACCGTGATCTGCTCCCGCCCGGAAACCTATGTCCCTGCTGTGGAAGGATGTGCGGATCCAGAATTGGCCCCCACAGACACACTGTTAAGACCATATTCATGGAAGCAGTGGCAAAGCGTGTGCCCACGCTGCCCAGGGCAGGCGCGTGGGGTGTGGAGGGCACCCTCCCATGCACCACAGTTCAAGGTAGGAGAGGGGCAGGGAAGCTGCTACCCACTCTCTTTCTGCTCTTTGCTGCCGGGTCAGGCCTGGGTCAGATGTGACCCAGTGGGAGAACTGCTGCCGCTGGGCATGAGGTGTGCCGCAGCTGAGGAGGGTAGGTGACAGCACTGCCACCCACTTGCCTGCTCTTCTTCCCAGGTCAGGCCTGACTTGTGGGCGGAGCTGTGCCAGAGCGCAGCTCCTGGAGCAGAGCCAGGCTCCAATGAAGGAGCCTGCTGTGGGGGTGCCCGTTTGTGCCCCCTCTCAAAACTGCACCCAGGGCCACGGCACCCACAGCACTCTCCACGCTATGCCACTGCATGGAAGACAATCTTACTTGGCTGTGAGTGATCCCACAGTACAGTACAGTACAGTACAGTACAGTACAGTAGGGCTATAGGTTCCCCAACCAGATTTAACCCACTACTACTTTAAAACATGTTGGAAGTCACTTTGGGTATTGTGTCAGGTGTTTTTTTAAGTGGAGGTATAGCGATTTAAGTAAGGTATAGCTATTTTAAAAAAATAAATAGTATAATGTTTCTCAAACTGTTATTTCCAACAAATTGCTTGAGACAGCTGGAGAATACTCAGGTTGAATGATTACATCTGCACACCATCTTTGTAGAGGCCAGGAGAAACACAACACATAACTGCTATGTTGTATTTTCCACATACTGAAAGACGGCACCACAGAGCTGGCATGTCTAACTCTCCAAGTTTTAAAGGGCCATGAGATATACAGGAAATTGCCTTATACTAAGTCCGACCAATGGTTCAGTACTGTCCACTGACAATGGCTCTCCTGCATTCAGGTAGGAGTCTTTCCCAGGCTGACCTGGAAATAACAGGATCTGAATCCAAGACCTGATGCGTGTGAAGCATGTACTCAACCACTGAGCTATTGCGCTTCCCCTAACAGCAAAATAGAGCACCTTCCTTGCAGTGGGGATCAGCCAAGTGGAGGAAGGGAGGTGTTGCCCTCCCTCTGCTCACTCTGGGCTAACTGCTGCTCACTCCAACTACATTTCTAAGTCAGTCTCCACAAGTAAGAGCCGGGATAGCAAAGTGAATGTATTGGACTAGGAGAAGACCTTCCACCATAAAGTCCTCTGGGTAACCCTAGGCCAAGGCACTCATCTTTCTCTGGCCTAGGCTACCTTACAGGAAACTTTCAAAGATAAAGCAGGGTGACCCCACCTTACACCCAAAGCTTCTTAACAGGAGGACAGCGTAAGAATTAAGAAAGAAGTGCAACTGAAGCTAAACGCACTTATCCCAGGCCAGAAGGAGAAAAGAAAGGGGCAGATTATGGGGAATGTAACTGTTCATGGGAACGTTCTTTCTTATGGAGAAGCCCAACATATACCCACATTTCTGCCAAATGTATGACAGCATCCAAGCACATAACTCTGCCCTCCCCCACCTTCGTTCCTACTTTCTACTCACTTCTCCAGGAACTGCTGAAGCCCTTGCCTCCGCTTCTCAATGAATTCATCAGTGCTGCCTGCAAAGAAGGTGGACTTCCCTGGAAGTTCTGGGACAGGCCTGAAAGATTGGAGAGCGGGTGTAAGAATGAAAACACTCCTGTCAAGTTGCTTGCACATTAACAGGAAAAGAGATGCTTCCAGTCTCCAAGAGCTTGTTGTGCACTATTGAAAAGGGATCCCTCTGGAAACTACTAGTTCTATCAGCTACCTCCTGCATTTTGCTCTTGTCAGAAATGAAAATGACTTCCAGCAAACTCTCACATGACTCCTTTGATTTTGGCAATGAAACTGGCAAAAGCACATAGTGAGATGCACATCTTCCACAAGCTTGACAGGAGCTGTTATCGCATGACGGGTCCCCTTACAAAAAACTCAGCATTTCTGCAAGGTGAAGCTGATGTCTTTGAATGGTCCTCAGCACTAAATTATCAGGCTGGATTTACAGAAAATTTATGTAGGTTCCAGGATGCTAGATCAGTATCAGAGCTGGGCTAACTTGCAAGTTAATAGATGTAACATGAACTTTGCAAAAGGTAAATTGCAAGCCTCTTCTAAGTTCTAACAAAAGAAATCAACATATAAAGCAGCCTTATTCAGAGGTTAGCTATTGCTCCTTCTTGCCAGTAACATCTCTGATTGGCAGCAGCTCTCCAAAGGTGTCAGGCAGGGGATCCTTTCCCCAGCACTGTTACTCCAGATCACTTTTAACTTAAGACATCAGGGAATGAACATGGGATCCTCTGCATGCAAAGCATGTGCTCTCCCAATGAGCCGCTCTTCATTAGGCAAATTTTAAAGGCTTCCATTCAAACAAATGCATTTAGAAACCTCAACTAGTTTTATTTTCAACAGAGCTATATTGGGGCATAGGCCCTGCCTATCCTGGTGACGTTTTTCATAGGGTTAGCAGACAGGGCCTTTGTGGGTACAGCGGGCTCTGAAAAGATTGCCATTTCACACTTACACCAAGCCGGCATTTTTCTGCAGCCGTTTCCTCAGCCACACGAACTCACGGTACCGTCTGCGTACACAGGATGTCTTGGCTGTAAAGGCTTTGCTGTTGGTCTGCATAATGAGAAGAGAGAGTGTTGCTCTGAGATTTCCCCACCACCACACACACACACACTTTCATTTTCTTATCTCAGACTCTTTTTCCAAGCTGTCTCCCTCTGCTGGCCATTTTGTTAAAGCAGCACTAGCATTATAGACACTTTGTGCCATGAGAACTGGAGATGCAAACTTGTAATCATTACGATGACTAAACTAAAGCTTTCATTGACCAACAGGTGAGGCTGTGTCAGCAAAGAGCATGCTTGCCATTTGATTTTTTTGGTATTAAAAGAATGGCCCTTTTCTCTTTAGTGCCCTTTAACTATTAGCAACAGATTTGTTTGTCTTACATTTCCTTCTGCCTCTCAGAGAGGTATCTACAATTGAGGCCTCGGAAATGTGACTATTATTATTATCATTATTATTATTACTTGATCAACCAAGGCAGGCAGTGGGATGAGAGCCCAAAGAAAAATTGTCTTAGGGGAAATCAGACCAAAGATTCATCTAGCCTAGCAGTTGTCAGTCAGATGCTGCAGGAAAAGGTAACATGAAGGGTCTGTTGTGCTAGCCATCCCATATTTATCTGCATGATCTGGTGGTCCAGCCTCTAAACCAGCAGGTAAGGTCCCCAAGATAGTCTGACTCCCAGCCATCCTCCACATAATCCTCTAATCCAGAGATGGCTAGCTTCTGTTTTCTCAGAGGTCACTCTGTTATAGCATAAGGACCAGCACAATCCCTGGATTAGGGTTGTAGCTTAGTGGCAGAACATCTGCTTTCTACATAGAAGGTTTGAGATTCAATCCAAGCAGAGGCAGGGAGAACCCTGTCTGAAACCTTGGAAGGCTGCTGCTGCATGCCAATGGAGACAATAGTGAGCTGTGTGGACCAATATAAGGTGCCAATGGAGAGTACCCATGACTCCTAGAAGTCTCTTTCAAACTTCTTTGCACTGCAGCCTGGAGAAGGGAAGAAGCAGCAAGATTTTCTCCTGCTGTTTCTTTCATTCTCTGAACTCCATCACAAGCAAGAGAAAATGCATCTTTCTTCCCTCTGTGCCTGCTAATGAGCTCTCTTGGAGTCTTGTCTCACTTGTGCAGAGCTTTGGAAAAGGTAAGAAACAAATAGCAGAATTCCTGGTATCTCTTGCCTTCTGCCTGCCCGCAATGCAAAGTTGACTTCTTTTCCAAATTCTGTGCAGTTGCCAGAGGGACTGGAATACAGGCAGTTTACTCTCACTTATGCAGCAGTTTGAAGAAGTAGCAGAGGTGGCCATTTCAGCACCAGGTGAAGATGGCTTTGTTAGAAGAATTTGTTCTACAAATGTTTTCTACATGAGATGACAAGCCATATTTCCAGTCACTTTAGCTGCTGCTCTTTGGACCCCTTTGCCATACTTACATGGAGGAATATTTTGTAGTCCACATAAGAGTTCCAGGAGCCCTCGTTCTGGACACGAGGATCTTGGACACGCACAGTGGTCAGCTCCTGGGCACGAGGATAGGGGGGAGGCGAAACACAGTCAAAAGTCTCCAATCCCAATACTCCTCCCCACGGCCTCCCATCCCATACCTTAAGAGGAATAATGGCTCCTAGCCTGGAGAACATCATCCACAAACAAACTCTTTAAGCAGATAGAAAAAAAGCCTTGCTAGATCACACCAAAAGTACATCTACTTCAGCACCTTTTTTCAGTGATGGCCAACTAGAGGCACCCAGGAAGTTGAAAAGCACGGGATGAAAGCAACCACATTCCTTTCTTTGTTGCCAGCAACTGGTATTGTCTTGGAAGATGGAGGTATGGATGCCTTCAAGTACCAGGTGCTGAGGATGAAGGCTAATAGCTGTTAAAAGACTAGTCCTCCCAACTCTGTCCAGCCCTCTTTTTAAGCCCTGTAAATGAGTACTCTTTATAGGAAGAGATTTCTTTGTATCCATTATTAAGCTGCCTGCTAACAACTGCCCCTCCAAACAACAATGGTTTTTGGATGTACAGAACTCTATTATGTTCTCCCTTCATTTTCCAGTAGGTAGATTCTATGGTATATACGCTTCTGTCCCACTTCTTCTGAAAGGAGTGGAGGGGCTGGTTGAATTTGAATCCACAACCTTACTGAGAAAGAAAGAAAGATGAAGAAGAAGAAGAGTTTGGACTTGATATCCCGCCTTTCACTCCCCTTAAGGAGTCTCAAAGCGGCTAGCATTCTCCTTTCCCTTCCTCCCCCACAACAAACACTCTGTGAGGTGAGTGGGGCTGAGAGACTTCAGAGAAGTGTGACTATCCCAAGGTCACCCAGCAGCTGCATGTGGAGGAGTGGGGAAGCGAACCCGATTCACCAGATTACAAGTCCACTGCTCTTAACCACTACACCATGCTGGCTCTCGGAAAGAAATAAAGAAAGGTCCTCTAGCTCACCAAACCACACAGCCTGAGCAAATAATGAAAGGCACAGCCCCCTCCATTGCTGGCATATGGGGGCATGAGTTGAATCCTTGGGGTAATCAGAGGGAAATCACAGTGACTAAGCAACTGTGTACCATACTAGCAGCTTTTGTGCTTGAGCCTGTTGAACCTGATTCACACAAGCAAGCTGAGTAAGTGGGAGGTGGGATGGAACACAGACTGAATGGCATGCCTGACCCTACAGGGATCCGCGTACAGTCCTGTGTACCAAAGCAGTTGCGCACTGAACCTTCCACGCCGCCGCCCCCCCCCCAGTGATTCTTTAGATTAGAGCATGTGGGAGTTGGGGACGACGACGACACAGCAAACAGAGGGGCGTGAATCTTTTGTGGTTCTGAACCAAACAAGCTTTTGGTTATGAGACGGTTCTTCCATTCCCAAGTCTGTTGCATTTAACATGTAACCAGGAAATTATGGTGTCCAAAAATGTTACATTGGGAACAAAACCACCTATACCAATGCTGCTTTGGTCTCTATCTTCCAGGAAGGTGGCAAAAGGACTGGCATAGACATTGGTACGTGTGTATCTCTCTCCCTCATTTAGGACATGGCCAGGTCAAACTCAAGGCTTCCCAGAATTTCTCCTTCCTGGATAATGACAAGTTTTTGTTTTTTGTTTTGTTTAACATGCATACAAGAGATGTGTCACGTAATCACGTGTGTTAATGACCAAAGTCTTACCTCTTCTACTTGATGTTCTAACATCCTACATCCACATCCCAGAGGGACGCATCTGTGCAGGGAGAGAAAAGGATATCCAATCAACACTGAGTGCAAGTCAGCACTTTAAACCTCACCCCAGGTTGTTCCTTAACTGCTATAGTATTTGCACTCCATCAACCAAATTATTAAATAAATATCAGAGCCTGCTATAACACTCACTAGGAAGGAAATGGAGTATTTGGTGCAGAAGTCAGCTTCCTGGACATTTCATATTTTTAAAAAAATAGAATAATGCTTCTGGTCCTTTTTGCTATACTCCAGAAATACAGAAGAGGAAATACATTCTGACCTCTGCCACAAGCCAGAGAACTAAGAGCCAGCAGATATTATCCAAGCGCAATGGGAAGGTTGTCCTGGGATTCTGAGGATCAAGTCCCACTTGAATCACTGACTCACTGGGTGCCCTTAAATAAGTCACTATCTCAGTGTTGTCCCCTAGCCAGGTTATTGTATGTCAAAATACTGTTTTTAAGTACCTCATTCCTAAATCCATTAAGCACACACAGGAGGTTACCCCTGCCCTCAGTTCTGCCCAGTGACGTATTTTACAGGGTTTTTGAGAGAGTAACAATCAAAGTATTGGAAACACTTTACTACTCCAAAGCACAACCGTATTCAGCATTCCATTGCTGGTAAAACCATGGCTAGTTTTTCACACAGCAGTGGCATCACCTGGAATCACCTTCCTTGTGGGAAGATAACATGATAAATGCCAACTCTATTAGACTTTGTGGAGGTACTGTCTTGGGAAATGGCGGGCAAGATGCCCTTAGCAAACCCCCTTCCTCCTCATTGCTGTGACCACTGCCCATTTGCTAGCTCTCTCCCTCTGGACCCAATCCATACAGCTTCCCAGAAGGAGATGGCAAGAGGAGCAGAGGAGGCTAGTGCTGCTACTCCTTTTGCAGCTCAGTTGCTTACAGTGAAAAGGCCAAGATAGCAAAGGGGTTGGTAGTGACCCTTGGTTGAGGCATGGATCTCAGCACATGCCTGAAATTATCAACCTTAAATACTGGCCCTACACAGACACAATTTTCAATAACCAAAGTAATGCAGGACTTTGGCAAAGGAGAGGGGGAATACTGCATTATATTTACATATAGGATGGGGAGCTGGAAAGACTTGCTAAAAGGGAATCATTATTCTCCCTTTCTATTGGGCAAGAGTGGGTAATTTAAGCAAACCACCAGTATCAGTTAGGCTAATCTGGCTTGCTATGGTTTCTGTAGCACTTTCATTGACTTGCAAAACACTCTACAACCCTTATCTGATTCTCAAAACAGCCTTGTCAAGTTGGACAGGACTGATTCCATTTCCATCTCCAAAGATTCCCCAATCTGCTCTTAAAAATGCCATTAGGAGGGATATTGTGATGGACATGAATGTCAAGTATACTGAATGTTTGAAGTCTTTAAAGTACATACTAGGAAACTCATTTGTATTTTTTTGCTGCAAGAGGCTATCTGGAAGTTGTTTTACCTCAGGGTGGCAAACACATTCACCCCCTTTCCATTGGAACAGGTTCCAAGTCCTCCAGAATTTAGGAAAGGATCTGCAACCAAAGTTGAGGAACTAGAAGTATTCACTGGGCTGGATTTGAAAAACCTACAAAATCGAAACAAAAGGAGCTCTGAGGATCACAGGAAAAATGAGTATGATTTAGGTCTCAATTTAGCTATGACTCAAAAATATTCAATCCTGGAACCTGGGGAATGCTGTGTCTGGGCACATACAGAATGTTTCCCCCCACCTCTGACTCGCCACTGTCACTGCCATGCCTAGGGCTCAAAATGACAGACACCTTCCCTACCTTTAAATAAACAAAGCTTCCTCTGTCTGTAAGGAAAATGTCATTAAAGAAGGATATTATCAGCAGGAGGCTGATGTGGTGCTGCACAGATGATTAACTAGTTGTTGGTTCCTTATTTGCTAGGAAGTTCAAAACACCCAGCTCAATCAGAAAACTTGTAACAACACCACCTAAGGTTTTTATGTCCTTAAACCCCACAAATAAGCTCTCGTCTGTCCTGTATCAAATATATCCTTGATCAGGAGACTCTGCCTTTTGAGATCCACAGTTATTATTCCCTGCCCTCCTGCGGTGCAATGGGTCAGTGTGTCTGGCTGTCGGTGGTTTGGGCCTACTACCCAGTGAAGTGCCAACTTGTATGGCAGTGAAAGCAGGGCCACATAGAGGGAAGAACAGAGTAGGGACACGGCAAGTATGCAGAAAATAGGGAGAGAAAGTCCAAAAATGGAAAGACCAAGGGAAGGGAAGAACAAGCCCTCAAGTGTCAATGTCACCTATGAATATCATCAGCAGGAAAGGGTAAACAATTGAGAAAACACACACACACACACACATATACACACAGCAGTGTTTGGGGCTATGGCAGCCACCCCTGAACCTTCTGATAATACTATCCCAGCACTGTATGGGATAGTCTGGGATGGGAACCGAACTTAGGCACTGCAGTTCCGTTTTACTGCTCAAAAAAACTGCATACACATGCATATACTTCTTCCTCTTTTTGAACAGTAAGCCCAGGGTGTCTAAGTGCCAATACAAGTCCTCAAAGCTGTTTATGTGTTTTTGCTCACTCCAGTATCTTGGAAACAAAAGTTCAGTATGTAAATAACCTTTTAAAATTATTATTCAGGACCTGCCTCAGCAGCCCTTCCCTTTCCTTTACGAGGGCTTAGCCTCAGATTCCATTCCCAGTCTTGCGGAAACATGCAAGAATTCTAGCATGTGCATGATTCCAGGTCAGGGTTCATGGCTTTCAAATAGGCTACAGTCCAAAAACTCCCCTCTGTTCCTGGCCCACACATATTTGACCTTTAACATCATACATAATCCCAATTTATTCCTATCAGGAATGTCTGGTAGTGGGTTTTCTGCATCGGGGGTGGGGGGTTGGACTAGATGACCTTTGAGGTGCCTTTCCAACTTTGTGATTTGGTTACCACTAGAGAAAGCAGGTGCCATCAAGGCAATACCAGACCTCCCACAGGCAGTCAATAACATGGGGATTAACAGCACTGACTCAGCTTCTTCACTAACCCTTATAACAACCCCTTAATGCTGCAGGTGCTCTGCATCCTAGATGCACTACATAAGTACCAAGCATTAGTGTTATCCCATGCTGCAATCCTCAGCTACTAGAAGATAAAAGAAGAGCCTAATTGAGCCTGGTGCCTGCTGACTAGTCCACGTAGAGATATAAACCCTGCCTGCTTTTCTGCTGGGTGTCAAAATCCTCACTTCAGTTGTCTCATGTTAGTAGCTACTCAGAATCTCTTACCATTAGTAGTGTTAGCTTTAAAAATAAATGAGCAGGATCAATATTTTCTGGGGAGAAAATGTTGCATCCCCATGCCACTTCTCCCACAGACTTGACCCAAGAAGCACTTTCCTCCTGCTTCCTCCAATAATAGGTCTTCTCAGACCCTACACCACAAGCAGGCAGGAGGAGGAAGGGCACAGGGGAAGTGGTGAGGGGGCAGGTCTAGTATGTTCCAGTGTGTTTCAATGCTTTTGGTTTGCACACCGTGCTTAGGAGAAGGGTGTGTGTGTTTGTGTGTAAGCACTTTGCTAGTTTACAGACAGGCAAGGGGAAACTATGCAGAAGTTATGAAATGCCAACAGACCTATAACAGTAACAGGGGAGGGACGGGTGTCTCAGGAAATAACTCGAGGGGGTGGTGTCCAATGCTAACCTTACTCAAGGCCCATGGAAAGCAATGCTACACTTTTGAACTCTCTACCTAGTGGCATCAGGCAGGCTCTTGTGTTCCACTATGTTTGTGAGTGCTTTGAGTGGTATTTAGTGTATTACTTTTCTATTTTTATATTAGTTGTTTTTCCCCTCTTTGTAAGCCACTTCGAGGCTAGTGGGGGTATGAAAAATTATTTCATAAATTTTATGAAATAAGTAATAGACATAACTAACTTAAGTTTCAACGGGTAGCCGCTGAGCACGGCCCAAGATCTCCAGCCCTCTTAAGGTTACATCGGAAATTTACCAGGTGCTTAATTCAAGCATTCAAGTATCCCGACTGGCGGCAATCGTCCATGATCTAAAACAGATGTTTCCTAGCCCCGCTACTCTCAAGATCCTTACAGCTTGATATGCCTATTTCTTTCAGTCCGCTTATACCACCTTCCTCCCATAATGGAGCTGCAGGCAGTAGACACGGGATTCCGCCTGACCAGCCCCGACCTGCCTAGATGCATCGCGCGCCTTCGGGGGGGCATCAGGACCGTCTGCCAGCAAAGCGTCCTGCCTGGCCGAGGTATGCTTGTCCTCCCGACTCTTCGCTGCTGCTTTACGCCACAGTCCTCCTCCCCACACCCCTGTCCACGCCAACATGCAGTCCTGTTTCTGTGCTTAACAGGCACCCCCGTTTCCACGCCCAGCCCATGCACACGATCACAGCACCAGCCTAGGCGACCTACGATCGCCACCCGCGCCCCTCCTTTCTGCAATCGTTGCTCTGTACTTCCTTCATGACGAAGTCCTCTCCGTTAATTCCTCCCCATGTCTCACTTCCCACCCTCCCTCCTCGCTTATTGAACACTGCACGCTCTTTTTAAAATAAAATGTTTAAAAAGGGCGCAGCTCTGGTGCCTCCTCGTCTTTCACACCTTCTATCCAGCTGCACCCCGCTTTCCGCTTACTGTCTTGTTTTGTTTTCTTGCAACGACCCGCCTAAGCTGCTGTTGTTGCCGCGGCCCCTTTAAAAATGTCCGAGCCCGATCGCTTCAGCTTTAAAAGCGGGGTGGGATTTTCTTTCCCACGTGACCTCCTTTTTTCTCGGCGGCGTGAGCCGTGCTGGCTGATGGGAAATGCAGTTTCGAACCGCCCAAGAATTAATACCCCGAAAGGATGATATTTCAGCTGTGCGTTCTGCTCAAAGACTGTGGTTTGCAATTTGCATCCTCTATAAATGCAAACGTTTCCTCCGGATTAATTCATCCCAAACAAATGTAACTGCATGTTCTGATCGGTACCTTATTGTATAGCACTATCTTAAGCATGCTTACTCGAAAGCAAGTCCCGCTGAATTATATAGCACTTATAGGATTGTTGGAGTGAGGGTTGTCTTGAAGTTCTGTTTAGAGTAGACCCATTGAAATTAATGACTTGGGCTTAATCATGTCTACTCTGAGTAGGATTAGCATTGGATACAGCCCTCAGTTTCCTTTTAACTGACTTTTGCAACACAATCCTATGTATCTACTCGGAAGTAAGTCCTACTGGGTTCAATGGGCTTTCCTCCCTGTAAGGGAATGCAAGCCTTAAACATAAGGTGGTGGAGTTATGCTGCAATCTTTTGTGCTTACATAGTTCAAATTGCTTCTGAATAAACATGCATATGGTCAGTCTATTAGAATTCATGCATCACATGAATAGACACAGTGTGTGCTGGGGAAGAGACTGGATCCATTAGACAGGGGAAAAGCTAGGCTGGAATTCTCCCTGTGATTCTAACACTTCCTAAGGAAGCATTCAGACTTTTCAATTCCCTCTAGCACATGTGTATATTCTGAAGTGGCAAAGTCCCAAACACGACAATTTCCTCCCTGAAGGTTTAGATTACCACTAAGCTACTTTAAACACATTCCAAGTGAAAGGACACATTTCACTGAACCAAATAATGTTCCCAGATTTATTCTGTATTAAGAAGGTGCCTGTTCTATGATGGGAGATTCAACACATCCCTTTGTTACACTTCTGTCACTGAGAGCTGAGTCATCCAGTGTCATGAATGGAAGAAATGTTACCTTCACTGAAGCCATGTCCTCAAGTTCAGTACTGTACTTTCCCCACTAAGAATGAATAGCAATCATCCACATGAAGGAGGAAAGAAGGGGTTGCAATAGGGACTGCCTTCAGGATAGGAGCTAAAATGTCCCTTGCTCCCCGTAACTCTAACCTACTTCTATTTCCACAGTCCCTTTCTGAGTTTGTTTCTTGGGGTGAAAACAAATGTAAATTTCCTTTTGAGGCTGCAACCCTTGGAATGATCTCCACATTACTGAGCTATCCTGTATGGATAGGATTACGCTGTCAGTGGTACAGGTGGCTTCTGGTGTCACTTCCACGTGGCTTAAATACTTCACATCAAATGCTTTTTGAAAGACTAAGATTGCACATTTTCATTTGTCACACAAGTTTTAATTCCCCCAAATGCAAAAACATTAAGAATTTCAAGCCTCTATTCATCACTATTTAATATGTGCTAAGATTCTGTCCCTGATGCATTATGCTGCATCATTTATTGTAAGCCACTCAAATTCTCTTAAGAAAAATAATTGAAATTTCTAAATCATAAAAGGATTGTGGGGGGGGGGGGGGAGTCAGAATATATTGTTATGGACCATCCTATTCTGCTGTACAACTGAAGATATATCCTAAGTTCTCCTATATAGCCTTCAAGTTGATGGTTTAACAGCAGGTGTTGCTTTTCCGTCAGTGGCCTATCGTGTTAATTTGTTTGTTTTTAATCTAAAAGTCCATCCGGAAAGTACCTAAAGCCAGGAGAGAGTGGCTGGTGGTGTCGAGAAACAAGATACTGGATTTTATAGGCCTTTGGTCAGGTTTGATCCAGCAGGGTGCTTCTTAAAGCCAGATCAGAAGATGCTTTGTTTTGGGGGCTGCTGTTGATTCTGAAGCTGCTGTTTATACAGCTTGTGTGCCTACTTGCTTCCCACCTGTTCAACCTGTATATGTTAATCTGTAAATAGAGAAAGTCTTTAGTGCTGTCTTCCCCAGAGGAAATTGATGCTGCAAAGCTCCCCTGGGTGTGGGAATCAAATTTTCTTCTGCTCACATTCATGTTGAGTCAAAAATAGCTCCTTCCTATTATTTGGGATGTACAGTACAGTATTGTAATCCAGTTCAGCACACAAATTCAGAACAAAAAGAACTACAGTATGTTCTTGGGTATTGTCTGCCATGAGACTACAACTCCCAGGAGGCACAGCAACCTCCTGTTTATAGTGTTGTTAGACTGAAAGTTAATGTCCAGTCAGATAGGTGGCGAATGGAAAGTCTTCGGACAGTGTAGTAAGTCCAGAAATGAAACTTCTCGGTTCCTTTACCATGCCCCTCTTCTTGCCTATTCATTGGAAACAATGGAGAAACCCAGAATTTTTGAGCTGCTGTGATTGAATACCAGTGTGTCCACTAAAAAGGCAGCAGCCATGGCGACAAAAATTAGGGCTTTTCTGATATTTCGCGTGAAGAACTGTCCTTTAAACTTTTCAGGCATTAAAAGAAACCTGCCCTGTGTCAATGAAATACTGTACATGCTTCACATACTGCAGAATGGGGGTGGCTTACCTTGCAAGCCAAATCCTGCACTCAGTTGTAACACAAGCTTTGTGTTTCATTGGCTTGCATGCAACTAAGCTGCGCTTGTTAAAAGCTGCAATTCTGTAACCACTTTCTTTTTTTTCTTCAGATTTTTTTATTGATTTTAACAGATATAACATATAAAACATACAAAAGAAAGAACATTACAATACTAAAAGAAAAAAGAAAACAAAAATAAAAACACATATTCCTTCTGAAGTTCACTTTAAATTCCATTATTAACTGACTTCCTCAAATCCCCCCAACTGAATTTCATTGTATCACCTTGTAACAGTTCTCCAAAATCATCTTTCTACTACAATTTACTCCTTCAGTTTACTATCTTCATCTCTTTTCTTATTGACTTAAATCCATATTACTATTCAACATTCTTATTCTAATCCTAGGCCTATTTGATACTTTCAAGTACCATCTAATTATCTTATATTACAGTATTTAGCTAAATAATCTTTAAATTTCTTCCAATCTTCTTGATGCTCCTCTTCTTTCTGATCGCGGATTCTTCCAGTCAGGTCGGCCAGCTCCAAAACTCCAACATCTTCATCTGCCATTCTTCTACCATTGGTATTTCTTGAGATTTCCAATTTTTGGCTAATAACAGTCTTGCCGCTGTAGTGGCATACAAAAATAGTCTAACATCTTTTTTGGGCAATTCCAATCCTATTATTCCAAGTAAAAAGGCTTCTGGTTTCTTAACAAATGTATTTTTCAACATTTTTTTCAACTCATTATAAATCTTTTCCCAGACGTCCACCACATATGATAAAAAGCACCTTCTTTTTCTTTACACTTCCAGCATAAATTATCATTTGTATGATAAATCTTTGCTAATTTTACCGGGGTTAAGTACCACCTATACATCATTTTCATGTTTTCTTTTAATACCGGGCGTGCAGTAAACTTAACCCCTTTCTTCCACATCCTTTCCCAGTCTTCCATCATTATATGCAACCACTTTCTTGAGAGTAAGCCTCATTGAACTCAGTGGGTCTAACTTCTGAGTAGAAGACGCGTATAGGATTCTGCTTGGAACCTCTTTCAAAAACCACGATTAGAAAAGAAAAGAGGAAGCTTTTGTTTTCGCGGCGTGTGTGCTGTGTTTGTGTCTGTGTTTTGCTGTCCATCGCGGCCGTGCTGCGCTCTCAATGGCTACTTGCGTGAAAAGACTCGCAAGTAAGCGACGTACGCGAGTCTACATCCTACGTCTACGGGTAGAGGAAGGAAAAAGACAACATCCGGTCCCAAAATGCCGCGGGCGAGAGGAGGTCTTGGAGGGAATTAGAAAGAGGGGCGTAGGAGGAGAAGCAGGAGCATGCGCAGTGCGTCTCGGCGGGCCGAAGGGGTTGCAGCGCTCTTTTGTTTGGCGGAGGTGGAGCGAACGCGGGAGGCCCGTTGTCCAACCGTCGCTCTGTTCTGCTTTGAAACGAGACCGGCTCGCTCCGTGCGCCGCTCGCCTCTCTCCCGCCCGTTTGTTTTTATTTCCCCTCGTGCGTTGTTGGCGGGGCTGAAGAAGGTAAAACGGGCAGCGCGGGGTGGGGGCGCGCGCAGGGGGCCAACATCGCGCGCGCGGGCTGGACGGCCATATTGGGGGGTGCTGAGGGAGGGGGGATATTCCTGGGTGAGCGGGGGCTCCTCTTGGGAAGAGAGGTACAGTATTTAAAAATGGGGGCGGGCTTTTCTGGGCAGAAAGGAAATCGGCACAGTGCTTTCTGAGGAGGGAGGCGAAATACGTGAGTTGGGAGTGGAGACGGCTATGGCTCTTGCTAAGTGCGCCTGTGGGTGTGGGGTCCGAAAAGTGGGGGGGGGGGGAGGGAAGCGCATAATGTGTGGGGGAGCTATTTCAAAAGGGGGAGACGTGGAGTGGACAGAGCCGAAGGAGGGGTGCAATGGGAGGGGGGACCCGCGTACATAAGGGGCGGCATTTGCTGGGGAGCGTGGTTTCATGTGGGAACGGGGAAATCGTGAAGGCGTTGGTAGTAAATAACGGTCGGGGGGGGCCTTAATGAACGCGTACAGGAATGTGGAGAAAGGTTTCCTAAAAGAAGCTGTAGCGGTATCGTAAATAGGGATGTCCAAATACAAGGGCCGGTGGAGGGAGCCTGTGTGTGCGCGCCCGCGCATTTTTAATAGGTGTTCGAGGAAGGTGCTCCAAAGATGACGAAGGGGGTGGGTGATGTGTGGAAGAATGGATGTAAAAAACACTAAGGGGGGGATGCTTGCAAGAAGAAGTGTGAGTGCAGTGGGTGGTGAGTGCAGTGGGTATAGGTCCGTCCGTCCTTCCCCGCCCCCGAAAGTGGGAGGAAATATGCAGAAAAGGGATAATAGGGGTGGGTTTACGTGGAGCTGAGATGGCTAGACTTTGTTAGACAGTTAATAAGGGGAGATTAAATGGTAGGATATTGGGGGGGGGGGGCGGAATAATTCTTCGAGAAACTAACTATGAAAGTAAAGCTGTAGCGACTTTTTCCAAGGAAGGGGGATCATCTGCCCAAGGTGGTAGTGCTTGTGAAGTTGGTCACTCCTTTAGTGTAACAAGAATATTGACTGGGGTGCTGGGATTGAGGCTGTTCCTGTGAAGGAGACAGAAGTGTTTCAGAGTCTGTATTGGAGTGTAGCTGGGCTAAAATGAGGGGAAAACATAAATGGATTGTATACAGATTGTGTAACGACTAATGTGGGTAGGAAGGGTGAAATTAAAATTTTAAGGTAGGTAGGTGAGGGTTTTTATAAATTTGCACCTCCAAACCAGCATAATCATAGTGCAGTATTGGAGGAAGGGAAATGGGACCATACAGCTAGGCAGTCTTGTATGTAGTGGTGATTGGATAGAAGAAGATAAGAGTAGTGAGTGGTGAGGGTGTTAATTGACGTGGAAAACAGCCAAAATGATCACTGTTGATTTGAAGAGTGCTAATAGATAACCAAGTCGTGTGGGTGAACAGGTTTAATATTTAAAAGATAAAAAGAACTGGGGTGTACTGCAGGGAAATAATTAGGAAACTTAAGATATGTGAATTTTAGTCGATGTGGATCTGTTTCTTAGAGTGAAAGGACCGCATAATGGGGTGCTATTTCGAATGTATCTAGGCAGTGGTATTGTATGATGGCTCACATTGGCAAATAGTGTTGCATTTGATGAGAGAGATGTATCTATTTATTACATTTACGCCCCATGCTTCTTCCAAGGAGCTCAGGTTTTGCCCCATTTTCCCCCCTCTCTGTGGTAGGTTAGACTGAGAGGTAGTAACTAGCTTAAGATCACATTGTGAGACTTATGACTGTGTAGAAATGAACTTAGATTTCCCTAGTCCCATGTCCAGCATTTTATTCCCTATGCCACCCTGACGTATGTTCAAGACACATAAGCATGTAGACCCAAAAATAAGGGCCCTGTGAGATCAGCCTAAAGCCTATCTAGCCCAGTTCCCTTTTCCCACAGTTAAGTAGCTTAATTCAATATATGTGGGAAGCCAAGAAACACAACGTAAGTGCAATAGCCCTCTCCTGTTGCTGTTTGCCAGCAACTGGTATTAAGAGAGAAGCAGTATATAAAGCCTTGCTCAGTTCTTACTTATTTTGCAACTGCTGATAGTAAGTACTTCTTTCTTTCTTTCTTTCTTTCTTTCTTTCTTTCTTTCTTTCTTACTAATTCATATTCCTAAAGTGGCTTACAGTGAACTATAAAATATAAAACTAAAATACAAATATCACAACCTTATAAAACACTGTAACACAACCACAAAGTGGAGAATTAAAGGCTGTAGATGAGGGTGGTCCAACTTTTCATACCAAGTGGGCCGCAAGAGTACTTCAACATAGAACCCTGGGCTGGGTAGGAAAGCAAGGCCCAAAATTGATGCCCCTGCCCCAGCCATCATGCTGCCTTCCCAAAGTCAGATAAGCGAGGCTCTGGCAGGGTCCAAGAGCCCTCATGCCTCCTTCCCAAAGCCCAGCACCTAGGTTTTGGGAAGGCAGCTCATGGGCTGCCCCGGGGGCGGGGGTTAAATGCTGCTGAGAGCCACCCTGGACCGCCCTGCTCTAGACATTTCCCTTGATTGAAAAGTATAATTTTTGCTAGCCAGATATATCAGAATTTCCCTACTTTCCTTGCTTAAGGTGAACATGATCTCTTAAAACTAAGTGTCTGATCCTCTTATGCAAGGCTCCTTTTCTTTGTGACGAACAAACTAAATGAAGTTATTTTTCATTCATCATATATCACAATAGTTCATTTATTTTACAGCTTGATACCACAGGTGTCATGCATTGGTACATTGGGGTGTTTTACTATTAAATATCTAGTAACTACTTTATCCCAGTCAGACTAATTGTACTACCCCATCAAACAACATGGGAACAGCACATAGGAGGATGCATTGGGCTGTTTATAGCTACAATGCTAGAAAGGTGTTTTTAATGGAAAATACTGAAAAAGCCATTTTGAAGGTAGAAAAGTGATTAGTGTAGAAGCAGTGGGGCTATGCGTAGATGAGTTTCAAAAGTATATAAACTTCAGGCCTTCTAGGTTGCATTTTTCATTTGCTACTTGATTCATACTTCTCAAGTGTGTTTGCAAGGCTGACTGGAGGACAGAGAGGAGTATATGTAGGAACTAGTGTACTGTATAGGTAAAGGCAAACTTTGCATCAATAGCTCTGCCAACTTTTCCATCTGGCTTCACGCACCATTGGCATAAGGTCCCTGGAAGATTACCTGGAACGGAAGGCAGCCCTCCAGCTGAAAGATTAACAAGGCACACTGACGATAACGCCTATTCATGCAGAGGTAGCTTTGGTTTGGGATGTTAGGGGAGGGGTAGTACCTATGGTGAATGACATGTCGTGCTCCTAGGGTACTTTGTCCAGCTTTGGGTCCCCACCTGCACTCAGCTCTCCACTGCAGCTCCTAGAAGCTCTCAGTATGAGACAGCGGCCGCAGCGACCCTCACCTGGTTTAACCAACCAGTCAAAGCCATTTCCTGGGGTGTGGCCGCTGTCTCATGCTTTGGAGGTGTGTCAACCTGGGAAGTTAACCCATCTAGGAAGACTCTGATCCTACACCTCCAGTGTCTTGTGTTACATCTTTGGGAGAAGAAAAGGCTAAGGAGTAATCCCTACACAAATTCAGAGTGGAGTCCCTAAGACAGTTGAATGGCATCTTGTATGTCTCCTTTCGGCAACTTCTGCAGCCAACCTGGTGCCAAATGTATTGCTCTGCTTTCATTTGGAACCACATCAGCGAGGCCATGGGGTGGGGTCTTGTCATCTTGGCAGCCCAGGATCTCCGTACACACTGTCTAGGCTTGTGCCGCCAATGCAGCAGTTTGACTTTGCTGGAGACACTCCTTTGCCTCTCAAGACAATCCACTTTGAGTTTGGCTCAAGGGGCCTATAAAAGGAGCTACACCACTTCTGATCAAAGGTGGTGGGAATTCTGAGGACTGAACTGAACGAAAATTTAAGGTCAATTGAAACCATTTTCTCCTCATAATAAAGGAACCAAATTTAAAGGTTCTGGAATCTGAATTGTGTTGTATTGGGTAGGGTTGCCAGACAGTGGGAAGCCAAGAAACACAATATTAAATGTCTGGGAAAATCCGGACGTATGGCAACCTGTGTTGGCTGATGAGTTTTTTGCGATTTACCTTAAAAATAGTTCCCAAATATTCCCCCCCCCCAAAAAAAACCCCTCAAACTTTGTGCATGTATGTAGGCATCAGTGTGGATAACAAAGCAGGTCAAAGTAATTGAAATGGAGCCTGATGAAATCTATATAGCCCACTTTCAATTTCTTAGTCATGGGGTATACAAGATGGAGTCTGTTTTATAGACCACAGGCACCTTTGAAACATTGTGTGAAACCCATAGAGATCTCACTGAAACGCTTGATAATTGTATTGAAGCCCATGAGGAATATGAAGTCCCAGTGCTTCCAGGTCATGCTGGTTAAGAATAAAATTCCTTGTACTTGAAGATGCCCAGCTACTCCCCTCCATACCTCAGAGTAAAAAAATGATGTTTCTTCCCAACTACTTTACTGTTCCTGAGATACACTTCCAAAAATTCTGAGCTTTGGTACTGTATAGGACTAACACCAAGCTGTGCAGATCGCATGTTATTTCCCTCCTGGTTGGAAGGAGGAAAATGTCTACACAATGTAAACTGGTTTTAAACTAGTTTTAATATGGTTTTCTTCCGTAAAAGAATTTTGGAAACAGTGACTTCATGAATGTGCCAAGATCCCAGCATTTGTGAGGGAGACAGGACTAGTTTAAGCTTTGTGAAATTGTGTTCTCTAAAAATCTTCCTTCCTCCCCATTCAGCTGCTGTTTGTGGGTCTCTTTCCCTAGCCAGCCATCCTTCACTGCAAACGAGACCCATTTCCTCTAAAACCTAGCTGTGCTTGACGGCCCCTTTTGCCTATGTTTTATCAGACCCCGACTGAGACAAGTGCATCCTCCTGCTGAGAGATGCTTTGCCTGCAGAAGCCCAGCATAGCTTTCTTTTTCCGGTAGACTGTAACTTTTCATTTCCAGAAAAAGCAAGCTGTTTAATCTTCTATGCTTGCTGGGTGCCCTTGTGGTGCCTCCACCACTCATGGATGCCTTCTCTCCCCAGCACTGCCGTGCTTGCTGTATAGTCACAAACATAGTCCTGTTGTTTCTGAAAGTGGTGGAGGGAGGATATGGTGGGAATTTTTCCTGCTGCAAGCAGAAAGGCCTGGCCTGAAGAACTTCAAAGTTCTGCAGAGACAGAGTGATTCTGTCTCCTGCAGAGCCTGCTCCTTTTGGAAGAAAAATGTTAGTTTTACGGAGCTTCCTACAGTTGGTCCAAGTGTTCAGTACAGTGGTGCCTCGCAAGACGAATGCCTCGCAAGACGGAAAACCCGCTAGACGAAAGGGTTTTCCGTTTTGGAGGTGCTTCGCAAAACGAATTTCCTATGGGCTTGCTTCGCAAGACGAAAATGTCTTGCAAGTTCCTGCGGGGTTTTTTTCCTTTCCCCCCCCTTTTTCCCAAGCCGCTAAGCCGCTTATCAGCTGATCCGCTAAGCCGCTTATCAGCTGATCCGCTAAGCCGCTTAACAGCTGATCCGCTAAGCCGCTAATGCTGTAGCGCTAATCCGCTAAACCGCTAATGGGCTTGCTTCACAAGACGAAAAAACCCGCAAGACAAAGAGACTCGCGGAACGGATTCTTTTCGTCTTGCGAGGCACCACTGTATAGGTTAACACTGTCATAAGTTGCTTGGGCAACAAACAAATCGTAGGTTTGGCAGATGGAACATGTTGAGCACAGTTGTGATTCATATGCCATATTTTAAAGTACCTAGAGTTGGGAAAAGCATTAGTTTTTATGCAATTGCATGTTGAGGCAAGGGGAAAGTCTTAACATAAATTCCAGAAAAGGAGTCATGTATGTCCTGTTGCAGAAAAAGGCAGAACCTGATTAGCTGTCATAGGAAAGTGTTCACCATGAGGTGCTGCATCTACTTTTTAATAATCAGTATATGTGGATAGATGTTGTACAGCAAGGTTTGGGTTTATGTGGGTCCCACTGATATTGATGGGCTTCAGCGTTTCACTGTGCTTTTGTGACTACATATTGTATCTCTTTTATTTGTGTCACTTTGCAGCTTCTGGAACATTTTTCCTACACTGTACATTTCCCTGTGTATTTTTAGATTAAAATGTTTTCATATTAAAAAATAAAATGACAAGACAGACAAAAAATTGTAAGTGTCACGGATCTCTGGTGTTGACAATTGCAGTTTCTAAAGCTATATATCTGCATTATCTCTTTAACAGCCTCCTTAAAACTGCAAAGCTGGCGAGCACAATGGGAAAAAAGCAGAACAAGAAGAAAGTGGAGGAGGTCCTAGAAGAAGAGGAGGAGGAGTATGTCGTGGAGAAGGTCCTTGACCGGCGGGTGGTGAAAGGGAAAGTGGAATACCTGCTCAAGTGGAAAGGCTTCTCAGAGTAAGGCTGCTTTCCCTTTATTTCAGCTTTGCAAACTAATCTTTAAAGGTTAGTAGCCCATAAAATCAGTAGCCTCTTGGTCCACATATACTTGTGGTTAATCTCTTTGCGCACTGGTGTTGAGAGAGGGGAACATCTCTTCCGGTTTTCAAAGCCTTGCTTGCCTTGTCACCCAGGAGCTGTTTAGAAGCCTTCTTTTTTTATCTTGCTCTAGGCTAGGGTGATGTGCCAGGGCTGCTGAATACCTGCGTCTTAAAAACCAACCCAGTTTCCCCATCCCATTTCTGGTTAATTCATGGTCTTGAAATCTTCTTTTGGAATTCTTCCAGATATATGTGGGGATTAATTCTGTTCCTGCAGGAGGAAAAACATGTTTGAGAAACAGGTGTGGTTTTTTCCTTCCCAAAAGTACTTTCTACCTTGAAAATTCTGTTTGAGGCCCAGTTTGGCAGCAAATGAATGTTTTCACGTGTGTGGATGGCTTGTATGTGTTCAGAGTGCAGGTCAGCCTCAAACTGATTGTGTGCTTCTGGGCAAATAAGCAGTCCTCAGTTCTGCTGTAAGGGGTGCTTGAGGGGGAAAGTATCTAAGACTGCTAGTTATGTGTAGGAGAAAGCAACCATGCCTAAAAGTATTTATCTGCCTGTTTAGTGTTGAAGCTGAAAATCTGATGTGCTTGTAGAGAAGTTGCAATTTCTGCAGAAGGCTTCCAGGTCTGCACTTACACTTTTTCCTTCTCCTAAATAATGCAAATCTGGGGTCCATCTCATTAAGTCAGCACCCAGTCAAGAATAACAGAGAGCTGAAAATCTGGTAGCTTTACTCTGCCCTTATCACTCCCTATTCTGCCTTACAGCAGTCCATCAGCTTTAAGTCACATTCTCAAGTTTACAACTTTAGGGTGTCTTTGCATTTCCAGAAAACCTTTCAGGAATCTCAACCCACCATGTCAGGATTCTAGCAGAAATTGCCTATCATTGCAAAAATCTGTAGATTTTAAGTCTTCCCCATTCCTATAAAAGTCATTTTTATAGATTTTGTGCCAAGAATTTACAGGTCCCATAACGAGGGAGATAAATTTCTTAAAGGGGCTATTTTGCAAAAAAACTCTAGTTACAAAATATGGTATTTTGCAGTCCTGTCCAGCTGATAATACTTATATGGTTTCAGCGAAGATAACACGTGGGAGCCAGAGGAGAACCTCGACTGCCCTGACCTCATTGCGGAGTTCCTGCAATCCCAGAAAACTGCACATGAAAGTGACAAGTCAGAGGGAAGCAAGCGCAAGGCAGAATCTGATTCAGAGGATAGGGGGGAGGAAAGCAGACCAAAGAAAAAGAAAGAGGAGGTAAGGCAGATTCTCTCCATCTGTGGCCCAATGAGGGTTGCTTTATGCTTTGTAGTTAAAGACAAAAAGGACTGATTGATGTTTCTGAAAGGGTAAAACACTAGCTAACAGCAGTGATCTTTATTGCCTTCTTAAAGTGAGCTACATAACTGTGTAGTGTAGTGCCTCAGCTGCAAGTTTCTTTGGGAATATGGTTGACATTCATTAGTCTGTGGTACTAGTGGTGTTTCTCACCAGAATCTCTGCCCCCAGCCCAGTTACCTGCCCATCAGAGAATGTGGCTATGTGTTCTTTCAATTTTGGGGATGCACCTGCTACAGTGGGAAGACTCAATTTGCTGTGTTAGTATGCTGGAAGCAAAGTGTCATGGTCCTGATTGCACTGGTGCATTTAAAAAGTTGGATCTGGTGACTTGGCTGGTGGTGGGCTTCTGTTTTCTCATGTATTTCTCTTTGTAGAGTCTGCCCTGTGTCTTGCCTTGCATTCTGTTGAATACAGCCTTTTTTCATTCTGCCTCTAAACTCTTTCTAGCCACATTATCCCTCCTTTTTTCTTTCAAGACAAGAGACTACTGATAGTAGTTTTGTGTGGTTAAGTAAAAACAGCCAGACCATTCCAATATTTTTTATGTATGGGTTCTCAAAAGTTCAGTTCTCTTCCCCACTCCCCATTGTTTGCATTATTTACCCTTTGTTTGTCTGTCTGTCTGTCTGTTTGTTTGTTTGTTTGTTTGTCCTCCCTTTATTTATTGGTTAATGCTTAGCACTTCCATCCCTTTTATATTGTTGCATTTTCCTGTTAGCACACAACTCTTCCTCTTCATTTCTGAATTCAAGTTTTTTCCTGTCTTTGCTTCACACCCTCCCATTTTCAGCTGTTCCTCTCCAGCTCTTTTCTCCACATCCTCCCTTGGAAACATAACATAATTAAGTTGGGCTTACCAAAATGTAGCTCTGAAGTCTTTCAATGCCGGAGCTTTGTTCTGGAATATACTTCATGGTAGTATGAAGAAGTTTCTCAGCAAATTATTTCCAGGAATGGTTGAGCCCAACACCTCTCCTCAGCCGAGGAAGAAACCAGAATGCAACAAGAGCAGGTTCTCTGCCTCACTAGCATACTCCGTTGTCTGTTTCTCCCTCCCTCCCTCCCTGCCAGCTAAGTTCTTGCTCTAGCAAGCAAGGCAATTGCTTCAGTAGTGCCACACAAATATTTTATGGTAGATTAAAAGTGGGAAAGATTCTGGAAGTTTATGGGTGTGGTCTTGGAATGAGCTGTTTAAAATTGCAGTGCCAAATAAGAAACCCTTTATGTCTTAAAACCTCCTTGTTTAATATGCACTGTAGAGCAGTGCCATATTATAAAGAGCTTGAAACTGATTAAACTGGTAGCATGTACCAGAGAAGCTTGAATAATATTTTTGTGAGTATGCTAAGAATTCTTGCTGGAGATCTAACACTTTCGCAGATGTAGAATTAATGGGATTCTTAGGAATTGCAGTAGCTCAAACAGCTTTAAAACTAGTTCAAATCTCATAGTATAATTATGCATGGACAAAGCATCTACATCATGTCACTCTTGAGTTGGATATCCTCCTCCCCCAAAGTAGGTCACTGGAAAGGCATTTTCTGGCAGTTGTTTTGCCTCTGCATAACACCAAATGAAGTTCAATGTCTGTTTTCTCTGTCACCCTTTAAAGGCAATAATCAGAAACCTTTCCAATTCTTTCATCAGGCTGAGAAGCCTCGAGGCTTTGCAAGAGGGTTTGAACCAGAGCGGATTATTGGTGCCACAGACTCCAGCGGAGAGCTCATGTTCCTGATGAAATGGTAAGTCTGTTCCTTTGTCTTTTCTCCCTTGTGCATCCTCCATGAAAGATTAGAATCCAGATGTTGAATTTTTGGGAATACAGCTACTTAATGGTGTGAGTGTCTGTAATGAGATCAGGTGGCAAGACCATTGGTTCTCTAACATTTTTAAAAGTTTAGGAGGGGGCTAATTATCTTAGCTGCAGAATGCTGTTACTATACAGCCTCATCACTTTGATGACCTCTTGCATTTTGATCTGCTGCTTTCTAGTTCCTTGCAAGTGATTTATATGAAACTTGGAATCTGCTTTCTCTGTTGTGTAAGATTCAACTGTCTTTTACTTGCAAGCATTCTGAGGTCATAACTGGAAATAACTAGCTCTTGCAACCCATTCCCACAATCCTTCCATGCCCTGAGGAAGGATTGTGTGGATCAGGCAGGTAGATGTATGCTTATCAATCGTATTTTGCATTATAGGCATCAGGATTTGTGGCCAATGATTCTATGAACTGGCAAGTGTTAAGGTACCTCAGATTTGTATTATCCTTCTGGACAATAATCTTCGGTGTGCTTATGCATCAATAGCAAAGCCATGCATTACATTCACAGTATTATCCAGAGCTTTAAGATCACATGACCCCAGACTCAGCCATATGCACACACATTTGGCAGAAATGTTAATGCTAGAATGATAGCTTCATACCTTCTATTTGGGATCAATCCCAAATTTCCCACCTCTTGGTTGTACAGGAAGAACTCTGACGAAGCTGATCTGGTCCCTGCCAAGGAAGCAAATATCAAGTGCCCGCAGGTGGTCATCTCGTTCTATGAGGAAAGGCTGACATGGCACTCCTATCCATCAGAAGATGATGACAAGAAGGATGAGAAGAACTAACCTGCCTCCCCTTCTGCCCCATCCTTCCTCTGGCCGACTTTTGTATTAAATCATCAAACTGTGGGTTTGAACATGAGTGAGAAAGTGAAGAGGCGGCTGTGGAAGATGCTCTCTGTAGAAACCGGACAATTTCTATGCCCGTGACAACATGCTGTCCCCTTTCTTCCTTTCTCATCATATATACATGAGGAAAGAGGAGAGAATTGGTGAGTTCCCAGCTGTTCTTTGCTTTGGGGGCGGGGTGAAGCAAAAATAACTAAAAATAATAGTTGGAACAGGCTGCCAAAAGGGATAGCAGGCAGAGGCTGTGTGTTCTTCAGAGACCATCTCTGTGATCTACAGCCTTACTCCCCAATAGTGTTAATTGCATTTTTACAGATTAGCATGCGTGTAGTTTTTCTTTCTTCCTTTTTGCTATTATCGGTGTATCGTTGGGGTGGGAAGGGAGGGTGCATTCTGATTGATTTGGGGAGGGCCAGTTCATGGTATCTGTATCCAGAATTGCAATTCTTACAAAATACATGCCTCCTGCTGCAAGTGGAATTGATGACTCCTGCGAGGCTGGAGCTTTATGTGTCTAAGTGTTAAAAGTTACAATTTGATTGCAACCATGAATACAGTCACCTTCCAGAATTATTACTGCGGGAATTGGAAAGGAGGCAGCTTCTTCATATTTTGCCCTCTAGTCATAGTGAGGGCACTCTGCCCCCAAACCATGTGACAATTTTTTTTAGTACCTCTGCATCTTTTTTCTTCTAACCAACCAGAAACTGAGGGTTTTTAGCCTCTCCCCCCCCCCTTGTATGTATGTGGCATTTTAGACATCCTTTTAATTAAGGGGAAGGAAAGTAGGGGTGAAATCTACCCCCTACAGCACAAGGTAGTAGTAGGTTTCAGAATATTCTGTAAACAACTATCTTCTGTTCAGACTTGGGCATTTATGATTGCTTCCCTTGCTCTAGTCCTACCCATTTCATTTTTAAGCTAACGATACTTTGTTCTTCCAAAGGACAATTTTACCTCTGACATTCAAACACCCCACAAGCCACTGACCCCCCCCCATTCATCCTTTGTGGGGGGGTATGTACGTAGAAGTGTACAAACCTTTTTTTAAAAAAACAAAGCATGTTTAGGTTTCTGTGAAAATGTTGTCTAAAACTCAAGTGTTTGGATTTTAACTTCATACTGAACTGTCTTTTTGTCTCAATAAAACTTTAGATTTATAGTCCTGCTCTTTTTCTTCTTCATCTGGTCAAGGCCTTCCTTGAAAATATTCTACAACTCGAAGTACTGACTTGCAACTAGAAAATATTGTAGGAATAAGTGATATGCTGAACTGAGAAGTATTGCAGGGGAAATGCAGTATGTTATATTCCCTCAGTCATTGTAGGGTCACCAAATTGAGCATTACCTTTTATCACAACACAGGGCTACCAACAAAAGTGCAGAAAATTAAAGACACCAAACAAATCCTCAAATAGTGAATAAGCCATTTTATTTTTGTCCTGTGCTCATACGCTCTCGCTCCTCTCCCCAACAGGTCATAGAAACCATTCAAAATAAAACCTCTACAGAAAAAAATAAATTAACACATGCACACATCAGGGCTCTATCCTCCAGCAACCCAGCCACAGTTCCAACACATTTTGTGCTTCAAGTTTCATGCTGTCAAATCACAGAAGCCTGAGAGGTGGGAGAGACTCACCGATAGTTTACTTCCCCTCTCACCTTTTATATTTTCCTTGTAAAGAAATCATGGCCTTGAGAAAAACAAGATCGTATAGAACATATGGCTGCAGAAGTTGCCTCTATTACATACAGTGCTTCATACCCCCACAGTTCTCTGGAGGATGCCCATTTCAGTGCTACGTCCTCACACGCCATCACATACACAGGACTGACTGGGGAAAACCAAAGCCATTTAGCTCATCAGATGCTGGTAAAGTCAATAATACTCCCAGCTGTGCTATACTGCAAATTAAACAGCTTCGAGGATTGCCTCGGAGCTTGAGGCCAGCTGTGTTCAAGGCACTACCCTCACCCTTTGCCTTATTTTTTTTAAGGAGGGGGAAAGGGGGAAGTTGGAATGACACCACCCAAGGACAGAAAAGAAACCAGCTGTGGAATCACAGTTTAACACACCGAGTCTTAATGGCAGAAATACCTTTCAGCAGCTTTGATGATCTGGGGGAAAACATCTCCCTTCTCTCCTTCCTGCATACCACAAATCCATTTTACAGCCCTTTGGGAATGGGGAAACACAGGCGCACACAAGTCCTACAGAAATAAATTAAAACCAAAGTGCCCATTAAGAAAGGGGCTTGCTATAGATGGCTATTTGCTCTACACAACATGCCCACTTTATGGGGGTAAAACCCATTGTGCTGTAGACCAAGTGGTGATCACACACCAGACCCCTCCACCTTGCAGCCTCTGCTAAATGAAAGTGCAGCCTTCACACCTGGCCCTCACACCCCCTTTTGTCCACAAAATGAATCTCTTCAAGCCAAATCAGTGAGAAATGTCAGCATTGTAGCATGCAGTTACCATGCGCCATCTTGTAATGTACCTTGATGGTAGCCCAGTATAACACTGGATCCTCACTGTGGGCAGTGACATGCTTAGCGAGTTTTGAATGGAAGAGAGGGGCGGTGGAAAGATGCATCACCATAGTAATTCTATTAACCCTTTCCACTCTCACCATTCCAACCTTTATGGCAGATTAACTCAAAGTCCACCCAAAAGGCTGTACTCGGTAACTCCTTGCGTGGAGATCTCTCCATTCCCCCGAGCTGAAAAGGGTTAAGAAAAATCACCCTTCTCCCCTAAACAAACACAACTTAATGTGTTCCACCTGCACTTACATATACATACAGATGTAGGAAAGGATGGCGGCTATGTCATGGGATTCAGTCATGTTGTCAAATCGCGCACAACTGATGCCAAAACTGGTTCGAAAAAAACAAAACCAGCTATCTGAAATATCGAAGTTTGAAGGCGGGAGGGACTTTAAGCCTGCTCAGTCTGTCCACTTAACCTTTTTTTCCTTAAAAAAAATATCCAGCTTTAACAATTCAGATTTTCTATCCTCTGCCAAGACTCACCCCCCTCCCCACACACATTATGCCAGCTTGTCCCCCCTCCCTCAACGTTCAATAATGGGTTCCAGGCTGCTGGGGGCACAGGTCTTTCCCTACATGCTTTGCCATTCTGCCTCTCAAGACTTGTAGGCCCCCGCCCAGCAGTCTGTTCCTATACACTGACTGGCAGCTATCATGGTTTGAGAAGATATATTGGATAAGAAGGCGTGAAAGTTCCTTCAAATTCTTCGGGGCTCAGCCCTTTCTCCAGGATGCAGTTTCTGCAAGTTTTGCACTCTCCTGCCAACATTCATCACCTCTCACTTCCTCCTGTCTTTCTGTTTCCTCTCTTGACGTCTGCCCTGCTGGTCAGCCAAGGAGCGTGGTATTAGGATAACACTACCATTACTGGCGTACTGTAGGGCATACTGATTCGGGGAGTAGGGCTGGCCATTCTCATCACGCAGGCGGCCAAATACCTCCTGATAGAGGTTCTGCACCTTTTGCTTCATCTGGCGAATGGACCTGAGAAACTCCACCTTCTCCCTGAGCAGCTTTGACTTGTCTCTCTGCAAATCCTCTACATCCCGTTCCAAGTTGAGGATAGTGTCCAGCTTTCTCTTACGACAGTTCTGGGCAGCCATCTTGTTCTTGCCCCGTCTCCGGATGTCCCGGATTAAGCTCAGCTGGGCCTCACTCAGTTGGTACTTGGACAGGAGTTCATTGAATTCTTCTACAGGCAAGTTGATGATCTTCTCGTTGGGGAAAGGGATCTTCATGGCTCGGGCCCGGTGCTCATCTCGGCTCATCTGCTTATCCAAGAAGTCTGCCTGTTTATCCTTGGCACTCTTCTTCCCCATGGTGGCTGGCTGGGGCTCATCAGTGTCTAAGGTCCTGGGGGCCATGTTGTAGGTGTGATTGTGACCTACATGCTCCAGATAAGGCAGATATTGCAGCTGAGAAGGGTTCTGGTAGCTCATACGACAAAACTTGCTGTACTCTGGCTGGTACCCAACTGCCCCTTCTGCATCTTCAACGTCCACATTTTCAGAGTCCGAGTTGTAGCCCACAGCACCTTCCTCAGAAAAGGAGGAGGAAGCTGAAGATGATGATGACGATGCTTCTGAGCTGCTGAGAGAAGCAGGACTGTGGCTCGAGTCCAAGGAGAGCCCCGAGTCGGAATCAAATTCTTCCTCCAGGCGGGAAGCCTGCACTGGGTTGAAGCCTTCTTCAGTGGCCAAGTCCATCAAGCTAATCTCATCTAGCATGGCTTCATCAAGGAGTCCCCCAAGAGGATCTGGCAGCTCAGGCCCAGATGTTTCGTTTACAGTGCCATTTAACTGGGGAGGGAAGAAGATCCCACTCAGGTTGGTAGAGCCAAATGTGGTGTTGAAGCCAGTGGAGTTGTCAGGAACCAGCTGCAACAAAGCTGAGCTGCCAGCTACTGAGAGGTTCTCCATCTCAGAGCTGAACAAGGAAGCAAAGTCTTGTGTACAGCTGCCCAGTGACGCCTGATGCAGGCTGACATTCTGGTTGATTGGGGTGGATGGAGCAAGGCTGTAGTTGGCATTCAGAATGTCTCCACCTGTGCTATCGTACAGGGTCCCTGCAGCTGCTGTGCTGTTCACCTCCATACCCTGAAAAGGGGAAAGATAAACTTTTCAGACTCTAGGTGTCTCTATTTTCCTCCTAGAACACAACTTGAATAAACGGGTACACAAAACAAGTCCTTCAAAGAGGACCCTGTGAGAGAGCAAAGAAAACCAAAGACCCAATCATTCAGAAGTTTACGTTAGCATGAAGGGAACTCACTTCCCTTCCACTTGCATGTGTGGAGAACTGGGACACGGGTTTCTGTTTGCAACAAATCAGGAACTTGCATAACAATGCAGCATGCTTGCTAGCAACTGTGCCCTATCTACCAAAGCCAGGTCTGCATCCTGCATTACTCAATACTCCTCTGTAGCTTGCTACCTAGTTATTGGGGTGGGTCCAGGAGGGGGACGGAAATGGCTCCTATCTGAGACACGCCACTGATAAATCTTTTTGTCTAATATAGGAAGCAGACAGCAGACAAACATTCAGAAACTGATTGTTCTTAGACAAAATCAGGCCACCTGAAGAGTGTCATCTGACCACCAATCTGGCAGCCCAGAGGTGAAAAAACCAGGGTCAGGAGCAGTGGCTGTGCAATTTGTGGAGGAATTTATTTATTTTTTTTAAAAATCAATACCTGGTATGCAGAGAGGCAAAACATTTCCCCAGCAAGGATAATGAATAGGCTGCATGCATCCTGTGACAGGGATGCTATATTGTTTTAAGGGTGGGAAAGAACTGTCCCCAAGTTGTAGTGGCTTATTACGACCCTGAAGAGAGAGGTGTCTTTTGTTTGGCCCTTCCCAGGGGACCGCTGCCCTGCTACGTTGCAGGCAGTCACTTGGTACAGTGTGTGCACTGCTTTTGACGACTCTTGAACTAGATGGTCACCTAACTGCAGCTCTGGTTTCCCATTTGCTGCACATTCTTCTAGGCTCCTGCCTATTGTTATAGGAAAGATGGTTGCAGCAGCAGCAGAAAGATCATTCTTCTACAGAAGGAGAAATTCACAAAACAGAGATATTAACAACCTTCACATTTGCCTGAAACCTAGCAAAACACTAAACAGTGGCATGGTAAACCCACCTGAAGAGAAAGCAGAGGAGGACCTAGAAAAATAAACAAGGGTAGAAGCCAGCCTTCCTCACCTGCGTTTCCATTATAGACATGAGGTCCTGCCACTGCTGCTCCAGGTCGAAGGGCAACTCTGTCCCTGTTAGTAGGGGAGACAGAAGCCCGTCTGGCACAGTGGAAGGCCCGCTCTCACTCGGCAGAACTTCAGTTAGGCTGGGGGCATCTGCAGCTGGAAACTGAAAGCAAAACACCTTTCAGTCATGGTAGGCATGTGGCAGTGAAGCGTCATGTCAGCAACAAATCATTACTCCCGCTTCCTCTCTGCATGAACTTCTGATACAGACTGTAACAGCCATCCCCCACTCCCAAGGTTCCCTGCAACCACAGTATTAGGGGCTTTAAAGCACTTGCAGGGGCGGGGAGGGGTGGCATTCTCGCCACTTCTTTCCTGCTAATCTACCTGGCCTTGTGCCTGGAACAAGAACAAGCTTTTCTCTTCATTTGGAAGAATTCACAGCCTCACAAGGTTATGGCAAGGGCATGAGATAAAGATTGTCCAAGTCCATTTTTTACACTGAATGCGTCTATAGAAATGCCATATGCTGTTACTACTAAGCAGTTAAATCTTCCCTTTCCCAAGGGCCATCATTGACCCACCTCCGAATTCTCCCCAAAGGGAAACGTGGCCTCCAGCAGCCTAAGGCACTCCTCCAAGGACAAGGCTGTCTGGTCCTCAACACCAGGCACCTGGAAGAGCAAATAATTCAAGTGTCATTTTACTGTAAGATCATCTATACCCGTGCCCTTCAACTTTTTCAGACCAACCTCCACCGGCAACATATGACTAACTTCTTTTAAAAAGCCTGTACATTCTCCTATTCTTTGTGTGCCTCTTTTAAGAGATATCTGGAGGGTGGCAATGAGAAAATAGCCCTTTTCTGTCATCCTTCCAGCACCAGGCAGACATTTTTATTCCCCTGGACGTTTCAGCAGCATTAATAGTGGCTGTGTTTGTGTGTGCTTGTTTGTATACATTTTTATGTGGATGGGGTGGTTATTTTATGTTGCTGCTGATGTTGTAGATGCACATTATAGTGCATCTGCATTGCTTTTAAAAGTATTGTATTTTGTGTGTTACTGTCTCTGTAATTAACACAGAGACTTCTTTTCTTTTGGCTGAGTAAAGCAATCTATTAGCTGAATAAACTAAACTAACATTTATCTTTCCTCCTCGCCCCACTCACTTTTATTCTTCTCTTGAACTTAGATAAATGTAATTAATGCTGAGGTGACACCCGTCTCAGACACAGACGAAACCCAGTGATGTAGTCCAATGCACAGCCTGGGACAGGGCTAAATGCTCAGAACCAGGTAGTCCTGACCAAGAGACACAGTTTCCTAAAAACTCACCTCAACAGCCAATAGCTACGTGGTTGTCTATCTGGCGCGGTTTCCAATACCACACCCAGTTCCCTGTCCCACAACCCCTCCACAACCACCCCACTACTTATTCCAATGACACCCCTGAGTCTCTTCTCAAACACCCTGCATTCTGACAAAATTTCAAATGCTGAAGTCAAGAAAGGGTTTATGTCACACAGTAAAATTTAATCAAATGCAAATTCTCTTGGTGCAGAATTAGATGCAGCCCCCAAGAAGGGAAGCCCTGCTTCCAGAGGATATTCTAACTGGGGTGAGCCATTCCAGAGGCTGTCACCTACCCTGCATTCCTGCAGTCTTATAAGTGGGGACTGACTGAACTGAATCTGGAGATCTGATGTGCCCAGTAACAACTGTTCTCAAAGCCATCCAGGGTCAAGAGTTTATTAACTGGCTTTGATAGGATATCACAGTACTACTCTGAAGACTCAGGATGGATTCACCAAATTAGAAAGAGATATAGACTAGAATGCCAAACAAGAGCAACCCCAAGTAGAATCCTACTCACAAGATACTCCTGCCATGTTGGGGGGAAACTCATGGTGATTGTACCTATTCCCCCTGCTGTCCCCTTTGCCCCCACAAAATTGGCTCCAGAGCAGTGTGTGAGGCGTTATAAAGAGAAATAAGGGGAAATGGCCTCCCCACAGCATCTGCTAGCAGGATTCTCTGATAAATCCTAGCCCCATTTGGAAGGAGGCGGGCTAGGACCAAACTAATGAGATTTATAGAGAGAGATTTAAAAATTCTTACTAAATAACATACTCTTAACAGTTGCAACCAAAAATAAGACATGGAGAAGGCCCAGTTCTCACAGAACAGAGGTGAGAAGAAGCCAGGATGCTGGGAGAAGGATCAGAAGGTGGTGGTGTGAAGCCTAGGAAGAAGCAAGGGGTGTATGTTGAGGACTACCACAAAGCAACAAAGCACAGACCAAGGCCTTTAACCAAGCACGGAAAGGTAATGAATATCTATGCACTCAAACCCAACGCAAACGGAGAAGCAGCCCTGCCTGCTTCCTGGGCAGAATCAGCAACACTGAACATCAGTGTTTCAGAACTAATTCCCTTTTAAGAGTTGTGTCTGAACTTGAAAAGGGGAGGACATTTTCTAGCATCACAGCTATTTTCTTCCCAAGGCCTACCCAAGCATGCAGTGAGAGGGAGCAGCAGACTTTCCTCTACTGAACAGCTACAAAGAACAATCCCAGGATGGTGGATAAGAAAACTGTCCTACCCAACTAGGGAGTTGACTTCTTGTTTTTTTACCTGCGCAGGAAAGCTTTCCCCTGTCTCGCCATCCACTAGCAAGGCCCTGTCAGCGACATCGCCCCCTCTGCTCCTCCAGCCATCCCCACACTCCTCCCCATTATTTGGTTCTTTGTCCACTTCGTTCTCCTTCTGGCGGTGGCTGTAGTCAAAAATCTCACGCCCAGCTCCAAGGTCGATATCCTGTCTCCACAGGATGTCAATTAAATCAATGTCCTAAAAACAAAAGAAAAACAAGGGGGGACTTAAAAAACTCGTAATAAGGCTTCTCCCTTCCTTGCCACCCTCTTTTCCCTGGAGGATGCCCTCCCCTGCAACTTCACCCTCCCTTGTGACGTACTGCATCCGCCACCATTTGACCCTACTCACCTCCAAGTGCCGCCCTTCATTCTGAATATGGTGCAGCCCCACCTTTCCTGCTCCTTTTCTGGACCATCCCTGATGTCGTGGGGCTCCAGATACCTTCCCCCCACCTACAGCCATTCTGCGCTGGGAGCTGGCCAAGAGCGGCTCTGCAACGAGGCTGCTCCGGGGCACAGACCGGGAACTCCATGAACAGCAACAGAGCTGTCTCCTTGCCGCTGCCCATGCTACGCAGCAGTGCTCGCTCTGTCCAGGCAGCAGGGAGTCTGCAGCTTTAACTGCTCAGACGGCTGGCTGGCTGGCAGGCGGAGGGAGGGGAGGAAGGAGGGAGGGAAGGGAGGGCCAATTGTCATTCTGGATTGCTGCTCCATAGCGGGCTTGCATCAGCCTGTGGTGCCATTCTGGCTATTTGCATAAAGGGGTGGGGATTCTCTGCATTTTCAGCCACCTGATGCAACTCAAGAACCCGGCTTTGCCATGCGTGCTCTGCCTGGCCAGCTCCCTCTGCTCCAGACAGCAGAGCTGCCTACCTTAACCAGCCCTTCAAACTGAAAGCAAATTGCCCTGCTGAACACATCCAAAACACACTGCCTTCTTCCAGCTGCAAAGCAGTGATCAGCCCTCATCCAGACCAGACTCTAGACATGCTTCTCCTTTGGAATGCCATCTCCCTTCCCCCACAATATCCTGAAAATTCTTCCTCTGCAGGACAGGCCTCTCCCAAGGCTAAGCCACCCCCCACAGGCAGGCTATATTTATTCATGCACTGCAGGAGTGTGTTCCTTTCATCCAGGCCCAGCCCTAGAATTGCCAAACACACAGAGGTACCTCCCCACCCTGTGGCACAGGCGGTTGTTCTTTTTTGTTACAAGGCATATGCAGTTTTTTAAGCGCCACTGTCAGCCAGCGCTTCTGGCCCCACCCTCCACAAACCTATTTCCTAAGGAAAACAGATACCCACCCACCCCAAACTACTATGCTACTATGTACAGAGGTTACATATGGATCCAGAATTCAGGCTGCCAGAGACACTAATTTTTAAGTTGCTGTTTCTTTCTCCCAGACAAGAACTCAGCAGAGTAAAGTGCCCTCTTTTTCAGAGCACTACCAAAAAGAAAGCAGAAAAGTGTCGTGATTTCCCCTTACCCTCCTACCCCCAATGTCAGAGTATAAGGTTGCTCTGTGTTGCAACACTATTCAGAATTTTCCTCCTGTCAATAATAGCTCTAAATTGAATATGCAAATTCTGGTATCAGCTTCAATCACTGGTCAAATATTTCAGGACCTCCTTACAAATCAGTCTCTTCTGTAACTGCCAATCCTGTTCTGCTATGGACTCTCACTATCCTCACCCCAGCAGAATCAAATGCTCTTTCAGGGCCAAATTTGTCGGAGGCACTATTTGGATCACCTTTCCTCCCCCCCCCCCACTTCTTGAATTCACCCCAAATTAACTAAAACAAGTTTAGACAACCCTCTTCCCCATCTCACATAATGGGTACCTTGACCAAACCCAACTTTGTTATTCTCCTGCAGTGTGCCCTTTAACACGAGAAACCCGTTCAAATTAAATAATACAATCTGGATGGATGCCTTGTCCAGTTACACACAGAAGATTTCTCAGGTCTCGGGGCAATCTGATGGTGTGGGCAAAGAGATATGCCAGCAAGGTACCCATCTCTGCCCCCCCCCCACCTGCATCTTTCAGTAAACAGGCCAGGATACCCATATGGGCCAAAGGCGTCTTTGGTCTGCACCCCCTCACCCTCATTTCGACCATCTGCTTCTTCCCAGATGTACCCCCCCCCCCATTCCAAGACTCTGCTCACCCTCCCCCACTTCAGGACATTCATTTCTCACACAACCCATTTCCTCTTGTTCTCAGAGCCTCTCCCTCCTCAAGTCGATATAACACATCCTTCCCCCCCTACAGATTTATTAGCTCCAAGGTGCCTGGTGGGAAGAGATCTGGCCTGCTCTAGCCACAATCTAATAGCAGGCATGAAGGAGGGGCAAGAAAAGGGTTAAAAGGGATACCTTTCTCATGTCCCCAGCTGCCGCTCCCAGAGCTGTCCACCCAGATCATGGTCTATGTAGAGCGCAAATTCCGGGCAGGCAGAGCTGGGTGACCCAGGCAGGGTGCTGGACAGACATCTCTGGTTTCAGTTAACAGTTGCTCTTTTTTTCTTTTCTTTTTTGGCAGGCTTGCCAGCCGCCCCCGAGTTGTTTAGAAGCCCCCCTCCTTTGCCAGCATGTGACCCACAGGTGCTGTGCTATCGCCAGCCCTCCTCCCTCCGCCCCAGCATGAGATCCAATCCTCAGCGCTCCTCCTCTTGTTGCTTAGAGGAGTTCCGGCGAATCCCCACCCCCTGCTCAATGCCCAGGCTGCAGATATGGAATCCCCACCCCATGTGCCGGGCTGAGGCTGCAGCGAGACTGAGACAACACCCCCCACCACCACACACCCCGTTACCTAGGCTGCAGCCGGAGCCAATCCCCTCCCCCAGGTCACCGCGGAGGATGCAGAGGGAGCCAGGCTCCGCCCTGTGCTGGTTACCTAGGCTGCAGAAAGAACCAATCCCAGGCCTCAGGTCCCTGCTGAGGATGCAGAGGAAAGGGCTCCTCCTCGCACTCGTCACCTAGAATGCGAAGAGGAGAGCCAATTGCTGCTCCTCTCTTCCACCCCGCCCAGGTCGCCCTGGGAGCTGCAGCAATGTTTGGGCCTCTGTCTCCTTGAGAAGCTCCCACGCCAAGATGCCCCACCCAAGCCAGGCAGTGATGCTCCCAGCGGTTCGGGGAACACCGAAAAGAATAAAATGCCGACAACATTCCTTCGCTCTTGCATATCACCTACCAAAATCAGTCCTGCTAGGCAGCACCCTTGCCTAGAACATTTTCCCCAACCTGCCGGAGATTACCAAAAGTTCCCTCTTCCGTATCAGCACAGATTTCATCCCCACCCCCACACTTTTGTTTTATGGCAGCACGGAAGGGTATGGAAGCCCCTCAACCGCCAGAAAAGCTCTGCTGAAGCCCACTCCGGCTGCTGAGATTTTGCTGCACTACACTTCAAACTACGCAAAGCCCTAGGAATGAGCATTTACAAATATGGTGGGGGGGGTCTATGGGTTCTTACAGAACAGCGTTAACATACACAGACAGAGTGCCAGGACAGCGGAGGGTCAGTGCGTCTTGCTGTTAACCAGAAGGCTGGTGGTTCGAGCCCACCTGGCTGTAGCCAGGATTCCTGCATTGCAGGGAGTTGGACTAGATGCCCCTCGGGGTCCCTTCCAACTCTGCAATGATTCTATGATTCTACTACTACCACATCCACTCACACAGGCAATCAGCATTCTACAAATAATAAAACACAAAATATTTATACAGCCCTTTTCCATAGCCACCTCACATATGTTCCCCAATGCTAAAGCATTTGAGACTTTTAAACCTGTGATTCTAATATGCACTCTTATCTCAGGAAAAGTCCCATCTTAATCAATTGTATTTACATGCATAGGATTTCACTGGCAGTTTAGAAAAGGAAGATCAAGGGACATGACAGTAACTTTTTAAATTATTCAAAGTGTGGAGAAAGCAAAGAGGAAGTATTTTCCTCTACTGGTGTAACAAATAACTCAATGAGTAGATTTTTAAACATCACTTTATCGCAGAACACAATTTAAGGAATTCGCCGCAACAAGCGTGGCTGGGGCAACCCAGTCAGATGGAAGGGATATTTATATTTATATTTATATTTATTATGTGCTGGCTACTGCTTTAGAAAGCTTTAAAAAGGGATTGGATAGGTTAATAGAAGATGGCCATTAATAAACCCAATAACCATGACAGTAAAATGGAACCTCTACATACATAAGCAGCTGCTGAGGAAGAAACAGGGGAGACTTGTAGCCTCCCTGGAGGCTGCCACGGACCTTTACTGGTCTGATCCAACAGGGCTCCTTTTCTCTCAGAAATATTTATACCATCCATTTGGATCAGGACAGTTACCAGTGGCTTCTATGTCTGTTTCCCCCCCACAAACAGTCCAGTCTAACCTTACCTGCCATTCTATTACTTACACATTTACATCCTATACAGTGAAATTAATAAGGTAGGATTCTGTCTACATTGTGTTCTGAAATGAGTTAAGACAGCAATGGGCTAAAGGTCAAAGATTCAGAGCAAGAACTTGGAACAGAGCAGCATCTTAATGCCACAAAATATTATATATTATAGGCCATCCCAAGTTGCATGTTTCAATGCTCTCGTTGATTCTATCTTCTGTTAGCTGCGGAAGTTCTAACTGTTCAATCCAGCTGAACCTGGTGGTTTCAATTGCCTCCATTGTATTTTGCAGAATATAGTTCAAGTAGGAATTGAAAAATCCCAGGTCCTTTGAACATATATGATTTTTTATTTTTTACTGGCACATGGGAACTTAAGTCTGTAATCCTACATTCACTTATTCACTACATTCAGTGGGACTTACTTCTAAGTAGACATGTACAAAATTACACTGTAAATAGTTTATTACCCATCTCCTTCTTTAAGACAGAGGAGCTGACACTACAAACACATGTTCCACTTCCCCCATTCTACATTATAAATGACAAGAGTGAAAGCATATACCAAAATTACTTACAAAAACCTCATGACAGCTCTAACTAAAAGTAGTCAACATAGAGGCCAGACAGTCAGTCAACAATGTGTGCTCAGCTCACTGTGTAGTCAGAGCCTAGAGCCACTATGTGGGAATTTTTAAAACCCTGACCTCAAAATATATTGCCACCCATTTCCACCTAGACTTTTCCCAAACAAGCTTGCAATCACCAACAAGGTGGTTTGATTTAAATCAAGCTGATTTAAAATCAATGATTATTATTTCTTCATATAGTTCCTAAATAATGGTGCACATTTGATCATGAAACCATATTCATTTACAGTTTATGCTGCAATCCAAAGAGGAAGGGAACCAAAGGTGATTGAACTGCTTTAACTTGCACTCCCTCTGGAATTTTCTCTTTAAAAAAATACATAAAACTATTTCCCTGTCATTGGGAATAAAAGAAGGGGATTTAGAAGGAGTGATTTATGAAACATCCTGAGCTAGTTGAAATCTCTCCCAGGTTGGGTGGCCAGGAAAGCTGGGAATTCTTCAAACCCAAACCTGATGTTGTGACAGGGGCTGGCTGGACACTGAGGAGTGGTGGTTGGATACTGAGGAGTGGGCACCACCGGGAGAAGGGGGGCTAGAGACTAACTTGGAAGAAGGGAACAGTGATCTGGGGGAGCCGCTAACAGACAGGAGACGAGAATCAGGCAGGATAAGCTGCAGGATTAGAGAGTGAAGAACAGGTTGAGGAGGAGGAGGGAGAGGTCAGGCTGGTGGAGAGTCAAGGGCATGGGTAGGCCAGATCAGGCCCAACTGCCTTCTGGATCCGGCCCGCAGATGGTCTGGGAATCGCTGCATGGATTGCCAGCACATGCGTTCTTTCCCTCTCCCTCACACGGCAGCTCCGGCGCTGGCGCCTCCTCCCTCCCTCCCTCCTCCTGGCTTCTCCCTGCCCTGCCTAGAGGAGGAGGGGGGCTGGGCTTTGTTGGTGCCAGGGTCAGCAGTGCTTGAGCAGCCTTTTAAGCAGCCCCTCTCTGGAGCCCTTTCGTGTGCCACTCATCGTCCCTCCGCCGCCACCGCCAGCCCCTGCCACTCGCAAGACAAAGGTAAGCAGCCACCAGGGCTCGTCCAGTACTGTGGAGAAGGGATGGGAGAGTCGGGGGTTATAGTCTGGCCCCCCACAAGGTCTGAGGGACAGGGGACCGGCCCCCTGCTGAAAAAGTTTGCTGACTCCTGGTCAAGGGCTTCCACACCTCTTCCTCTTGCCCCCACCTCTCCTGCTCCACTGTCTCCCAGGACCAAGCAAGAATTGAAGAGGGAGGAGCAGAAGCAGGTTACACGCAGATGCAGTCTTCACATGCTGCTTACGCGCAACTCGGGTGGGGAAGATACATAAGCTGAGGTCAGGGGCCAGGCCTCTCTGTCACTGCAACTGCCTCATCGGGTGCACACCTTGGAGTAGCTGAGCAATGTAGGACTGATAGACATGCCTTTTCCCTACTTGTAAGTGTACTTTTGACAATAAAGAGTTACCTCCTCACTCTGGACATTCCTTGCCTGACAGCCCCCTGGCAGGGCCAGGACACTGGGTGTTTCTGCAGAGATGAGGCTCCAACGTATTCTATGGTTCCTGTCTAAATAGAGTATTGTTTATTCTGTTTTGATTCTTACAACCATGTCCTGCATCTTGCATTGTATACATTTTGTAGCAAGGTTTGTAGGTTTTTCTTTAGCTATATAGGGAATGCCTTTAAAATATTCCCCTTTAGTGTTTGCTTACAACCAATAGCCCTGAGAGTTTGTGAGGTTACGCATAAAAATATAGGAATCTGACCACTGGGTAAATTTGTTGTCTTATTTACAGCATTCCTCCTCTCTGCTTCGGCCCAACCTCAGCCTCACAAAAACAAAGTAACAAAGATGGAAGTAAGGTTTGCTAGTTACTGGGTTATTTTCATTAGGTGAATAAATACCAAATACTTTGGTAGGCTGAATGCAAATATTCATACTTGATCAAATTGGCTCTTCAGACATAGATATAGATATAGGCAAGGCCCAATGCTAGCAGGTAAAAATTAAATCGGTAGAAAGGCATACTATAGTGCTAACATGCAGATCAACCTAGTTGTTCTTTAAGATAAACTTCTAGTCACTTTTTTAAAAAAATGATTATTTTTTTAAATCCACCCTGATCACCCTGGGAGCAGGGGGGAAAAGTTTATGGTTGAATGTGATGAGAAATAAATGCAAGTCTTGGGGAAAGAAAGTGAGGGAATGGCATCCTGCTATGTATATATATAATTCAAAATGAACAGGGGAGGAAAGCAAGATGCAGAAAGAGTCAATAGAGTATAGAACAGATATAGATATATAGATATATAACCATGAATAAAAAGTTGGCATTCAGTGGACTCCAAGGGGGCTGCATCCTAAGTCACCCCATTACAAAACTGAGGTCAAAGCATGACATCAAAAACTGTATTGCATGCATTGCATCACAATTTCCGAAGAAAACTTTGGCAACTCTTTGATCTTCTACACCCCAGTTTGCCATCCATATATAAACATGTAATCACGATGAAGGTAAGCACAGGCGAACACTCAGTATGTGGGCAATAAACATGACAGCTTAAGAAAACTGACGATGTTATAAGACCCACCCCTTTTAAAAGTATGTTCTGTTGAAGCAGCATTTACTGCTTTAAAAGGTGCTTGAAGAAGAGCTCCAGGACTCTGGGGCCTAATCTCCAACAAAAGTTAGCTTTTTGGTAGCCATGTCAAGGCAAACAAGATTGGCCAGGAAACAGGGTAGTGGTGAACGATGGGCGATAGCATTTATAGTCAGGCTATTTCCCAAGGGTTCAGGCCAAACTAATGTGTATGGATCTAGTCCCAGTGCATTCATGTTGTAATTCCGGGAAAGACAAGCTTACTAAAAACAACAGCAACATACTCTGCTACAGTTAAAAATAAACACAGCTCAAGCATTTTGTTCCTTTAACTTGACAGGGCGGAACCTCTTCAAACCCTCCTAATCCTAAAGGTTGCAAAGGGTCCTACTTTCACACAAGTGAGCCCAGGTTTAGGGGGCCCTGAGTACAAACAGAAGTGTGAGACTGGAGAACAACTGCAGCTCCTCAAGGAAAGGGAGAAGTTGTGCTGGATGCAATAAGAAGTGGGCATAAAAGTGTCAGAGTTTGTGGGCAAGTTGTGTTTTTCAACCAGCCAGTTTTCTACAAACAGTCCTTAATTTCTTTTCAAGAAAGTAGGATAGCTTGAGCCTCCTTGCTCCCCAGCTTTCTGAGACTAAATGCCCATACCCTAGTTATGTCTGCCCCTGGACCATGTCTGTCCCACACCTCTCATCTCCTATTGCCAATTCCTCGAGGGGCCACTTCTGCAAACACATACTCAGGGGCCCTATTCCTGCTATCTTAACACGCATGCATAAACATGTAACAAAATATCTGTGCACTTTAATCTTAAGTTATTGTGCAATACTTGACTTTACTATACAGAGCTGGTATCGATATTTTTTTTTGAGAGAAACAGACTTGTGTGACATACAGTGGTACCTCGCAAGACGAATGCCTCGCAAGATGAGAAACTCGCAAGACGAAAGAGTTTTTGGTTTTTTGAGTTGCTTCGCGAGACGAATTTCCCTATGGGCTTGCTTCGCAGGACGGAAACGTCTTGCAAGTTTGTTTCCTTTTTCTTAAAACCGTTACAGTAATACAGGGTGCATTGCTTGAAGAGGTGCAGTTGCGACTTGACTTCAAGGAGCAACTCATAGCACGCGGTGTGGTAGCCTTTTTGAGGTTTTTGAAGACTTTTTTGAAAAAATGGAAACCGTGCTTCGCAAGATGAAAAAACTCGCAGAACGAATTAATTTCGTCTTGTGAGGCACCACTGTACCTGCAAATATTTTAGGCCAGAGGTAGCTAAACTTTCTTGGTCCAAGACCCACATTCACCCTTGGTGAGATCTCCAAGGTCTGCACACCAGTGGTAACACCATACTTTTCACCACAACCTACACACAGGGCAAACCCATGTACAAGACACAGTGCTCTGCCCTTCAGCTGAGCCATGAAGATCTAACTACCCCCTCCTAGCTCAAGTGGCCAGCTGGATGATTGGGAAGGGGACAATTTGCATCCTCATCAAGGTGTCCACTCCAATATCGACAGCATTCTTGTTTCTGCCACTGCCAACATTATGGGGAGGTGGTCTAGGAGGCAGGGGAGAAACATTTCCCTGGAGAGCTGGATCTTACAGATTTGAGATTTGTATGTGAATACTATAGTTCACCTTAAGCCTCTGGCTCAGACTAAGTAATAAATCACTTTTTGAGGGGTGGGGGTGGGAAAGAGGCTTATAGCAGTATTAAAGATAGAACTTGAACTAAAACAGGCATAGGCAAACTCGGCCCTCCGGATGTTTTGGGATTACAACTCCCATCATCCCTGACCACTGGTCCTGTTAGCTACGGATGATGGGAGTTGTGGTCCCAAAACATCTGGAGGGCTGAGTTTGCCTATGCCTGAACTAAAAGTACAGAGAACGAAAGGCTCAGATGGATCAGAGATGCAGACCAAGGTAACATGAATCAAGCCCAAATCCTAACACTTTGAATAGCAAGAAAAGACATTTGGGGCAGGCTCCAGCCTTTGAGGGACTATTGATAGCAAACCATTTGGTGAAACGACCCTGCTCACCCACCCTGCCTCCACGTGGTAAGTCACCATAATGGACAGTGGCTTCTTCTTCCTCCCCCCTCCACGTGCCATCCAGTGAGTAGGCAGTGGAGCAGTGGTCACTGCTTGCTGCTGCCATCGTAAGTGGGAGAAGGCAGGCAAGTAAGCAGTGGCAGCTGCTGTTCCTATCAGGCATCACTGCCTGCTTGCTTGGTGGCAAGCAAATCATAGCAGAAAATGCTCCCACTATTGGTGGTGCATGCTAAAGGGTGGATGCACCCAATTAGTGTTTAATTACATTTTAATTATTGTCTTTTCTATGTTTTTAGCTTGTTCTATTTTATCTGTGTAAGCGCCGCTTTGAGTCCCAGGCTGTAGAAATAGTGAGACAGAAATTATTATAATTGTATGATAATTATAATATCACAGTGAGCCAGAAACAGGGAGAGGTGGCACTGTGGGCAAGTTAGGAGTTAGTAAGTAAGCCTCTCGTTAAGCACCTTGGGGCACAGTAGCTGCCCAATGAAGATAACCTAAAACCAGCCTGGAAAAGCAGCAAGGGCAATGCTAAAATATGCAATGAAGCACAGAGACAAGGCTAAAGGGTGCTGAGCTGCATTCTTACTAGCAGACAGCAGCCATTTTCAGAAGCAATGTATAATCTTACAGGAGTCTGCTGTGTCCTAATAAGAATGCTGCTCAGCAGCTTTGAAGTCCTGTGCCTGTTTTGCAGTGCCTACTTTATGCAAGTCTGCTCTGAACAGTCCAGTCTTGTTCTAGAGTGCCCAGGTTCAGAAGACCAGCAGTCTAGTCTCACACTGAAAAATGTCTGTGCACATACTAGAATAGTTCCTGTAAACTCCATTAGCCCTCATGTCTGGAAAGGGGAGGGGGGAACCCTTCCCTTCACCTCTTAAGGTTTGAGGAAAACAGTATGTTCTCAACTGGCCCATGTTTACAGGAATTGTAACTCCCCCAGCATTCAGGGGGAGGGGGGAGACAGAGCAAAGGGTAAGGAGATCCTCTCCATATGTTGCCAGAGTAGAGACAGGCTTGGGGTGGGAGTGGGTCACGATGGAATAATACTAACTCTCTCAGCTCTCATCACATGTTGCCTGAGCTGGGCATTTATTTTTATACCCTTGTTGTGGAAATATAATACAAGGGCACCATAATCCAGAGAACAAGTCCTTCTAGAAGATCAAGCTGCCTACACAACTCAAGCCTATAGAATCATAAAGTAGGAAAAATACTAGAGAAATTAACAGCAAACTCTGTCACTTTACAAGCACTGTTCTTGAATCCTTGCACAGCAGGCATCAAAACTCTGGACTCCTAAATACAGTGGTACCTCTGGTTGCAGACAGGATCCGTTCCAGAAGTCCGGTCGGATCCCAAGGTTTTCGCAACTGGAGGTGTCTGTTCTGCGCATGCGCGCACGGTGAAACCTGCAAAAATACTTCTGGGTTTGCCGCATACATAACCTGAAGGATACATATCCAGAGGTGCACGCAACTAGAGGTACCATTGTACAAGCATCCCTCACTCTCACCCAATTCCAAAACCTTGCCAGAGACCAGGGAAATCACAGCTGCCCAACTCTCTGTTGCATTTATAGAAAATGACTGAACAAGACTAGCCAGGGCATGAACAGGAGCAATCTTGAAGGATCATGTCTGATGAAATCAGGTGCAAGGATACCAGACCAGGCAAGAGGGCAGATAACTGAGGAGGCAGCAAGCTTAATGGAAAGTTTCAGGCAGGCAGAATGCAAGTATTTGGGGAGGGGTCATAGACTCTGCTTTGCATGCCGAAGGTCTCAGGTAAATTCCCTGGCATTTCCACATAGAATGGGAAGAGACCCCTGCCTGAAACCCCAGAGAGCCACTGCCAGTCAGTGTAGTCAATACTGAGCTAGATGGACCAAGGGCCTAATTCAGTAAGGCCGTTTCCTATGTTCCTATAGTCCCCTACAGGCAAATTTCAATGAAGTTTTTTGTCTATAATCTACAACATCCACAGCTAATGAGCTGGGGCAACCAAAGCACCCCATTCTAGGACAAAGTTGAAAAACAAGCACTGACAGCCAAGGCCAATAATACAAGACAGCCGTAAGAACTCTATATGGCCTTGCAGGGATGAAAGAACAAGTTTGGTATGAAAGCTGTTACAGCTGAAGAGCCACCCCACTCAACAATCTAAAGCACAAGGCTTGGCACTCTGATCCACTGGAACAATGCTGGAGCTCAGATGACAAGGTGGATGATGTTCCAAAAAGCATATAAATGTAATCTACACAATCTCTTTCATCCATAGCTTATGACTCACTTGGGAGTGTGGATTTCCCAAACACATTTGCTTAAAAAAAATTATTTCAAGATACTTGAAATTAATACGGAATCAAAATACTACATTACTTAGACTAACAAGGATGCTCCAGGATACCAGGTATTTCTACAAAAGCGTTTCTCAGCATACTGATCTGGTGTGACATAATATTAAGAACACAAAGAGTGAGTTGGAAGTCCCCAGTTCATTTTCTATACTATGAACCCTCTAAGCAGCTTCACACAAGTCACTTTCTTTTCAGTCTCAGCAACCAGCTTGTGATATGCCAGATGTTATTATTCTGACATCTTGATATAAGGATTACTGAGACATTATTGTACACAAAGAACTTGGAAAGATACTTCATACTTTTACAATTCCCCCCCTTTAACCTTTGGCTCCAGTCATGGGCAGCATTCAGTAAGAAACGAGTTCTTACCTTGAGGCAAGGCTCAGCATGGAGTATCTATAAACTGCTTCTGAGCATGTGCAGAGTACCTTTATTTCACTATTTCATAATCAACCCCAAACCAAAACACAGCAAGGAAGAGAGGAAGAGCTTTCCAGAGCAGACAAGTTTTAGGCAAGCTTTAATCCCAGTACTCACATTTTTAGAGCCACTTCTAGCTAACAGCAACAGGCTGTGTGTTTCCACAAAGGTGGGAAGTGAAGACTAAGATAAAGTCATTCATGTAGCAGCTGCTAAAATAAGAAACTAGGCAGAATCTAAAGACAATATCCCATGTAAAACAACACAAACCTTGGACACCAAGGAGAAGTAGGGGAAAGCTCTATTAAAGAGTAACAAGAAAAATCCATACTTTGATTACAAATCAGAAGACAGACACAAACGTTCTTATTTAGTAAATCTGCCCCAGTTTTAAACAAACAGTGGCTATAATACATAAATGAATCCATGTCATTTTTAACCCGCTATTCATCAAACAAGTGATCCCAAGGAAGGGTATATCAAACGAACAACACAACAATTCTAGTAAAAACAACTACACATTATATGGCCTATCAGTACAAAAAAAGTCAGTTGCCTAATACATCAAGAATCCACTTTTTAAAAAGATAAGTTTTTAGCTAGTGCCAAACACCTACCAATGTTGGTGCCAACCAGATTTCAAGAGGGAGGGAATTCCAAAGCCAGGGAGCCACCGCTGAAAAGGGTGTCTTTTGCTGCCGCAGTACCCTGCAGACCACCTGATTCACCCAGCAGCAAATTTTTTTTTAAACTTTACTTATTTTTGCTGCCAGGCAAATTGGGTAGTCTGCAGGGTAGCACGGCACCAAAAGACACCAATTTTGCTGCTGCAGTACCCAGCAGACCAGCTGACTGCAGCCAAGCAGGTGGAGATGCTAGGAGTCAAGAGGTGGCACCTGGATATCTCCATCCAGTTGCAAAAAGCTGGTTGCTAGTTGCAAAATGAGACTAGCGCCTGGCTAATTTCAAATGCTGGCTGCAGCTCCCAAACCACCTCATATAGAGCACATTATAGAATTCAAATCTACAGGTTACCAGAGCATGGATCACTGTGGTCAGGCTCTCTTTCCAGGAACAAGCTAGCAAAAAAGGTGCTTCCGGTGATGGAGATGAATCCGAGAGCATCCCACACCATGCACCCAACTCCATCAGAGGAAGCACAACCCTGTCCAGAACAGGCCATCTTCCCAATTCCCAGATATGGAAATAACTTATCCACAGAATTAATCTCCAAGCATTAGAGTGTCTATTCTACCCACTCAATAAACTTTGAAAATCAAATTGCTGTGGCTGGATAGAAAAGCTCCTAGGAGCATGTCTTGTGCTTGTGATACTTTTAAAATGCCACAGTGTTTCTAAGTAGATGGCAGAAGATGGAAAAAAAATCCCACTAATGCAACACTACTCAAAGGCAGACAGCATGCCTTCTACATTACCTCTATTAACACAAAAAGCCCCTTAACATCTCAAAATCCCCTGCAAGTGCTTCAGGTCACTCAGCAAAGAAAAACAAAGTCAAAATATTGCTCTGAAGTTAAGATTACACACCACATCACAAGCAAGTAGTTTTGGGTAAGTGCATGAATATGCATACAGGTGGGGGGTGGTTCTTAGGAGACTCATTATTGCAGTCATGGAAGCTAGACATTGGTCTGGTGGATAAGGTAAGCAACTTTTTATCTCAGTGATAAATACACAACTCAGTGACAGAGCAAAGCAGAAGCATCCACTGTACTGACTAGGCCCAAGGAGAAATTATATCTTCCCCAACCCATCTAGTGAGAAGTGCTAGATTGGTACAGACACCTGCTTTCAAAGGATCACTCACTACTTTTGAATGAATAGTCATTGGAAAAGGAAATATTCTTCTGGTCAGCAGGGAGTGGATCAGACAGCAAAGGGCTAAATTCCCATCGGAAGAGTTAGCCTTTTGTTGTGTGATTCATTATCCTGTGAACCAAGAACAGAAGAGCTGCAGGACATGTAGTCCTCATCTCACAAGCTGTCCCATATTATAATTTATAAAAAAGAAGTGACTGAAGATCACACATATAAGAAAGGTATGCATTTTATATTGGTTGGACATATTTTAAAATTTTATACTGCTTTTATTGATTGGTCCTAATGTTTTCTTATGTTCTGAGCCATGTTGAGAGTTTGTATGTTTTTAACAGAATACAAATAAAACAATTCCTTTGGTAATCAGATAGGGCCTGACTGGTGGTTATCACATGGTGAAATGAAGAGTCAGAAGCTCTTTATTACCAGTTCATATGTTCCATGCTGAATCTTAGCAAACCCAGCTCTCACATCACCTCTAGACAAACAGTTAAAAAAATACATAATGTATCAGCTCAGGGGATACTACATTTGCTTGTCTGGGCAGGGAGTGGCTGTACAGCTGCTGCAGGAAAAGGTGTAGCCCCATAGCAAGCAGTTTGTGGCATTTGCATGCGTGGGGATGAGGGAGGTAAAGTGTTTTGAGGGTTGCAGCAATGCTTACCTCCCACACAAGCTGGTATTTGGATTAGCCCAAATTCTTCCCGGCAGTGGATCCAGTCTAAGCCAGCTAGGGTTCCTAGCAGACTCACTGCATCCAGCGAGCAAAGAACATATGCTGAGAAATGGGGCTTAAAATAAAAAACAAATTCAGCAACGCATTAGGGAGTTGCATGATATTTTATGATGCAAAAAAGGAAAGCCCTAGACAACACAAAAGTGGTCTCATGCTACTCACACCTGGCCCTTATTTTCATATGCAAAGCATTTATAACCATTTCTGCAGATACAATAGGATAAACCAAAGTCCTACACAGCTCACCTACACATAAAAAACCTTCACGTTGCTGAAGCCTCTCCTTTCTCAACAAACTCACAAGTCACTGCTACTTCTGCTGTTCCTTCCTTTTCTATAGGGAGTGAGAGACTCCAAAACTCATACCAATTGCTTTGTATTCCCGATAATATTCACTCTCATAGCCACTCTGTGAGACAGGCAACTATTCCCATTTTATTTGTAGAAAAGAGCAAGATATGCCCAATGATGTACAGTAAATCCATGGTCCAAGTTGCGGTTTCTTCCAGAAACAAGTCTCTAATCACAGGGCTGAGGGCCATAATAGCTGAACCTCATTGCTACCCTGATCACAGGATATATTGCCTTTCTCCCAAAGAGCTCTGACAAACATTTTAGCTTCTCAAAAATCAGTGGGCAGGCTAAGAGATGGTGACCTGCATAAGCCACCCAATGAGCTTTAGAGCTGTGTGATCAGTTGAACATGGTTTCCCATACCTATTGCTCAGAACTTTGGACAATGCACAAAACTGCTCATGGCAGCCCCTTCTTCTGTTCGTCATCCTCCATGGCATTCACAATTGACCTTGCAATAATCACTACTGCTATAACACTTCAGTGTTTTAGGCATTTGGCCAGAACCTGATCGTTTAGGAAGGCCTTCAGCTGAAAAACTTATTTCCTTGTTATAAATATGTTAAGGTTGTTTTTGTTAAGCAGTCACAACTGCTTAACACTATAGCAAACAGCTCAGAAAATTCTATCCACGTTGCATCTAGCAAGTGCTTAAACACAAACCAGAGCCAAACCTCCCTTCACAATGCCTTTCCTGAAGCATATTATCTTCACTTAAGCTGCTCCTCTACAGACATAACACCTGTCCACCTATATCCAATAAACCCTGTATTGTCCATCCAAAGCAAACCCTAAGCCTGCTTCTAATCTGTGCATCACCCAGTGAACCACTAGCACTAAAACCATATGTCATAACGAGAAAATATGTAGCCTTTATATGGCAGTTTGAGCACTCTACCGTAAGAGTTCATTTAGTGGGATTGTGCATATATACAACTCTACATGTCTACCAAACCCTTCCTTTTTGTCCTCCTTTGGTGTTCAGGGACTTCCCATTTAGGAGGGGACAAGTGCCGCTGGGGACCATCAAAGCTTGTATCATCTCTCTCATATCCAGACTGTATTGTAGCCTGTGTCTGAATTTAAGTTCTCTGCCCAACTAAAAAAAGGAGAGTGACTCACTACCTCATTACAAGCAAAGTGACTATGTCCCTATCCCCACCACGACCCTGAAGTTTTGTGCATGATCAGTATCTGCACATCAGTAGTGAAAGCACATAATTGGTCTAACATTGTGATTAACAAAGTGAGCCATGAATGGGAAAGCACCCAATTCAAATATAGTCTCAGCTATCAATTCACTAAGGCAAATCAGACTTTACTCAGTCCACAACTGACAATATGGAATTGGAAAATGGCTTGGTGCCTTGCATTGCTGTAGCATTATGAACAAGAAGTGCTCCAAGTACTTAAGTGCAGTATGAAATATTATATACTTCTAATGAACCCATGGCAAGTCCATTCCAGCCCCGGATCACACATGACCAGCACAAAAAGATAGGAAGCAAAATGAATTAACCCTAAAGGCTGCTCCAGAATAGGAGCTTCTCTGTATTGCACAATTTCTATCCCTGTCCTACACACACACACACACACACACACCCCTTGATCAAAGTCAGAATCAGCCACGCCTCAGTAACTCCCACTTTTGCATTGCCATGAGACCAACACAAAACTTGTTCACCCTTTGGGGGCCTCATGGGTTTATAAGGGTGAACAAGTGAACAAGTATTGTGTTGGTCTTCAGATTCATGGTTGAAGAGCCTACTGATTGTCCTTGTCCACAAAAGCCCCTAGTCTTATATTTGTGTTTTTTACATTGTAACCCTAGCAATAGAAAGTACACGTGTGCATACACACACAAGGGAAAGTACCAGCAACCCGCACACTTCCCTTACAAATTGCTTTGCACATCTCAGCAAGTCACTATTTATAGAACTTTTTAAATATACCAAAAAATGCTATTCAAATTTTCAACACAGTATTCTAATTTTTAAAATTACAATAATGGGTAGTTAAAATGTATATTTTAAAGGTAGCAGTCTTAAAATATGAGAAATTCTAGTACAACCATCTTCTTCCTCATTCCTGTAACAATAATCCAGAACACAAAAGATGTATTTAAGGATGCAAACAAGACTCCTCCCTAGTATCCCCTGCTTTACCAGAACAAAACAAAAAACCTTCAATTCTTTAGCTTCAATCTCCTGTTCCAAGCACCCCACAGGCACATGCACACCCTCACACACACTCCTATCTTAGTGGGTCATTCTCCATTTCTCAGTTATCTACTTCTGTAGGGGAAACCCCGCAAACTGAGATATTTCACTTTTAGTTTCCAAGGATAAGATCTCAGAAACCTTCAGCCTATTTTTGCCAATTGTAGGGATGAGAAAATATGACAAGAGCGGAAGGCAGCCACAGCAGCTGTTTCAGCAACTCCCAGCCTGGCCACTAGCTCTAGTAATACTGTCCATTTTCAACACAAAGTATCAGGGATTAAGGGTGGTCTGGAAGAGATTCTCCATGACCATTCCACCCTGTGTTTGGGAGAGGGATTTGAGCATCCAAGTAAACAAGCCAGCTAATTCAAATCATCACTAAGCAAGGCACAATACAAACAGGTCAAACCAGAACAGGCTTTCATAAGGAAAACCTTATGAGACAGTAAGGGGTGGGAAAAGGAAGGCACTAGGCAGTCATTGTACACTGGAATTAGAAACTAGGACGGAGCAGGAGACCTGCTTTACCCATTGCTCCCTTGAAAACCAAGTAGAAAAATCTCCTGGAAGTACTCCAGAGCTGAGTAAATCACTATCCATTTGATACGTGCATTGAGATTACCTAATGCTGCAAAATAAGCAGGTGGTGTTATTGAGATGCCTCCTGAAAGCTGCAACAAAAGAACTGTTCTAATTTCAGAACAACAAACATCTTACCAAAAAGAGAAATTTCCCAGTATCCTACCCAAATCACTGAAATATTAAGCTACTGACAATAAGTAGCATTTTTATAGCTGCAAGTCACAAATAAATACTCAAATAGTTCTCTTTTCCCCACCACACCAGTCCACAGATTGTGCCCGAGAGTAACAACCTACCTCTTTGGTTAGATCACCATTCATTGGAGGAGCCACGGCACCTAGGTCTTCCAATTCTTCACCAAATCCTTGTTCTGCTCCATTTTCCCTCACTTCATTGTCTGGAACAGTTCCATCTTGCAAACCACTGCCATTCTCAAGGGCAATGCCTGTATTGGGTTGGGCACCAGAGACAGAACCTTCAGAATCTCGGTGTACCAACCAGGCACTGACTTCTGTGGTGGGCACCTGGAACCTGTCCAGGGCCCTCACCTGGTTAAGAAGCCGTCGAGCTGTGAAATAATAGTCCAGATCTACACTTTTTGGATGGATGACATAGCCATCTAAAGTGTTCCGCAGGTTGTGGAACTGTGTCTGGGTGTAAGCAGAACTCTGGCCCAAAAAGATCTCTCGCAGAGGGGGAAGATGCGAGTTCAGATAAGTATCTACATCCACCCTCACACCTATTAAGCTGAGGAGAATGGTGAACTGGATGAGTCCTTCAGTGAAATATTTCTTCAGAGAAAGCATTTCTGGAAAAGGAAAAGCAAATGCATGTAGCAGAAAATGTACTAAAACTCACGCTATCAAGCTAACTCTCCACAGTTATTTAAAGAATGAAAAAAATTAATTAAAAATGTTCAAACCCCATTTAAAAAATAAAACCTAAAAGCAATCATTACCACCAAGAGAGTTGTTAAAGTTCTAAAGATCTCTCGAAGAGAGAAAGCTGTCTCCCAGCAGGAGGACTCCTATTTCTGCTGCTCTCTGCCTATCCAGAGACAAAAACTTTTGTAACTAAGCCAAGGTAGTTGCATATAAACCCACGTGACTTACTGTCTCAAAGAGTCCACATGCAGCAACTTCCTTGAGTCTTAATTTCCCACACGGACTACAAGATGGGACAAGTCCTCTGGAACAGCTGCAACTTCACTCTTCCCTCCTCCTTCCTCTAGTCCAAGATTCCAGAGCAGGAAAATGTTCAAAGACTCTTCTGCTGCTTGCTTTGGGTTTCGTCAGAAACTGAAACACAGCCAAAAAAAATGAAGGTGATAAAACACTAGAGACACCACCCTTTGGACACTGCTCAACACTGAAACACTTTGTTACCTATGGGCCACAAAGAAAAAAGTGTGCACAGAGTCTACATAATTCACCAACAAGTATATCTTGACACACACAAAGTTATATTTAGGTCAGTACTGCCTAGTTTGCTTATCTTCCTCCATTTTATAGCAACATCATCTTTCACTTCTCTCCACTCCCCTTTGACTCCTCAGCAAGACACAACAAAGAACCAACTGATAATAACAACCTTGCAAATAAAACTAGTGCCCTACTCGCTTTTCAACCACCCTTTATCCTCTATCCCAGCTGCTTACAGCCAATGATTTTGAAGTATGCTGATTATGCTTTTATTCAGTATGAGTTTCTGGTCAATTTACATTAAGTACAAGTGTGAAGCCTGGCTTTCAGGTTTTAGAAGGGTGTTATTCATCAACGTGGGGATGTGGGTGGCGCTGTGATCTAAACCACAGAGCCTAGGTCTTGCAGATCGGAAGGTCGGCGGTTCGAATCCCCGCAACAGGGTGAGTTCCCATTGCTCGGTCCCTGTTCCTGCCCACCTAGCAGTTCAAAAGCACGTCAAAGTGCTAGTAGATAAATAGGTACCGCTCTGGCGGGAAGGTAAATGGCGTATCTGTGCGCTGCTCTGGTTTGCCAGAAGCAGCTTAGTCATGCTGGCCACATGACTCAGAAGCTGTCTGTGGACAAACGCCAGCTCCCTCAGCCTATAGAGCAAGGTGAGCGCACAACCCCAGAGTCGTCCGTGACTGGACCTAACTGTCAGGGGTACCTTTACCTATTCATCAACATACATCTCTGCAGCTACTTCTCCTACTTCACACACAGAGCTTGCTGGACTTTAGAACAAAACCCACATTTATCCAACAAATGCAGGACCAAAAATACTATTAAACTCCTGCTTAACATGTTCACTTCCCCCTACTTTTGTCCCTGCTACAGAAACTGCCAAATCCTCTGATTTCCATTCCAGTCACAGATACCTACCATGTATATTTGTGATACTGTGGGAAAGCCAAATGACCTCACCAGCCAAATGACCTCCACCCCCACCAGCTTCTTCCACTTCTTTTCCATGGTGCCTTGCCCCACTTTGGAATGTTCATATTTCCTCAATTATTAGCTACAGAACTCTGAATTACTGTATATACACATCAGTTTGAAAGAATCCTCCAACATTTCCCCACAAAGTTGCACCTACCATGTTTACAGCATCGTAATGCTTACAGAATACACATGCATTGTGTTTCAAAGGGGCAGGGAGTGTTTAACTATTAGGGGTCATTTAACATCCTGAGCTTATGTATGAAAAATCTGACCACTCCCTGTTATCCTTAATCTACCTTGCAGCCCCTCTGGTGATTATAAGGAACCATGGAAACTGTACAGAGAAGGATGGACAGGAAGTAATGAGCCAAAGTTCCTAAGAGTTTAATTCAAAGGGGAAAGGCTAGAGCCCATGCTTTGCACACAAAAAGTCTAGGTTCGAATCCTGGTGTCTCCTGATAGGGCTGGGAAAGTACCTGTCTAAAACCTGGAGAGCTGCTGCCATCAGTGTTGATAATACTGAGCTAAATGGGCTATTGGTTTGACTTAGTGTAACGCAGCAGCCCCTGAAGCACACACACACACACACACACACACTCACTCACTCACACTCAAACCATGGGCATAACCGGGGGGGGGGGGTGTGCAGGTAAATAAACATACTTTAATAATATGAGTTGCAGATAGCTCAGTTCTGCCCCCCCCCAAAAAAACCAAAGGTCCTGCCCCCCCAACATAAATCCTGGCTACGCCCATGACTCACATGCAAGTTCTTAGTTAGCAAACTCCCAAGGACATGAGGTTGCATGTACAGCATTAAATTACTATTAAGAACCCACTTTTGACAGTTGCAATTAAGCCACATGAAAATAGGGAAGGCTTAGCATGCCCATCACAAAATTGCTGGAGAGAGAAAATGTATGTGCACATCATAACATATCCATAACGAATCCTTGATTTTTAAAAAAATAAGAATTATATATGAGCCTTAAGTAGAAAGATGATAGCTTGCAAGCCTTCCTGTAGCATTTCAACACAACTTTTGCCTCATTTAACCTGTAACATTTGTTGTAACCCACTCTTAATCTTTGTTCAATCAGTTGTCACCACCAGCAATAAGGGGGGGGGGACAAGAAATTTCAAAATCCATACCTTGATTTGCTAAGTGCAATCATGTACTCATCCTAACCCAATCTCTGTTCTGGCCTACTATCACATTTCAGTCTCCCTCTCTTTTCCTTTCCATCAGAGACATGTGATTTCAAAGTTGTTGTTGTTGTTTTTAAAGATCTAGGAGAGCCAGAATCCCCCAACACATGTTCTCCGGCATGCTTCCCCCTCTTTAATCCTAACCTCTGTCACTATGACTTTCTGGGCTCACATTTCAGTCTCATTTTAAACCTTCTCAAAATGCATCCAGATAACATGGGAGACAGCCTGGAGAATTCCCCCTAGGCCAGTCACTACCATAAAATCCTTTTTCAGACCACCAGAGAGCCTGTACTTATTTATACAGCCCCACGAGGATGCACATCTCTAACAGTTCTGAGCTTTCAAAAATTTTTAATTCCATTATGAAATCCACAGCCCCAACCAACCCCATCCCCAACCCTCAACTCTTTTCTCAATTGAGAATGTCATCTTCTCCTCACATTATAGTAGAACAATTCCCTCTAGTTTTTCTATTTAGACTTAGTTGCAAGTTTTTGAAATATTTCCTACTTGCAAGGTAATATAGATATATATATGCATATATTTAAAAATATTGTTTAAACTGCAAATAATTAGGTTAATATTAAAAAATCTTAATAAAGGCAGGTTAGTCCTCCAGCTACCCACAGAATTAGTGTCATATACATTGAGTTAAATGAGGCTTCTGTACATAAAAAGCCAATTTGACAATTTCTCAAGTATGAGTATTTACACTATCTGCCAAACATATACATGCATTTTCACCTGAAGAAAATAGATCTATTCTAGTCTGCCTACAAACTATGAAGCCTTGTTATGACATATCATTCATGTGTATTTTATTTTTGCTTGTATTTGTGAGGGTGGGATGGGCAAAGGCAGGGTGAAGGAGAGAAGAACATTGGGAAGAAGAGAAGACAAACTGTCCAGTCTGCATGTTCCAATATTCTCATGCTAAGGTTCTAATTCTATACTCTCTTTCTAGGAGTAAGCCTCACTGAGCTCCATGGGACTTACTTCTGAGAAGAAATGCTTATTAACCTCCTAACAATCATGCATCCTGATTATGACAGGCCCCATATGGGAATATTTTAAAGACATTTGTTGTATTGGTAAGAAAGGAGAGCATACAAAATGTATATACAACATGACAAAGAGATGTAAAGCCTGGTTGAAAGAATTGAACAGTGTAAATAACATAGTTTATTGGTGTCTTACACCATAGTTTTAGAAATAACTTGTAGAATCAATGGGAAACAATTTAAAATCAGTATTTTAAATTTGTCTTTTATTCTTCCTGATTTAAATCAATCTACCCTGCTTGGTGTTCACACACTCTTAGCCACACATAAAACAGTTCCTTGCCATTAATTTCCCTGCTACCTCCTCCTTCTAGAAAATTTTACTTTCTTGTTCCAGTTACCTAATATCCCACTCAAAAGTTGCACCCCCTGGATCACATAGTAGCCATCTGAAGGCTGAGGGTTCAGGGGAGTTTTTAATGTGTGACATTTTAATGTATTTTTAATCTTTGTTGGAAGCCACCCGGAGTGGCTGGGGAATTATTATTATTATTCATTATCACAATTTAGAGCACAATCCAATCAATGTCTACTTAAGGATGAGTCTCACTACATTCAATGAGGCTTTCTCCCAGGTAAATATGCACAAGACTTCAGCCTCCAGAATTCATCTGCAGTCAAAATCAAAACAGTTAAAACGTGGTGTACAAAACCTAAAAGACCTTATTTGAAATGGGGATTTCAATTCATTTTCTGAAGATTGCAAACATGGGATCAGAAAGCAATAACTTTTCATAATTAATCCTTTTTAAGAGGGTCTAGTTTGAGGTTGGTTTGTTTACAATCAAGCAGTGTATAAATTTTATGAAATAAATAAAGTTGTATAAGTTGTATACTAGCCAAAGTTTCTCTAATTGCCTCTTTTCCCCACTCAATAATCTGCTAGTCTCCAAACTACCCATTATGCTCTTGGCTATCTTGACCATAACTATCCCATACCCACTACCATCTTCCTCCAGGCTCCTAGCACTCTACTGAGAAACAGAACTATACTCAATAGATAGTGAAGTACACTGATGCTTACAGCCCCTTCTACATTTCACCATGCATCCATTTAAGAATACAAGAGCTCAGCTGAATCAGATCAAAGGCCAGTCAAGTCCCACATCCTGTTCTCACTGCAGACAACCAGGTGCCTATGGGAAGCCTGTAAATGGATACTACTTAGCTTTCCTACAGTGCTCTTTCTGGGTGCCCACATCAATCAGTTCCAGACAACATGGTCAGTGATCAGGGAAGATGGGAGCTGCAGTCAAAAACATATGGAGGGGACCAAATTGGGGAATGCTGACCCACTTTATCACAGTAGCAATGTTAGAAACTGAGATATGAAAGTTAGAAGCTAAATGGCACTTTGAACCTAGGTTATGGGCGCAACAATGGAATGTCTAGGCACAATTTTTTAATAATAAGAATACAAAGCTGAAAATGAATGAACTGCAGCTAAAGTATTATGTTCATTTTTCACACGGTCTAGTCCTTCTCCTGCCCACCCCCCAATATTAAGAGGGTCTCTTCTCCAGTCTTCAGAATAGCTGGAAGTGGGGAGGCAGAAAAAGATCTTCCTTTCCTCCCACTCTGCAGTTCAATCTAAAATCTTAGGCACAGTACTGCACCCAGAGCTCAGAAACTGCTCGCACTAATGAAATTCCCCGTTGCAAAATGCTCCTAGAACAATGGGAGTTTCGAACACCACACAGCAGTTCTTACAACAACCTTGTAAGGTAGGGCAATATTTCCCCCAAATCACTGTTGCATAATAAAGCATACCTATACTTTTCTTCAGAACAACACCAAACAACCCTTATAATTCACAGGCTCTTTCGATTTTTAAAATTTGCATACCACCTCTAGCCTACTGTACCGAATGTGGTTTACAACCCAAACCTACAACGAAAGTCGCGCTCCACTCCAAGAATCCTTCATCCAATCTGACCCTCCGCTCCCGAACTACCCCCCCAATTGTGGAGTAACCCCTCCCACATCCACCTGCACCATCCTTTCCGAAGTCCCTGCTTCAGGTTGCTTCGTTTCCCAACAACACCGGAGAAACCAGAAAAGGGAGTTTCCCCCGCCCTCACTTCTCCAGGCCAACTTTTAACGTTTAACCCCCCCCACACACACACAGCCCAAGCCCACGAACCCCTTTCCTTTCCTCCTCTAGCCCACGTGCTGTCCTTTAGCTCTCGAGTCCCCCGATACACCCTACTCAAACCTCCCCCCCCCCCCACGCCACAGCTTCCAGGCCCTTCCCCCACACTTCCCTCAGCCCACCAGCCGCCGCTTGCGAGGGGCTGGCCTCACTTTGCCCCCTACCCTTCCGCAGCCTCCAGCGCACCACACGCGGCTCCTTTCTCCTCAGCTTTCTGCTCCTCTCGGTCTTCCCCGCCGCCTTCTCGCGCTCTCGCCGCTGCTCGCCCAGCCCACGTTTCTCCTACCCGCTTCCCTCCCACCTGGCCTATTCGAGGCCACCGTTTCTTTAGCCCCCCCCCTCCCCTAAATTCGCTCTCCACCAGCGGCCCAGTTAGAGGTCCCTCTTCTCTACCGCGGACCCCATTGCTCTCTCAGTTTCTCCTCGCCCCCCACCTCCGCTTTATGCTTTCCTCCCCCCCCCCCCTTTTAGTCTTCCCCCTGCTTTGTTTAACTCCACCCCCTTCCCCTCATATAGCCCTATCCTCCTCCCCACCCCACTTCGTTTCATACCTTCTCTCCCCCAGCTCCCGTTGTTTCAGCACCCGCCGCTGCCTTCAGGCGGGCCTTGCCCCGGAGCCGGTCCCGAGCCCCAAACAGCAGCGCCCGTCTACCACCACTCTTCTCCCCGCCCGCCGCGCTGCCTCGTCCAATCCTCCTCTAAGACGGGGGCGAGCGACAGCTCGATTGCCCAATCAGAGGACAAGCAGACTTCACAGCTCCAAACCTCCCAGCGAGTGACATCATAACGGCCAATCAGAGCGCGCTCAGGGGGGGAAAAACGGTAGATGAGGATGGCATTAAAAAAAAAAAAAAAAGACTCTGATAAGGGGAAAGTCCCAATTGCTATAGTAGTGGGCCGGCCGGACTGAGCGCCGACTGACATCACAAATTCGCCAATCCGTTAAACGCTCGCGAGGCTCCCCGCGCTATGTGGTTTGAGCGACGGAGGTAGCAACCAACCGCCGATCGAATAGTTACTACGGTCGTTCCCATTGTCTTTGGACGGTGTTGCCATCCGCAACGGGTCCTTAGCCCTTCCCCCTCCCACCCCAATACGTAATCTCCGTACATTCATAGCGGCCTGCGCCTCACCTTATGAGGGAGCGACATCTTAGGTGGGTTGCTACGGGCGACCAAGGACGAAACCTCAGAGGCCGGGGAGGGGAAGGAACCTGTGCGAATGGCAGCTGCCAAACTTTAAATTCTCACTTCGCCAGTATTGAACTCAAATCTGAAAGGAGCTTTTGGATTTTAAAAAAGGAATGATGAAAAATCTTTTCTCCAAAAATATTTATACAATTTATGTAGCAATCAGTTTGTGAATTTCAGATTTGTAATTTACAGTTTAAAGGTAAAGGTACCCCTGCCCGTACGGGCCAGTCGTGTCCGACTCTAGGGTTGTGCGCTCATCTCACTCTAGAGGCCAGGAGCCAGCGCTGTCCGCAGACACTTCCGGGTCACGTGGCCAGCGTGACGAAGCTGCTCCGGCGAACCGGCACCAGCGCAGCACACGGAACGCCGTTTACCTTCCCGCTATAAAGCGGTACCTATTTATCTACTTGCACCCGGGGGTGCTTTCGAACTGCTAGGTGGGCAGGAGCTGGGACCGAACGACGGGAGCTCACCCCGCCGCGGGGATTCGAACCGCCGACCATGCGATCGGCAAGTCCTAGGCGCTGAGGTTTTACCCACAGCGCCACCCGCGTCCCTAATTTACAGTTTAGAGAAGGATAAAATAGAGGGATTTGGGAAACGCATTTGACAATGTACACGGTTTCCTCGTACCCAATAAAACTTTAAATTCACCCAATAATTTAAACTTGCAGGTATTCCAAACACAACATGGTATGAAACTGAAAATGACATCAAGTAACAGAAAGGCTTTAGAGCCAAAATATGAGAATTTGTGTAAGTATACTGCACTGTTTCAAAACGCCTATTTTCAAAATGTCACAATTTTGGATTTTACTTACCAGAACCTGGAAGTTTCAAAAGCCAAATAGTTAAATCAGAAACTTAGGGTTTTGAGTTATGTCACAATTATTTACCTATCTTTCATTAAAACAATACTCAAAAACACAAATTTGTTTATTGATCATGAACAGCCTCTCAAACACCTTGGAATCTCAAAACAGGATCACACGATGCTTACATGTTGCTTTAAAACTATTATAATCTGCGCCCTCCCCCCTCTGCACAAGCAAATTCTTCTGTTAAAATGTTGTTGTTCACCCAACCAAGGATGAAATTACCACTAAAGACACATTTTAAACTGCAATCCTATACGTAGCGATTCTGAAGTCTCATTAAGTTCAGCTGGGCTTACTCCTAGGTGAGTATAGGATTGCACCCAAGCAAAACAGTCCTCTACTCACACCATGCTACAGATATGCCAGTGGAAGGCATATCCTATGCCATAGGTAGGCAAACTAAGGCCCGGGGGCCGGATCTGGCCCAATTGCCTTCTAAATCCGGCCCACAGACGGTCCAGGAATCAGCATGCTTTTACATGAGTAGAATGTGTCCTAAAATGCATCTCTGGGTTATTTGTGGGGCATGGGAATTCGTTCATTCCCCCCAAAAAATATAGTCCGGCTCCCCACAAGGTCTGAGGGACAGTGGACTGGCCCCCTGCTGAAAAAGTTTGCTGACTCCTGTATGCTCTTATCATTCTGAGGTGGGTGGGGAAGGAGGTGAGAGGGCTGCTATTATTTTTATGTAATTACTTGCACCAATCTCAGACCTGGCATAATGTTCCACTGTCAAATGGGCATGTCTTGGAAATGAAGAGGTGTAACTCATCAATCTTTATTACGGTCCAGAGACCCAAGAAATCATTACAAAGCAATACACAATTCATACAGCCTACCTCCAGGTTAAACAAGCATTTTGTTTAGAATATAGGGATCATATGTTCTTGCAACCACCGATAAGAGGTGTAACTATGCCCTGCTCAGGGCACACCCATGATTCCATCCCATTCTGCTTTCCCCACCGCACCTGTCCTATTTACCAGTGTCACTTTGCCAGCACAGTATCTCTGCCAACATACCAGCAGAGTTCCATCGGCTTAAGTGTCATGCTGGAGGTGTAATTCCATCTGGACTGGCAAAGCAGCGCTAACAGCACTTAGCCACTTCCTAAGACCATTCAGCCAGCATAACTCAAATATAGTGCCCTTGTTTTCTTATTTAGCTAGATGGCAAATATGTCACAACAGTTTAGAAACACTATAGTCAATCTGAATAGCAGCAATTGATATACAATACAGATAGAGTGTATTTTACTTGTCGAGCTAGTCCCAAAGCAGTCCAAAATACCTGTCAAGAATTTTATTGAGGGGTACGATATGCATCGCTCAAATAAGGAAAATAAAAGTTTAAGATTACGTATGTTATCTCACCTTTCATCATTCTATATATTAGTTGGCATCACTGCCCACGTATGAATACTGAAGGTCAGATGAGCTGGGGTGAGGGGTTACGCAGTTTGGGAAAGATAACCTACTTTTGGGAAAAAAATGTGAGGGAGAGCTCTTGCCTTGCACAACTCAAAACCTGTGCATATGGGCCATATGTGATAGTATATGTTCAAGGTTTTTGGGAAGTGATATTTACAAAATCCCAGACATTAAAGGGCAATCAATCCCATCTGACCTGGCCCTGGCCCTACTGGCAATAGTGCAGCCAGATGACACCAATATAAGGTCACCAAGACCTAATAATTCTTTTGCTCACAGCTGTTCATTTGGAGTTAGCTAGTCACTGGAAAATTTGTAAAGCAGGTGGTTGAGAAGAATTGGAAATCTGGGGAAGGAGGAAGTATAATGGAATGGCATACCAATAGGTTGTGCAATGAAAGTAGCTAGCAAAACAAGCACAAGCATTAAGACATGACTTTGCAAGCGATTGGTTTTTGTAATGGCTTTTGCATTGTGTTAATTTGTGGGTGAACATATCAGACAAAACAGCAATTCTTCAAACAGCTCTTGTTTATTCACAGGCCAGAACAGAACTGAACTGAAGGGTTCAGCCAGCCTGCTTATATAGAGCTCCACTACAACGCAACAGTAACCACTTTCTGTAACTATCCAATCACTGAACGTCACTTTCAATCCCTTATTTGCATATGTGGACCTGAGTGAAAACTATCTACAGTATCCCCCTGCTGGCCCAGGGTGAGAACTTCAGTACATAACACATTGGGCATAAAATCCTATAAAAGTATCACTTGTTCTGGACACCCCTGATGGAGAAACCTATTAGGATAAGATGGCTATGAACTATTGGATGAGGGATATTGCCAATTACTCTCTATTTTTAGGTATATTATCTTTCTATTATTCTATTTTTGTAGTTGAAACAATACAAACATATCCTTACAAAAACTGGTAAAGGGCTGACTGGATAATGTTTGGGAAATGGCATTACTTGAATGTTTAACATAAATTGGGAGCTGATTAAGTATGGTAAAAATGACCACTTAGAGGCTGTTTGGATATCATTCTTAACTTCTCAAAACTGGAATAGAGAGCAAGTGCAGGCCAGATTGTCCCAGATTAATTTGTGGAGGAGCTATGCATTTGGGTGTGGCCTGAATATTCCCTGTAGTTTATTACAATAGACACATGAAGACATGCAATGATGAGTGAATAATTCTTTTGTTGTTGTTGTTCAGATATTTGACAATATGTACTCGACTGATTCTGTGTTACAGTCTGAAAAATCTTTAATAAAATTATTGTTTTCAGAAACCTGGGGCTTTAACTTGGATGAAGGCAGGATGAAAAATAAAATAAAATAAGTAAATAAAAGTTTGCTCAATGTAATCTCCTCCCAAATAAGAGTGCAAGAGACTGCAGCCCTAACAGTCATGGGCAAGTATGCAATTTTTGTTGATTTATGGAGTATAAACTGCGCTAAGTTTAGCTTATGAAATGAGAGGAGCCTCTAACCTGTCTGGAAGTCAGACCCTCTTTTCTGGTAACATGTTTTCCTAATGCTAAATGTGTAGGGATTTGTAGTCAGGATTCTGGCATGCTCAGAGCATAATTCTTTGAGTTCTGCTGAGCCCCTCTCAAATCAAGCCCTGAATTTGACCATTAAAGGAGAGGTGCCTTGTACAACGCTCCCTAAGGATCTATCCGAATCATAAAGCCAGAGAGAGAGAGAGTCGGACGGAAAGATGTTCTATTTCAGCTTGCTTGTCTACCATGCATGAATGGCTTCACAGTTCTCTTGTGGAGGGTGGAGATGCCAACTCTGGGGCGGATTTTCAAGGCCTCACAGTACCAAGGTGTGTCAGCCAGAGCTAGGCCAGAGGAGAACGGGTACAAAGTTCACAATCATCTGAGCGATGATAAATAGTAATTAAGATTACACCATTCCGTGTTTCAAAAGGACAGAGATGTTAGATAATGCTTGGCAGGCTGACAGGTCAGAGACAGTACATGAGTAATGAAGAGGCTCACGAAACAAAGCCAAGCAGGAACCAATGAAAGCTGATATTAGTCACATGAAAACAGGTGCACTGTGAGAATGCAGCCTGGTCAACGCATGTTGTATAATTAGAGTGCAGTGTACTACCTCAGGCTGCAAGGGTGCAGAATTTTAATGCACCCACCCCAATAAAATACCGCCTGCAAGTTAAAAAAAACCCCCAGTAACTGCAGGGAGAAAGGTTCTAGTCTAGCCTACTCCCTCCCATGCTTCACCGTAGTGGAGTAGGAGCAAGTGTAGGATTGCCAGCTCTCAAGCAGCTCATATTCTGGGAACTAAACAGGGTAGTTCTGGTAGACCAGAGGGCAAAGCCTTGCAGCACTTGAAACATCCAGAGCATGGTCCCCAGTGCAGGGTTACTGTCTTCTATCTGATGAGTTGTGAACAGGTATATTAGTGAACATCCCCATCTGAAGTCAACTCTCTTGCAGGGACTGAAGGAATGGGGAGAAACTCAGATGGGACAACTTGTTGAGATACAGCTTGCCCCCTTTGCTTCTACCTCCTCACAGATTTAATAGCTTCCATTGGAAACCTTGAGGAGCCATCCTGAATTATTATTTTCCCCACATCAACAATGTAGGGTTGAATGCTTTACCCAGAGACTTGAGTTCAGAATATGACTTTATTAAAAAGACAAGGTATCTGAGAAACCAGAACCATTATTTCAATGTACAAATCCAAATACCTGTACAAGGTTTTGCATTTTAGTTTAAATCCTAAAAATAAAACAGATAATAAAAGCAACGGGTGGCGGGAGATCAGGAGCAGCCATTAAAACCATGTATTTATGCTGAATTAAAACAAAATATAAACCAGGACATTTTTTTTTTACATCTTGGCAATGTGCTCACTAGCAGGGCTTTGGACAGTACCATCATGCACACCAAATACAACTTTGCTGGAATTTTTAAATAGCTTATTCAAAAAAACAACCTCCCCAAAGTCAACCCCTTGAATGAAAGAAGATCCGACTAGTTATGATGTTTTGCTGTTTAGATTTATTTCTTTAGAGGGAAAATGCAGTGTCCCTATTTAAAAAAAGAACTGAACTAAAAATAAATAAATCACAAGTATTACAAAACAGCTAGGTAGGTGTTCAGAGACATTTCAAAAGCTGGCAAGACAGGTAGGGTAGGGATAAGAGGAGAGAGAGAGAAAGAGATTGAAAGATGCATCCCTATTGACCATATACAACACATTTAGATAATTAAAAAATATAAAAGGCAAGAGGCAGCATTTCAGCAGCAAAATGCTAAAAAGGTACGTCACAAAAGGGTATGGGACGGCAAAGCCACATCTCAGAGGAAATACGGTGTGGTTGTTCTTGAGGGAAGCACACGTTCTGGGTCTGGAACTGCACAGAAGAGCTTTGGTTCCCTTGTATTTGCACCTTCAAATGCCATGATTGAGGCAATATTTCCACAGCGATAGCTGTGACCAACTTCTCACCAAACTTATAACCTTCATGCCCCAGCTGGTGGGCTCAGCAGATGCAGATGAGCTTTAAGTTGTTGATATAGACAAACTCATTTGTGACTTTTGCCTCAAACAGCCAGCCTGCTCCTCGGGGACTTATGGCCCAGGTGTCCACATCTTCTGGATCAGACCAAACAAGGTCACAAAAAGCTCCTTTGTGTGGGATCTCTTGGTTGTGCTCAGTGGTCTGAATCTGGTCCAGTGTTTTTATGCCTGGAGATAGGCCCCCATGTATACAGAAGATTTGCTCATCTAGTAACACTTCCACCGTGAGCATGTCAAAAACTTTGATGTAATATCTCCAGGCATTAGCGTTGCCATATTTGGTTTGGCATTTGTCATAAAACCCATACACTTGAGTTACCTGTCTGCTCTCATGATTCCCACGTAAAAGTGTGATGCAATCAGGCCATTTTGCTTTCAGGGCAAGAAGATAGGCAAACGTCTCAAGGCTATAATAGCCTCTGTCTACAAAGTCACCCATAAATATATATAGTTTGTGTCAGGAACCTGACCTCCAGTTCTGAACAATTCACATAAATCATAAAACTGTCCATGTATGTCACCACAGACTGTAACTGGTGTAGAAACTGTCTGCACATTAGATTCTTCTACAACAGAGATGTCCAACAGGTCGATCACGATCTACTAGTCGATCCCTGCGAGGTTTTGGTCGATCGCTGGCCCCCTTCCCGCCCCCTCACCGTGCCCTCCATTGTTGGAGAACGGAAGACAGAGTTTACAAACCGAGGCTGTATTTACCCCAGTGATCCTTCAGTGAGTTGCTGTTCCTCTCTGACCGCAAAACAATGTAAAAATGCCAGGTCACCCCCCTCAAAAAAGCTCAACAACTTTGACCTGAACCCCTAAAAAAAGGGGGTAGATCACTGCCAGTTTTTAATTCTGTGAGTAGATCACAGTCTCTTGGAATTTGGCCACCCCTGTTCTAGAAGAAGATCACAGACGTAGTCACACAAGCGCTTGAGTGTTCCGGTTTGCGAACGTTTTACAGAAGCCGAACGCCCGACGTGACTTCCATGGCTTCTGATTGAGTGCAGGAAGCTCTTGCAGCCAATCGGAAGCCACGCCTTGGTTTTTAAACCATTTTGGGAGTCAAACAGATTAAATTCGAGAACCAAGGTACCACTGTAACTTAAACAGGACAATTCTGTGAAGATTAGTTAATGCTGGTCAGCTCCACTAAAGGTTTTGAAAACTGGTGGTGATGGCGGTTGACTCTCTCTCTCTCTCTCTCTCTCTCTCTCTCTCTCTCTCTCTCTCTCGCTCCCCCTCCCTCTGCCAACTACCTTGCCCCAAAAGAGCAACTGGCCCAGGGTCACTCAGTGAACATAAGGACTGAGTGGAGATTTAAACCATGGTCTCCAAGATCCTAGTCTGTTCTGCAAAAAATTGCTGCTGGTGTAGAGGCTACTCAGCACTTGGTTTTGGAACAGGCTGTTTATCAGACATGCGGTGATGTTTCAAAAGGTTGCCACACACCCCACTTGTTTGTTCCTCCCAATTTGTTTCTGGAGACGCAAGTGTAGTCACCAGAAAGCCTTGGGAACTCTGAAGTTCCAGAGAAGGCTCTTCTGGAACTTCAATCCAGATTTCATTTTTCTGTATGTACAAATACTGAAGACATATCAAGAGAAGAGTGAGAGAGACATCCTAAAATAGCCACTAAAAGCACATTAAATGATAGCTAGCTTGCGATAAGTCATCTCACGCAGGCACCCCCAATTAATGACCTGGTAGCAGGAGATAGAATGACCAGCTCTTGCCACATTCCATATGCAGCGCTTGCAGAATTCATTTGGAAGCTGTTGCATCACGAGATCTATTTATCAGGGTAATTTGATGCTGGGTTTTAGAAAGAGAGAGAGAGGGAGAGGAAGCCAGTTGCCTGAACAGGTGTGTTGGATAAAACAGTCCCTGCATAAACATGGGCGTGACCTGCTCAATAAAGCTGCTAACTGGATTACAGTGGCACAGAATACACTGCTTAAAAAGAAGAAACATGAAACTCATGAGGGGGGTGGATCTTAATGGAGTGCAACAAATGGCTCCATGCCTGCCCCATATCCTGTTTGCTCTATAGGGTTGCCATACATCTGGAATTTCCCAGACATAACCAGGATTTTGCCCTCGTAAACAACATCCGGGTGGAAAACACCGGGCGTATGGCAACCCATGTTGCAAGTGTATATTTTGGCGAATTCTCTTAAAAATAGCTCAAAACTTATTTCTTTTCTTAGATCAACAACTTTGGCCAAAAATTTAAAAAGCTCAACACCCCCCCCCAAAAAAAAACCCCAAACAACTTTTATTTTCAGGTTTTCACTTTTTGAAATATGGCAACCCTATTGCTTTCTCCCATCAGGTAGGTATCTAATGTTGAGCTAAGCAAAAAACTCAAATCAAATAACAGCTTCATGCTTCAAGGTTCTGCATATCTTCTGCAGCTTCCTTACTCACCATTCCTGTCTCAAGCACTGCCTCCAACAGCCTGCCATAGTCCTTAACCCTCCTCTCCAGCCACTCCTCAAAACACCTGGATCCTCACTCAACTCTAAAGCAGGTCATTCATTACAAAACAGAAAGAAAAGTGCCAAAGATCAAACTTGCGCTGAAGCTACACCCTCAGATTCAAAGTTCATCTCCCAGATTCCGGATGCAGTCACTGAGCGCTGAGAATCAAGGAAGGGGTTTTTGCACATGCTCAGAAGCACCGAAATTATTATTGCTTCCAAGACTGAATTGTAGTTATAATAAATAGATTCAAAATGAGCAGCTGTGTTGTAGTAGCTCAAAGTGTGGACTGGAATGTTCCTGATTCAAGTGTCACAAACTGATTGACTGACTTTCAGCAAGCAACAGTAATCAGGGCCGTCTTAAGTATATCCAGCACCATGGTGCAAAGATCCTTCCAGCAACCCCCCCCCCCAGGTTCCCAGAGTTGCCAACCTTTTTATGGCACTGCCAGCAGCTTTGAGGGGCTGGAGGAGGCGGGCAGCAGCAGCAGCTGGAGGGCAGCTCCTCCGGTGGGAAAGAGGCAGAGGCTCCGGGCATGGCGCTGCCTCAGCGAGGCGGTTGAGGGTGGTGAGCTGATGCCAAGAGGCGCTGCGCCCAACCTCTGCCTCTTCCCTGGTGCCCATACCGCAGTGGCCACGGCAGACAGAGGCTCCGGGCGTGGTGCTGCTTTGGCATGGCATGGCAGAGGCGGGCAAGGGCAGCAAGCTGATGCCGGGAGGTGCCACTTCCAGCCTCCGTCTCTTCCCTGGTGCCCTCCAGAACTTGGCGCCCGGGCACCCCGCACCACTTGCCCCTATGGGGCAAGATGCCCCTGACAGTAATACTGGCCAACCTTACAGGTTTGTTGTAAGCATTACTGAGATAATGTATCAGTGTCTTTTGAACACTTGAAACAGACTGTGGAAATGTATGGAGCACAATCCATCAGGAAGTTCTCCTGCACAAGCCCCACTGAAAAGAAGAGGAACCACACAAGAATTAAGCTACTTCTCTAGGAGATGAGAAGTTCAAGGTGATGTGTTGGCAGATCTTGTTTTCCTTAGGGGGAAAAAAACAGCAGGGGATACTTCAGGTATCCATTAATTGCTTTATATACAAATATTGTATAAGGTAAATGGGCATAAACAGGCACTCCCACAAGGCGGAAGATTCATCAGAAAGCAACTCAGGTACTCCCAGTCCACATATCAGGTCGTGTGTCATGTAAAACCACATACACTATCAGGAGGAGGCATTTCATAACCATTAACACCAATTGATGAAAGAATAACCAACCATTCCGGGTAATTAACGAGCTATCTTCCTAACAAAGGAAAAATCAGCCAGCAGCTGCAACAGTATTATCACACAAGGACTGAGCCCTAGACCAGGAAACATCCCCTTGGTTCTACCTGCTATAACTATTGTTATTGTTTTTATTTATTGCCAGTTTCTAAACCAAATGGTGCCGAGGTCCAGACTGTCTGGAACTGTTTCTGAACTCAGATTCAAACTGACTCTTAGTTTAAATGAATTTGGGACCGAAACAAAAACAAAAGCTTCCACTCACATTCTCAAGTTTTGTAAAGGTGCACATAGCCATAAGAATAGCCCTTAATACTTGCAAAACCTGAATTTGGAATTTGATCTTCAAGCTTGAAGTGGCCGTTGAGTAGAAGGGGGAGAAGAGCTCCTGAAGAGCTCAAATTGCAGCAGTTGTTAGATCATGAAGAACTGATACCTTGGAAGCTTCTTGGCTCTCTCAAATCAGATTAAAATCAAATACAGTTGTGGGTAACTGAGGAAGCATGTAGGCCATTTAGTTGGGCCCAATGACAAACCTTTAATAATACATATCCCCGCCTGCAGCCTGTATAAGACTTGAGAACAGACTTCTCTGGGAGCCAATGGGAGACTTTATTCAAATAAATGGCCACAGCACATAGAGAAAATTAACCCTTCCTCCTCCTCCTCTTATCCACCCTCACCCGTGTAACAGTCTTACACCCGCAATATGGTAATTACGCTTGGAAACAGCTAGGAGCCTTTTTCCTTGCCTAATTGCAGTGCGGGGAGGGCATCCGGTAAGTCCAGAACGAAATCTAAAAATAAGCTGCATCCAACAATCCTGGCTGTGGCTTGGCAAGAACTGGATTGATCTGAAATATGTTCTGTACTATGAATAAATATATAGGATGATGAAAGAATTTCTTTGTTGGGTCTTCTGTAAACACTAGCAGAGCCATTGCTTTGCTGATTCAAAAGCAGTGTGTTACAAGAGGGCCAAAGAAGTCTTCTTTGGATCAAAAGTTTAAAAAGAGGGCTAGGTTAATATATTTTGGTGCTTGAGATGAAAAATCCAAATGGCATATTTCCCCACCTACTATTTAACATGGTCACAATCTATGAGGAATTTCTCCTGCAGAACACCCACTGAAATGCGTAGTGTAGTTCTTGCATAGTTCCTATTATTTTCATCAGCGCTTGTGCAGGAGAACTTCTTGATGGATTGTGGGTCGTACATCAAATCTTTTCTCTCTTCTACTGTGCTGCCCCCCCTTTTTTGCACATGTTTACTTCATTACATTTATAACCTGCCTTTCTTCCAAGGAGCTCAATGCAACACAGATAATTCTCTTCTCCCACTTACCTTCACAACAACCCTGTGAGGTAGACTGGCCCAAGGTCACCCGGTGAATTTCAGGGCTGAGCATTTCCCTCAACCTACCTGACGCATAGTCCACCAGGAATTTGTCTTAGAGTAGGCCCACTGAAATGTATGTGAGCTCTTATGTAGTTCCTGTTTCCTTTCAGAGGAGCTTGTGCAGTAGAACCTCCTAACAGATTGCAGCGCATAGATCTAACCTGTATAACACAGCCTGTTTCCTTGCTTTATGCTACTTCTAGTTTTAAAAACGTGTTAAGAAACACAAGTTAGCCTTAAGGCCAGTCCTATGCTTTTCCAACTTCCATTCATTAATGACAAGCTCTGCCCACATGTAGAGCTTACAACAGGAATGCCCAAAGTCCATTTCGGGGGCCTATTTCCTGGGATAAAATCCTAAAAATAGCTCAACAACCTCACAACCCTTCACTTCATCAAATCTGGCCCTCTTTGAAAAAAGTTTGGACACCACTGGCTTACAACATTTAGGCCACATTCACACCACACCTTTAAAACACTATGATACCACTTTAAACAGTCATCGCTTCTCCCAAAGAATTATGGGAACTGTAGTTGAGGTGAAAAGCTACCCCTCTCCAATTGTAGTTGAACCATTAACCCTTCTTCCCAGGGAACTCTGGGAATTGTAGCTCTGGGAGGGGAAAGAACAGATAGAAAAACACTGACCACCAGCAAATAAAAATCGAATATCCAACAGATCTATCTATCAATTGTTATAAACCAAACTATCCTATTATTCAAAGGCTCTCTCTGTGCAATGTGACTTGACCACTAATAATGCATGCTAACTCCTAGACAACTGGTGCATGAGGTCACTTTCCCTGTTTGACCAGGCAGTGCACACTCATTTGCAGAATAAGAAAGTGGCTGGGAAACTGGTTTGCCCAGTCTTAGCATGAGAATGTGTACCAAAAGACCTGAAAACAGAAACAGGTTAAATCTGGGTGCAAACTAAGAGATTACTGGTAAGTTTTTGCTTAGAGGCATTTGGAAGTTAAAGATGCTGGTTTTACTTTAGGTCAGGTGTGCTTTTCTGCTTCCTCTGCCAGGGTAGGGTGTGCCATCCCAGGCAAACTCAGCAACCTCTATCTATTGCTCACCTCCCCTTAAAAGTACATGCTGAAAGTACAGATGAAACAGTTCACTAAGCCCTTAAGGTATTTACACATCTCTGTTTCTTCAGAGCACTTTCCTAAATGTGGCCTCATTTCTTGATAATGAAAGAAAGGGAGCACAGAGAGACTTAAGATGTGCTCTGTTTAATCTATGCCACTTGTTCCAGGACCGGGCCCCAGTTGTAATGAGCACTGTGTTGTAAGATCTTTCATCTTCACATAGAAGATGGAGCAAGCTTGTTTTCTCCTGCTCCAGAGGGTAGGACCTGAACCAATGGATTCAAGTTACAAGAAAGGAGATTCTGACTAAACACCAGGAAGAACTTGCCGACAGCAAGAGCTGTTCTACAGTGGAATGGACTCCCTCGGAAGGTGGTGGACTCTCCTTCATTGGAGGTTTTTAAGCAGAGGTTGGATGGCCACCTGCCATGGATGCTTTAGTTGTGATTCCTGCATTGCAAGGGTTTGGGCTAGATGACCCTCAAGATATCCCTTCCAACTCCACAATTCTATGATTCTATGAATCTAAGGGGGGGTGGACTGCATGTTCTCCAGGATCCCTTCCAACTCAGTGGTTCTATGAATCTAAGAGTGAAATCTGGACAGAAAATTATCTGAATAGGCCTGACTAGACCTGGCAAGTACAGTATCTCATTTTTGTTAGGTAAAATAGACATGATATGCTGCCATGGGAACCAAATCGTTGGCTGACTGCTCTCAATAGCTGGCCTTCTGAATGACTAACAAATAACCAAAAGGGCGAGATATCCAGCTGATGTAATATATGACGTAAACTCAGCCAGATTGGTGGGGTATAAGTAATAAATTATTATTATTATTATTATTATTATTATTATTATTATTATAGTTAGGCATGTAAACTGACAGCATTTGAGGGTGCTGACTGGCTCTATGGAGATTTAGTGTGGGAGCAATAGCTTTTTGGACTATCTGTTGGAATGTTTAAACTGAATTTCCATGTATGCTCAATCTGCAAATTTGTAAATGAATATATTTCAAAATGTGATATGCCTCTTGCCTTCCAAAAGCATCACACCCCCAAAATTCTCACTGCTCACAAAACCAGGGTGCACCTAACACTTGGTTTAAACTAAGTCTTAAATTGACGCGGTCTCTTCAACCAAGTAGTATTTTACTAGTCCTACCAATAAAACTGTGTGTAGTTAGATATTCAGGATTGTCAGTAAATCCCAGATCTGTGTTGCTAGGTTCTGTCAAGACTGTACTTAAAACATGGCAACTTCTGCCTTGGGCCCTGTATTTCTTAAGGTTCTGTCTTTGACTCACTGGATTGCTTCAAACTCTGTTCTAACTTGCTGGTTCTGTAACTAGGGAGCCAGAGTTTTTCAGCCCACAAAGATGGCAACCTTACTGCCATTAGAAATCAAGAGTGGGACACTAGATGCAGCTGTTTAGGTATGCAAAGCCTGTGTGAGTCCGCCATTGTTTTCTCATAACTATTCTTTTGCCAAACTACAATCAAAATTCAGCAAAGAATCCAACTTAATTAACTGCCCCCTCCCCTCATACACTAATTAAAACCTTTCCGCCAGTCTGCTTATCCTTTCAAGACTGGAGATCCTCGACATTTAGAACACTTCTGGTGGGCGTTTAGTATTCCCCTCCACAGAAGCAATTAGTAGTGAAACATCTGGACCCTCTTCAGATGAACTAGGCATCATTAACATGTTATTAAGACGTCCAGACGATGAAGGGGGGTGGTGTGCTCCTTGCTTGACTGGAACTGTTCCAAAGAGGCAGGGACTGTAGATGGATTGAGAACACAGCTTTAACCTGCTGACCCAAATGCTGGAACTAGAATTACAATCTGGTGTTGTGTGTGCAAAGGTATCAGGACTGGATGCAATAAAGCTGCGTCCACACAATTGGTAAATGCAGATCAACACTTGTTCTCTTTGTGTTTGCAACATGTGCTCCAGCATTTGCGGTGGGAGCATCATAAAATGGTAGAAGGGAAGATATATGCCTGTAAATAAGCAGTGGGAATTTTGCCAGAAAGCCACAATCAGTTATGGATCGTGATTGTGTAGTCAAAGGTTTGGAATACCACGCCTCCAAGTTTCACAAGAAAACAACTGCCATATGGCATCCAAATTTGTACACATTTCAGATTTTAAAAGCCTCGGCACATTGAAACTTCCAAGCTAACCTGAAAATGATTGTGCTGGACATAAGTGAGGCTTATAAGAGAAGTTATCTCTGCCTTGAACTCAGAGCGTGATTTCAAACAAGTCATTTTATCTCAGCCTCCTCCAATGCAGGGGTAACAGACTGGCCTACCTTACACGGCTGTTGTACAGATTACTAAAATATCCCATGCAAAGCTCTTTGAAAGCTTGGGAAACATTATGCAAATACAAAGGGTGACTATGTCCAAAGCCGCCTCCTTTGCATTCAAATCTATTTCCAGGATTTACAACTTGAGTGCTAAGTGGGCTCAAATTTAGCCCTGATAATAAATATCCACTCTACCAAATAAGGGGAGGAGAGTGGTCTGATGATAGTAAACCTGCCAGACCGGTACTTATCGAGAGCCAACAGCTCTGCGCAGTTGCTCTTCTCAAAGCGTTTTACTCAAAAACTTCCAGGAGGATCATGCATTAAGTTTGCACATCAAATCAGGAGAGAGCAGCGCAATACATAATTTTAAAGTATTGTAAGACACTGCGTGGGTTAAAAATGACGGAGAAGCATTTTTACGCTTTCCAAAATTGGTACATCTCTTTTCTTTCGAGTGAAAGCTGGTTTTCCTATTCTCATGCAAGAATTATTTTGCAGAGAAAGCCCTCGTTACAAATTGTCACAACTTTGTTGCCGTCGTCGTCGTCGTCGTCCCCCTCATGCGCGGCGCACACATTTGAGGAGAGATCTTTATATGTATTATATTTACTGGGAGCGGTCTGGGGAGGGAGGATGCGGCAGCCCACCCAGTGCCTGAGCGGGGCGGAGCAGCCCAGCTCGGCCGAAGCTCATCTCTGCCGTGGAGACATCCGAGATGCAAAAGGCAGAGGCCCGGCCACGTCAGCACGACCACTTCGGGGGCGCCGCAAGGGGACGAGGCGGGGAGCGCGCCGCCGGAGTGCCGCTCGGACCCATGGAAATCCCCGCCGGGCTGATGCTGGTACGAGGGCGGGGAAGCAGCGGCGAGGGAAAAGGGGCGAAAGCCGGCCCTTGGGTTAGGCAGCCGCCTCAAGCAGAGGATTTTGGCCATCGCGAAAGGGCAGGCGTTCAATTCATTTTGACGCGTTTGCTCTCCAGCATCTGTGGAACTGTCTGCCTCAGGTGCCCAAAGGCGCGATGCACCTTCATTTGAGTGGGGCGGAGGGGGAGACGCCGCTAGATGTCGGCGCCTGAGGCTGCAGAAATGTCTAGGGCGGGCCCGCGGGAGGGGCGGGGGGAAATCCGCCACCGAAGCAAATGCCTGCGCGATCAGAAACGGCTCTCCAAACTGCGTTGTACAGTTCATTTTCTGAACTTTACGCACCTCGGTTCCCAAGGGCCGTGTGCACGCCCGAGGAGAAGGCGACGCGCGTGTTTGCAAGGCGCGTTAAGAACAAACGTCGTCCTGAGAAGGACGGGCACAGGACAAAGCGTCCTCGGCAGGGGCCTAGCTCTTGCTGAAGTGGTAAACATGTGTCTCAGCTGCACCACGTTGGACTTCAAGTGGGGGGGGGGGTCACATGACTGAAGGGTTTACCTATGCGAAACAAAACTCCCCTGCGCATAGAAAACTAAAGCTAAGGGAGAAGGGTTGGAACACAGCCTAGCCTTCTTCCTGATAGGCTCCTTTTCTGTGTGGGTAGGTGAATCTATTTTTCTTGTGGGCGTCCCCACATTCCATTATACCAGCTTCCACTTGCAGTCAAAAATAGTCTAGTCTGGACACCAGTTTACCCCTACCAAAGTGAGTGTTCTCCGGGGGGGGGGGGAGGACCCTTAAACCCAAAAGCAATATCCAGAGTAAATGATTACGCCACAGACAGGGTGTGACAGTTACTTAAGGAAAGATTCCAAAATCCATATTAGGGCAATGCCTTTATTAGACTAAACAAAATATAACAAAGCATTGTTTAAGCTTTCAAGTTCTCCAGAAGTCTTAATCAGGCTAGAATTGTAAACAAAACAAAGAAGAGAATAATTGACCTAAGGGGGAGGCTAATAAATGTATTGCCATAATATGAAATATGAATTTTTTCTTATAGGCCAAAATGGCTTACATTTATTTTTTGTTTGGCCCAGGTATGTGTTTCAGGAGGTCTTAGATCAATGATGAGGAAGCTGAGGCTCTGCAGATGTTGTTGGACTACAACTCCCAGCATCTATGACTGTGGGCTGTTCTGCCTGCGGCTAGCGAGAGTCCAACAACATTAGGAGTGCCTCTGGTTCCTCATCCCGGTCTTCGACCGTAAAGTCTTAAGTGGACAGCACATCAAGGAGCACCTCAGAAAAGACATTGCGAATCAGGAAACCCTGGGGAAATGGGGGAGAATTCTAGGTTTCTGGGGTCAACAGAGCTAGAGAGATACTATTTATTGTGGAAATAAAAATAATAAAAATAAAAAACTGTCCAGTAGCACCTTATAGACCAGCTAAGTTTGTTCTGGTATAAGCTTTCATGTGCATGCACACTTCTTCAGATACTGATGGACTTCCATTTCATTTGTTGTGGGACACAGTCCTTCGAGATCAGTTCTGTCCCCAGGAAGAACTTACACAGTGTCATCAGCCATACAAAGTTAAAAGAGATGGCACTCAGAATTAGTGGGGTCTCAAAGAAACAGTATTGTGAAAGGGGAAGGGACAGACCCCAGGGAGAGGGAAGCTGGTTCAGTATTCCACATCCAGGGACAGATAAGAGAATCCTTACTAAACGAAGATGGGGAGACTCATACAGGATGGGTTTTAGGCAGAGTGGGACCCAAAGGCATGGAAGGAGGCACCTCAGGGGAGTCTGCCATGTAGAATGTGAGGGACCCAAGAACTCACTACCATGAAATAGTAGTAGCAAGTGGTCCTTAGTAAACAAGCTATGGAAACAACTTATCTTGAACAAGTTCTGTAGAGGAAACCCAGAGAGACAGGAAGTACCATTTCCTGTTTGGGGAGTGCAGAAAGAGTTGTGAAGTGTTTGGTAGGCCATAATATATGGCTGCTGGTGGTGGGCTTTGTTGTTTTTGTGTGGGTGTAGACCTACTTTGCAGAAACACCAGTGAGGTCGGAGATGCACGGAAATTAGTTAGCTAGAAATATGAATGAAAGAGGTGCAGTGCCAGTCCAGAGAGTGAAAAGATTGAGTGCAGTTGGGGAAATCAGGACAATTTTGAACTGTAAGCTTATAGGGGGCAGGGTCCTTTTTTGTATATATTTTTGTGCTAAGTTCCATATATATTAATGGTGCCATACAAATATTTATTTTTTATTTTTGTAAAACAACTACCCTGCTCTTCAACCAAAAATGCCCATTGATTTAGATATTTAGATATGTTAGCTACATGGTATATGGTACTTGTATTTGTGGTAGTACAAGCTAAATGGGACAGTTCATAGATCTCACTTAATATTTTCTGGCTTTTTAAAAGTACATTCTTATCCCTTCATCTAAGTAAAATTAATTCATTTTGATCCTAGGAACCGTCCCTTTACACTGTCAAGGCAATTTTCATCTTGGACAGCTTTGGGCAGCGACTTTTGGCCAAGGCAGGTACCTCCACCAATTTTTTTAAAGGCTCAGTTCCACTCTGGTAAGACACCATTTTTCAGGTTGGGAATAGAAGATCTCTGCTGGGGTGCATTCAGTAGTGGAGGTCAAACACATGAAACAAGGAATCCTACTACTTGTCCTTTGAGAAAGCCAGACCAGCTTATCTGAGACTTGCAGTCAATCTCACACCCAGAGAATTGAGACCTGCTTAATTTGAACAGTGCACCCGCAGCATGTGTCCTCAGACCATTCATTGGGGTGGGCTTGTTGACTCCATCCCAGAAATTAAGAATTGCTATGCTGGATCACTGCTTAACAGCAACCAACCAAGTTCAGGGGGGTGGAGATTGCATAAGGAGGGCAACATCTGCCTTCTTCTGTTATTTCCTGCATGAGGTCAGCAAGAGATCCTTATTACCTTGGCTAATTGCCCCAGCTGTACTGGTGCCCCATGTAGCCATCCAATCCCTTTGAAAAGCTACTTTTGCTACTTGGGACCAAACACTCTTTGTGTTCATTGAGTTCCATCAGTTGAGTTTTCGTATCACGGGAATAACTTCCTGTTCTCGTAAATGTGTCCCCATCAATTTCAGCCACTGTTTCCACCTTTATGCATTCTGACAGGTAATCGTTTTTCACTCTCTGTTCATCACTGATGTGAGGGATGAAGGGCCTGTGGACCTCCAGATGTCGCTGAACACAGCTCCTATCATCCCTGACTATTAGCCACACTGAGGGCCACATGTTCCCCATGCCTAATGTATACGTTACTCATTCTTGAGAGAGAAACCATAGAGTGCAGGAGCGAGAGCGTGAAAGACTGTTAAAACTGTTGAGAGAGAAAGCAGAGTATGAAGGCTAGAGTGGCAAGAGATCCATGGCCAGTCTCTCTCTCTCGCTCTCTCTCACCTTCACTCCCTCTCCAACCCAGAAATAAACAGAAGATTTCAGAGGTGGGAGCATCCAAGAAATTTGAGGGCTGCATTCAAGCCCACCTCTGATGTAGTCCAACATTTTGTTTCCACCAACAGCCAACCAAGTGTTTCTGAGCGCTCACAGGTGGGCCAAGAAGTTAATAGCGTCCCCTTGTTTATCCCTAGCATTTGGTCTTGGATATAGATTGTCTCTGAATATGGAAGTTCCATTTAGCTATCATGCCTGATAGCTATTGCTCTATCTATTGCTTAGGAGCACTGTTCTCTAACAGGCTTTTACCAATTTTCACATCGAGGGGATTTTCATTTTCAGTGAGCATGAATGTTGTGGGAACTCCAGCTCCCATCAATCCCAGCCAGCACATCCAGTGATCATGGATGTTGGAATTTGTAGTCCAGTAACAGCTGGAAGACCACAGGTTCCCAATCCCTGCTCTAAAGTCTGGATAGAGGTGATTCTTATTTGTTAGCCATTCCCTACTCCTATGCGGCCTCATCCTTGTTTTGAGCCTCTTTTTCTGGCTGTCCACAGTATTATGATGACACCTTTCCATCTATGAAGGAACAGAAGAGTTTTGAAAGGAATGTCTTCAACAAGACCCACAAGACTGACAGTGAGTATGCGGCCATTAAAGATAAACAAACAACCAGCAGCCTCTAGTACCACCAGACACTCAACCATAGATCTCCTTGGCTCTTCTCCTTCCCTTGAGAAACAGAGACCACATCTGCACTGTACATTTAACGTAGTATTGTGTCACTTTAAACAGGCACCGCCCCCCAAAAGAATTCTGGGAAGTGTAGTTTGTTAAATGGGCTGAGAGTTGTTAGAAGACTCCTATTCCCTTCATGGAGCTACAGTTCCCAAAGTGGTTTAACAACCAGTCTTTCTTCTTAGTTCTGTGAGGGGAATAGGGGGACTCTCAGTACCCTTTAAAATATTACAGCTCCCAGGATATGTTGAGAAAAGCCATGACTGTTTAAAGTGGTATGATATTGCTTTAAATGTACAGTATAGTGCAGGTAGGACCAAAAATATTTCCATCAACCAAGAGTGAAAAGAGACACTTGGAGTGACAAAGGGACAGGTGATGGCAATGTGGAGTGGTCCAGCAACTGGCCTAAGTGATGGAGAGAGATCAAGAGGAGGACACATTGCAGAAGGTTTTTCTGCGCCGCGGAAGAGGAGGAGTATGGGGTGAATTTGGCCTGCACTCCTGAAGCAAATTTAGTTGCTGGTATGGAGACATATTTACCCCAAGACAAATCCACTCCGCTGGTTTGCATTTCAAATAGGTACTCCTGTAGAAATGTTAGCCATTATCTGGAGAGGAATAAGCAGTCTTTAAAAAATAAAATAAAAACCTGCCACTTAGAAGATGTTATGCCAAGCACAATCTTGTATGCTCTAACTGTTAGAAACCTATGTGTGTTGGACAAGGTGTTTGCCTTATCTGCAGTCAGACATTGGCAGGCCTCCTTTTGGTCCCTGTTCTGGGTGCAGTCAAGAGAAAACCCCTTCAGCTCTGGGGCAGCTTGGCACACCCTTTAAAAGGTAAACAAGCTCCATCTCAGTCAGATGGAGCCCATCAGAAAAGACCTGGCTGACTCAGATTCCATCCATTTACAACTGCAGCATGGGTAGAATTAAATTGTTAGAAATCATAAAAAATAAATCAGAAATAAGGTCACCAGTCCACAAGCAAATGAGGCAGGGCCTGATGGAGTTGTAAGGTTCTCGAAGGTGGGATAGCTCAGTTGGTAGAGCATTAGACTCTTAATCTCAGGGTCGTGGGTTTGTGCCCCACGTTGAGCGAAAGATTCCTGCATTTTAACATTGGGGGTTGGACTAGATGCCCCTCGTGGTCGCTTCCAACAATACAATTCTATGATTCTAAGAGCTTTCCCGCTTCTCTCTCTAAACATTATTTCTCTTTCTTGTTTTCCTCAGGTGAGATTGCTTTTTTGGAAGGCCTGACCATTGTCTATAAAAGCAGCATTGATCTTTTCTTTTATGTAGTGGGCAGTCCCCATGAGAATGAGGTAAATACTTTTTTTTTTTAGCCAGCAGGTAAATGAGCTAAATAGTGACTTATGTAGCCTTAAGTGATATCTTGTACTTCTTATTTTGTGGTTTCATTGCCTTTCATTTCTGTCCGTCCCGTCCCCCCAAATGTTGAACAGAAAACAGTTATAGGTAGAAACCACGAAGAGAAAGGTTCTAATTAAGCTTACACATGACTTTACAAATGGACAGGACTCTGAGTAAAGATTGCACAAAGTCATCACATTGCCAAGTAATAGTGCTATGTTTGCTTCTGTTCCCAGCTAATTTCAGAAAAACAAAGCTACAGCAAAGCTTTGGGGCCCCTACGTGAAAACAACCTATGTTCTGTCTGCTCTGTGTGTTTCTAGTAGATGGTCAGGGAGAAATATAGTACATGTTTAAAAGATCACTTGATTTTGTTTTTGTTGACATGAGTCTTCCTTTCTTGGTCCCACTTTTTAATAGCTGATGTTGATGTCCGTTCTTACCTGTCTCTTTGAATCTCTCAACCATATGCTGCGGTGAGTATCATCATTAATCCCAGTGGAGATCAATGAGATTCTCACAAAGTGGAAGGGACAAAATAAATAATCGCTCTGATCTGTTGCCCAAAGATAGTATGTGTGCCCATGTGCTCGTAATCCAGATCATAGGTAAAGGTAAAGGGACCCCTGACCATTAGGTCCAGTCGTGGCCGACTCTGGGGTTGTGGCACTCATCTCGCTTTATTGGCCGAGGGAGCCGGCGTACAGCTTCCAGGGCATGTGGCCAGCATGACCAAGCCGTTTCTGGTGAACCAGAGCAGTGCACGGAAATGCTGTTTACCTTCCCGCTGGAGCGGTACCTATTTATCTACTTGCACTTTGACGTGCTTTCAAACTGCTAGGTTGGCAGGAGCAGGGACTGAGCAATGGGAGCTCACCCCGTTGCGGGGATTCGAACCGCTGACCTTCTGATCAGCAAGTCCTAGGCTCTGTGGTTTAACCCACAGTGCCACCCGTGTCCCCAATCCAGATCATAGTTTGGTACAAAACAGAGGATGGGCATATTGTAGCTGTAGAACAAAGAACATAAGATGGCTCAAAGAAGCAAGTGAAGCTGCATGCTACAGGGAATGGCAAAACTATGAGAATTTCTCAGTGGATTGTGTCTATTGCAATAGCAGATTAACAGTATCTCCAAGCTCAAAGTGCTTTCTGCTTTCCAGAAAAGCTTTTATTGGCAAGATACGTTCCTTCCCAAAATGTTCCCCTTGATTTATAGGGTATTTTAATGGACTGTCTCTTCAAATACCAAGAAACTGGTAGCAAGAATCTGCATCTGTGATTGTTTTCTAGGTGCCCCTGTCATCAAATGTGAAGCTGGTGACAATGAAGGAGAGAGCCTTTTCAGTAGTGGCACCCTGCCCATGTAATACTGACCTTAAGGAGGCTTGCGTACCATCCATTTTGCTATCACTTGGGCAGCACTCCTTTTTATTGTCTGAATACAATGAGAAACTCTGCCCCTTTGCAGAACTCTCACCATCCTGGTTGTTCTCCTTCTGGCACGCTCCAGTTTGTCAAGGTTCTCCTTCAAAATATGGCACCCAAAACTGGACACAGGTCCCCAGATGTGGCTTGACTAGCACAGAAATGACTCCTAAACTAGTTTAAATCTAGTAGTGTAGACATGTTCCTGGTGCTCATAGTTGCCTTGCCTTGTCTTGTATCTAGAAAGAACGTGGAGAAGCGAACCCTGGTGGAAAACATGGATGGGGTGTTCCTTGTGGTGGATGAGATCGTTGATGGCGGGTGAGATCATGTGGAAGGGGAGAAAAGGGAAATGAATTAATTTGGCAGATCTCAGCAAGCTGGCTCATGTCACCCTGTTTTAAATCTGGAGTTAAAAGGATCTGCCATAGCTCATCCAACTCACCGAGATTCAAACACTTGCTGAGTACCTAAATCACATTAAGGAATCCAGTTAAAATGTAAACACAAGTAACAAAATGTGAGCTCAATTAATTCATGTTTTACAAACAACCCATTAGATGTGTTTTCTCCTACTTTTTGAACTAGTAAGAGACTCACAATTAAAGGTAATTTCTCCTTTTCAAAAGGCAGAATTGCAGTTGATGCATTGCTCCCTTGCTTGAGGGAAATGAAATGAAAAAGGTTTCACAAAATACCAGGAGGAAGGGAGGAACTTTGTGGGAGTTACTACTTTTGTTTTTAAAGGCTCTCATAAATGTTCTTACACTGCCATGGTGCAGCCTAGGGAGAGATCAGATATAAAATGAGAACAGGGCTTTAGAAAACAGCAGCGCATAAAATAAATGTCGCCAAATGGCACAAGGAATGCCATGGTGCTGTTCATCACTGACAACAGCCAGTAAGCCACAGCTACAATTGCATAAATTGTTTCTTAAAAGAAATGCAGTGTGTGGCAACAAAACGTTGCCTTTGGATCAGTAGTGTAAAGTGCTTTAGAATCGCTTCCCCAAATGCTTCTGGATTCCTTGCAACAGCTGCATAACAACTGCATAGTTCTTGCCAGAGACACAGATCAAAATCTCCCTTCCCAAGATGTTTCATTTTTCTTCTCCATTTTAGTGTGATTTTGGAAAGTGATGCCCAGCAAGTCATCCAGAAGCTGAATTTTAGGGTAAGTGGTCTGTCCCTTCCTTCCTTCCTTCCTTCCTTCCTTCCTTCCTTCCTTCCTTCCTGTAAATATTCTCTCATCTCTGCACTTTATTCCCTTGCTCATCTCCCTGAACCTTTTTCCACCTCAGACAATCCCGGAGCCTGCAGCTTATGGCTTTGTTCTCTTTGATTACATCACGGGTAACTCCGAATACAATGAAATTTTGCCCGAGAGGCTCTACAAATAGCGAACTGTTCTCGCAAACAGGATGCAGGAGTAAGACTTGACTTCCTTCTAAGCATGTCACTTTAATGCAGCATGGCAGCTGACTGGGTTAAAATCGTCCTGCTTCCTTTATCCCCCATTGCAAATCGTCCGGGGAGATTCTTTCTCTCCTTTCTACCTGTCTGGCTTTTCCCACACCTCTAGACCCTTTTTGGGGCTGTGGCTAAAACTAGCTTGTGTGCATGTAGGAATGGAGGGGGGCACAATTGCAAGAAAGCAAAAAAAGCCCAGATACTGTAAAGCCCTAGACATTTTGATCTCATGGTACCATTTAGGCCAGAACCTGTGTGAAGCCAGCACTCGCGCATCTCTAGCCAGCTTATATCAAATTACTGTTGTTATAAACACACACAATGGTTCTATGAGATTGTATGTTGTTGGCAAAAAGGAGGTGGCTGGGTAAAGAAGTAGGAAGCAAAGGTAGCCAAGGGGATGCAAAAGAGACTGAATCTGCTATAGGGCACAAACAAAACCTTTGTATTAGCAGTGGTTGCTTCCTTGCCTCCCAGGAATGCAACTTTTTATTATATTTATTTTAAAAGAGGATTTCTGAACTGCCAGTTCATTAAAAAAAAGAGTATACAGTAAAATCATTAAAACATTATAAAGTTTCAAAGTAAATTAAGAAACGACCAACACAGAATCAAATTAATTCTCTAAAGAGGCTTGTGGAAAGAGAAATGTCTCTAGCAGGCAGCTAGACAACAGGATTGTGGGTGCCTTCCATTGCAGACATGGCAAACTTTCTGCAATTAAGGGAAGAGAAAATGGTGCAGTTTTATTGCATTTTACATAAGTGTCCTGCTGCGAACGGGTTGTTTCTGTCTTCCATCCCATGAGGATGCTGGTGGAGGGATACTATAATTAAAGCTAAATAAATGATTTTTAATAAGTGGCCAGAGGGGTAGCCTATATTTGTATAGGATGAGTCAGCCGCAAAACACAGGCAGCATGTGTGTGTGCCTGGTATGATATGGTGTATGTGTGAGCTTCTAAGCATGCTGTGTCAACAGCAGTATTAAACTATGTTCCCACTTCATCAGAATATGCACAAACACTCCCCATATTTGGGTTTGCTTTCCAAGTTTGTTTTTTTTAAGGAGGACATGAGCCTGCAGCATGGACAACTTTTGAGTGTAACAATGCTCTCGATGTTAAATATCGCTGCTATTCGTCTGGTTTTGCTCCTGTGATGGGAAATAGGATCGGGAGAGGATATGTAATATCAGTAGCCTGGCTTCCAACCTTTAAGGGCTCTTGCAGAACTATCTCTGCATGTGTTGTACCCACCTCCAGCAGCTATGGGGGTGATTCCGTTTATGGCCTGTTTCACACAGGAGCCTGGTGGTGAAAAGCTGAGTGACTGTGGCTGGTAACAGACCCAAGAACAGCTAATGGAATTAGGCACAGGAGGAGCCAAGTCAGAGGAATGGTCCATTTGGTTCATCATTGTCCACAGTGCGTGGTTGCATATCTCCCATGGTGTCAGACAGAATCTTTACCTAGGGATGCTGGGACAGTGAATAGGGTCTTGCACCGAGTTAAAAGCCACCTCTTCCTACCCCCTCTCAGTGCCACCATTGCCACCACTTGCCTGCTGGCTGAGGCATCGATGGAGGGAGAATAATCAGGCAGGAAGCAATGAGGTCCAATGTACACCGCTTTAGCTGCACATTGAATTTTATTTGCCATGTTACCCTATTGGCCCGAATATAAGCCACACCCGCAAATAAGCCACACCTTTAAAATTTGGCGGCTTGGGGGAGGATTGGGAGCCGTGGACAGGATGGGTGCCCGTGCTCTCGGCTGCTTCCTCGGGGGGACGGGGGGGCGAGCCACGCTGCTTTGCCAGCGGTATAAGGTTGCAAATATAAGCCACACTTTAACGTTTCACGATTTGAACTTGGAAAAAAATGTGGCTTATATTCAGGCCAATACGGTATTGTCCATTTGGAAAATACCTTTTGGGATTCTTTACTGTCTGTCTGCTTGGAATTTTCCCATCTTGAATAATTTGAAGTTGTCTGCAAATTTTGCACTACCTCATGGCTTTCTTCCACCTCCAGATCATTTATGAATGTTAAAACACTATTCCAACTATTCCACTATTCCAAATGCAATGTGAAGATTCCCTCCAATGTGAAAACTGCCCATTTATTACTTCCTCCTTCTCCCTGTTCTTTAATCCATTACTGACCTGTCAAAGGACCTGTCCCATTATCTGGTGACCGCTAAGGACCAAACTAGATGAAGAAACCATTCACAGAATTACCAGCTGTGCGAATGGCTTTTAAAAAGCAAATGGCAGGCTCATGAGGCCTGATCTAGATCAGGAATCTGGTGTGGGAATTTCGGAGGGGGGTTGCACTTGCTGTTGTTATGGAAGAAAAACTCCCATTCATGCTCCCTCCCCATTCACTACAAAGAGGCATTTGATCTCGATTGGGACTGCAGAAGGGGGGAAAGGGTTAAAGCCTAACTTAACACCCATCCACCCACCCCGTGCCAGGAGCCTAATCCAGATTGTGGGGGAGTGGGCTTTTTTAAAAGTCATGCACACCGTTGATAATTCTCTGAATGGTGCTGCATCCAGTTTGTCCGTAAATTTAGTTAGGATACAATCCCATGGTCCCTGGAAAGTCATCCTAGGGGCCATAGGATAGAACAGAACAGATCCCTCTTTCTTCCTGCAAAGAAGGGGATCTGCCCTCACAAGCCTCCCAGTTACAGGTGCAGAAACTTTGCAGCCCTTGTTGCTCTGCTGTCAGAGGTAACAACAAGGGGTGGGGGGGCAGATAAAGTGAAAAACACCATACTTCCCCGCCCTCAAGCCATCACCTACCCACCTTTTGTCCTGGCCAGTGCAAGACTGGATGAGTTTTTTTCTATCTCTGCTTCTGAATTAGTTCTTCAAGAGATCTCCCAGAAAAAAGCTGCCTGGGTTGGCCTGGGTGTATCTCTCCCAACACTTAGTCATAAATTTTGTCATAATGGTCTTTAGCTGCTCAATTTCTCACTTGTGGTATATTTAAAGGAAATGTCATTGTCTGTGTCTTCAGCATTTTGCTCTTCAGATCCCCTTAAATTTCCTCACCTTTCCCCTGCCTGTTTTTAGGTGGATGACAGCTCTTTATCTGAACACAGTGTCACTCAGGTGAGTTTACTCTGGAGTTTCTCTTGCATGCAGGTACCCTGCTCTCAGCTGGCGGTGTCGTCGTGCGGATTAGTTAGACAAGTGGGACCCGCAACAGAATGTTGCAGTGCAGAGTGCAGCACTTCAGGATTCCAGCTACTCCCTGCTCCATCCCAACTTCCTCCTTGTTTTCCCTTCTTCCCCCAACAAAAACTTAAGTGTGCTAAGTGTCTAGAAATTGTTCTAAGATGTTTTATGGGGCCCCTCTTCCTGGTTCCAGCTCCCAGGTTTTTCTGTGTTTCTGCAAATATTTGGGTATCCCCAAGCCTGCCTATACCTATCCTCTCGTGCGTGGACAGTGTATTTTGACTACCATATTTTTTGCTCTATAAGACTCACTTTTTCCCTCCTAAAAAGTAAGGGGAAATGTGTGTGCGTCTTATGGAGTGAGTGCAGGCTGCGCAGCTATCACAGAAACCAGAACAGCAAGAGGGATTGCTGCTTTCACTGCGCAGTGATCCCTCTTTCTGATCTGGCTTCTGAGATTCAGAATATTTTCTTTCTTGTTTTCCTCCTCCAAAAACTAGATGTGTCTTGTGGTCTGGTGCGTCTTAGAGCGAAAAATACGGTATATAAGGATTCGCACTCAGATAATGAGTTTGTTAGTAGCATGTAAGATGTGTGCCAGAGGCAGTTATGGGTATTGTCTGTGTGGTACGCAATATTTTCCCACAGGCATGCATGCCCTCTCCCCCAGCAAAGCATATACTTGCCTTTGCAAACGTGCAATTAAAACTCTGCTGGGGAAATTTCTGCGGGGAGAGCTTCAGTACCCAGTCTGCCCAGAAGCAGCTTTTCTTTCTTAAAATTGGCATCGGGACTCTACTGCATGTGTTTGCACAGAGTGCGTGTATGACATCAGCATGTGGCCATAGAGGCGTGTATGTGAGAGAGGGAGGCGGAGAGTGTGTACAGGATACAGAGTTCAAAGTGAGAGACTGCGCTGTTTTCTCTTCCCACAAACCGGAAAGTTGCTTCCTGAAACCAGACCCTGTTCAGCCGAACAAGAGGCTGAAAAATGTTGGTAATATTGGTAGCAATCCTGCTCCACCTCCCCTAAGGTTTCTTATCCCCCCCCCCCATCTCACTAGCTATCTCCTTACAGGCCGTCTTCTCCAAGTTAATCCTGATGGCATAGATCAAGAGGACAGGGGGTGGGTCCCTGGCAGGTCTCCTAACACCGTACTAACTGCCTCTTCTTGTCTGCTGCCTTAGAGTAAGTAGTTGGCAACATAAACCCCTCGAGTCTGCGCTGCTGCTTTCGCCTGTGAAAATATTTCCCATTTTAACCCAGTTGCTCCGATCCATAGAACGAGAACCATTGCCTAAAAAACGACCTGCGTAATCAATGCTCGACTATCCCAATGAGTTGACGTTCGCAGTTCCGGGGACCAGGAGACAGGTCCTCAAAACTGGGGTGGGAAGGGGGAGATAGAAGAGCGTGGTATAATGTTTGAGCCTACTCCCTGTTTGAATGTTACTTTCTTGTGGCTGCTCTTGCCAAGTCTAACTGATATGTGGCTGTTTCATTCAACATTTTTTTACATCTCCCAATTCTCTGTGGCATATTAGGGGTATACTCAATTTTGTCATTTTAATTTTTTCACAGTGAAAGTGTCTTGGTGGGAATTTTCACTTGCTTAACTATTCCACACGCTGCTTATTGCCTGTTTGAACTAGCTTGTTTTCCTTATCTGTAGCTTTTGACACCATCCAGCCAAGGATCGCATAGGTAGTGTGAGGCCATCAGGTTTCATGCAGGAAATGGCTGCATGACAGCTTCACAAAGCCAAATCAGAATGAAGGCAGAGAGTTCTGCTTTCACTCTGAATAGGCTCCCTGACGATACTGCATAGCCCATCAGATTATGCTAAGTGATGATACTAAGCAAGAATGAAGGGCAGTGCTTTCTGCCTTCACTCCGAATGAGAGATCATTTTGGCTGTCTTTTACAGTGCCTCCTGAATAATTGTCGAAATGGGAGAATGCAATTTGTAGCTCGACAACTTACGACATACATGTACCCTACATATCTATATGGGCTTTATCTAGTTTGAGAATCATGGGTTGTAGTTTGATTTGAATGCTAAGAATTCTTCATTAGAGATTTGCAGCTTTCCGCACAGGACTACATCCCCCAAGATTCCTTAGAATGAGGGAATGAATATTAAGACAGTTTAAATCTGTATTAGCCTATAGGGCACACTTGTAGCCAACTGCACCATTTCGCATAAATAGCGCCATGGGGCCACATGTTGCCTAGCAACTGCAAGCGCACTTTACATAGGTCTAGCATCATAGCTGGGGAGAAAGTCGAGGAGGGGGTCAGGGGAGAGGGGCTGGCACTAAGGGACACATTACAGTGAGGGACAGAGGACATGCTGGGGCCCAATATCCCCTTTGTCCACAATGGGGAAACTAAAGGGCATCACACATAAATGCTTGGCATATCTCTATATGCACCAATGTTTGCTTAAACATTGTGATCAGATTACTGTGGACATGATATAGTTCATCTTTTTTAAACAGAGGGAGAACTCAGATAGAGTTGGGAAGTCCTTAGCATCCAGTTGCCCGGGCCACCACAAACTTTTGTGTCTGTCCTAGAGCCTGATTTTGCATTCATTGATCACCCCTTCTTCATCTAAAAGACACACCTGCCCCCTGGTGTTCAACTAGTTAGGTTGAGACACTTCCCAAGATTTGATTCCTTTAGAATGTTCATCTGGATTTAGCTCCCAGAGCTTTTTTTTTAAAATGGCAGTGGCAGATGTGACACCAGACTAACAAACATCAGCATGCCTCTTGAGTACGTGCAGAGTGCCTTTTCCATAGCTTTGCATAACTGCAATTGGCAGCTGCGTATTCAGGACTGGAGGAAGATCTTCCACGTCAAAAGAAATGACTCCCAATAGGAATGGGGAATTGGACTCCAACTCCCATCAGCCCCTGCCAGTGTGGCCAACACAATGCAAGTTGCAGTCCTACAACACCACATGTTTTCCTGATTTACAGGGTGGTTTGAACCACAGTATCTGCTGGTTGACTTGCATCTACATCGTGCATCTGGTTGACCGGGATTATTAGAACACATGTTCCACAATGCATTGCTTTCTGTTTGAGAGATGCTGTGTTTTGGATGATTGGGGTGGAGGGAGTGTTGAGGGTGGTAGTGCTGGGTAGTCCTGCCTCATAGGGTCACATTTGGTCCGGTGATCTTTTGGCTCCTGCGAATTTATTTCTGGACTTGCTCTTTGTTAACCATCTCCCAAGATGAGCTTGTAAAGATGCAAAGAAATGCAAACAACAGATCCCTTTAGTTTTAACTTCAGAATGGCTAATCAAATTGCCCCAATGCAGGGCCTACAGATTCCCCATGCCTTTGGCCTAGCCTGTTGGCAAAACACTGGAGATAGAAGCAATTAATTGTTCTCATTTTCTCTCTCTCTCTTCCCCCCAACTTGTTCATAGGTTCTGCAGTCTGCCAAAGAACAAATTAAGTGGTCCTTATTAAAATAAAGTCACCCACAGCAAAAGACACGGCGTTGGAGAGTTTTGTTTTTACATTTTCTCACATTGCTCTGTTCTTCTGAGCCTTTCCCATTTGCCCCAAAGGATGAGGATGGAACCTTTCAGTGGGTACAAGTTGGTTGGCTGACAAGTGGAGAGAATGCTAATTTCCCAGGGACTCATCTGTGTAACTTTGGAGGGCTGGGGAAAGTGTGTGTGTATTTTAAAAGTGTTCTAAACAAAGTAATAGAATCATCTATTACAGCCCTTCCTATTTTTGGACTACAACTCCCATAATTCCTGCTAATCGGCAGTTCTGCCTAACACCTGCATTATTGGAATAAATGTAATGACATGGTAAGCCTGAAAACTCAAATCAGGCTGATCCATCTAAGTAATATTTCAGAGGTGCAGTTTTAATTTAATTTTTTTTGCTCTGGTTCCTTCACAATTGCTGCAAATATCCCACTCTAAACTTCCCTTGCCTGACCTCTTCTGGGATATAATGACATTGCAGTCCCGAGATAATCATATCCTTTCTCAGTGCCTCCCATTTGTTCACGTGACAGTAAAACCTTTACTTGCAGTAAAGACTTGCTTATTGTTCTGAACAAAATGGACAGTTGGGCAATGGCAACTGTCCCTCCTCCTCGACCCCCCAAGCACAGTTGCCAACTTGCATTCAATAGAGAAGTGCGAGGCAGAAGCCATGGCACTGGGTCTTGGCACTAAGCTATTTTGTGGTAGAGGGTTGGCCATGGGACCTTGGTCTTCCAATTTACTACCTTGCTAAAGTGGTTTACTGGCAAAACTGGTTGCTTAGTGTGGTTCTGAGCTTCATGACAAATGACAAATTTAGTACTGCAGCCCACTGGCCTCCAGTGTCCTCTTCAGTCTTTCCTACCTGCCAGGTGCAGCCATTGCACTATTGGTGGTGGTGGTGGTTGTTTTATAATGAGCCTGTTTCTGTGCATAAAGAGCCAGCCCAAGCTCCCAGATCTGCTCAGAAACTTCCAGTTAAAATACTCAAGGAGTGCAATGCAAATGGCGCCCCAAACAGAAACACATGCTGTGCACACAGGCATAATCCCACAGAAAGTTCTCTGCAAACCCCTTTGAATTGAATTGTCCAAGAGGATGGCACCTGTGTGGAGCTGCTCTAGGAGAACCTCCTGGAGGACTTGAGTCCCATGGAGTGACTCTTGTCTCGCCAGCCCTTCTCACTCGGCAACAACCATTTGGGGTGGCCACCTCACCTCGCCTATCAGAGTTGGGCTGCCTCTAGTACACAAACAGGCTCCACCCTTCCTGCGTGTCTGCTGCAAAGTGATATTCTTGCACTGCTCCTGTAGACCACAGTGGGGTTTACAGACTTGTGCTTGTTCAGTCTCCCCTGCCTTTCCCAGCTCTGACACCCAAATCGCCAATAATTGAGACATAACAGTGTTCAAATCCTGCTGACTCCGCTTTGACCCTGCTCTGGATCTTGTCAGTACGATGAACCCAACTAGGCCTGCTCTCCACATCCAAGCCTATGCATGCTCCTTAATGGTCTGTGCACTGTGTGCCTTGCACAGCTCAGTGGAAGAACACAGGCTTCTTCCACATTCGTCTCAGGCATAAACAGGTAGGGATGGGCGAGAATCCCGTCTGAAACCCTGCAAAGCCACTGCAGTGTAGATGGTAATAATATTGAGTTAAACGGTCTGCTTCCAATTTTCATGTGTTTCACTCTACCAAAGCGCCAAAAAAGCCATTCACAAGGGAATGTGGAACGCTACCTTATACTGAATGAGACTATTGTAGCTTCCCTAACAATGACTGTCATTAGCTCTCCAGGGTCTCAATTAGGAGGTCTTTCTCAGCACTGCTGGAATACACCTGAGAAGGCCCTCTTCCTCACAGCCAGGCATAACACATCAGTCTCCAAATATTTATTGCACACACAGGTTGATGCAGGGCTGAGAGCCAGTGCAGTGAGGTGAACTGAGTCTCAGCCTAGGGCCTGGGTTCAAATCCCCACTCAGCCGTGAAGCTCTCTAGGTGACCTTGGGCCAATCGCTGCCTAACGGACAGGGTTTTGAGGATTTAATGAGGAGCAGGGGGAACCAATGTATGCCGCTTTGGAGAAAAAAAGGGGGATGTAAATGCAATCAATAAATGAATAAAATAAGGGTGGTTGTGGTTCCTCCTTTGTTAAATTCCTGTGTGTATCAGGGCACTGGATCAGGGCCAAGTGACAGCCCTAACCTGGTCTTCCCATTGCCTTTTTGCCTTGCACATCAGAGCATTGGATTGGGTTCCGAGGCTGAACAGAGCAGTAGTCTTCATTCTCCCCAAACAGCAGGGAATTGTAAGTGAAATCACTGTACCACCTCCCGCCTTGCCACTACAGAGCCTGGTTTGGGAAAGGTTAATAAGTCATCCATAAATGACTCCCCAGCTACAGGCCATATGATGCATTTTATTGTACTTAAATATTTTTCTTTCAGGGGCCGCCTTGCGTGCAGCTTGCCGCGTGGAGCCTAAGTTTGTTGTTTTTGCAGCAAGATTTGGCCTTGCTCCTTTATTTATAGCATGGGCGGGCGAGGATGGGGTGGGTGGGTGGGGTGGGAGGACATAGCATTTGTTTTACATTAGGACCAAAGCGAGCGCTCGCGGCCTAGTAGATGAGGAAACTTCCTTCTGCATGACTCCATGGCCAGTGTATGTAAATACACCAGAAAAAAGGGGGGGCGTGGGTCAACAGGCGCCAGAGAACTGTTTTGATTTGAAAATCACAGGGAACTGAAACACGTCCATTAAAAAGACACGGAGGGAGGAAGGGATGTAAAATTCTGCATCTGCTTTTCTAACATCTGGAGATTGTAACAAAATCAGGTGCTAGGACAAAAACCTTTCCGGAAGGCACGTTCCCTCAGCCCAGGTGTGCAAAAACGATGGCGTAGCAATATGCTCTGAATCGGTGTTTTTCAAACAGCAGCCCAGGATGTGGGCTCATTTTCAGGTGGGCTTCGGTATTATGGCCTGCCAGTTCATCCTGCCTTGCCTGTCCCAACCTTCTAGCTGTGCTGTAGCCGTTGGGCCCGACCAAGGTTTGCACCAACAACTTCTTAAATGCTGAGTAAAGACGGCTGGAAGACTGCAATTGCAGGCTGGGGTGATGGGAAAGGGCCAGAGGAGGTGTTGAAGGAAATCGCAAAGTGATTGAAGTTAGATATTAGAAATATATTTATTATTGATAGTAAACAAACAGGGAATAGAAAGGAATGGGTAAGAAAGAAAAGGTATTCTAGGAAAAGTAACAATGCAAAAGGACAGGAGAGGAAAGATGAAATAAACTAGTAGGGTTTTTTTGCGGTGTAGGGGGGATAGGGTACAATTTGCGTGTGACGAGAGTGGGAGAAGAAATCACAGAAGACAGGTAAAATATTTTTAAGAGACGTGGGGATGGGAAGGGAAATAATATAAAACGAAAAGGCTTTTCCACTTAAATCAGCTTAAAATGGAGAGGCTGAGTCACAACACCTCAAGAGCAAATGCCTGTTCTTAACTTGAGGAAAGCAGAGCTGTGGAACTCCTTGCCACAAGGGAAATTGTCCTGGCAAAAGAACAAAGCAATTTCCAAGGATTGATTAGATATCAGTAGAAAGAGAAGTCGGTAACAGCCATCTATCTCCATCTAACACTATTTTGTGACTGACAGGCCCCAGCAAACTTCAGTCCTCTCAAGTGGATCCTGAGGGCAGAAAGTTTGAGAATTGCTGCTCTGATTTATATGCTCTTCTACAACTAAATTAATCTTTTGAAGCATTAAAAAAAAGAGGCGAATTCGATTACAGCTGCTTTCAAGAGGAATTGTGCATCATGCTAGTAAGCAGAGTTGCTTTCTCCGGTAATTTTAGACTTAATGGTCTTACAGGGCAGAGGCTCTTTTAATGTGTACTGTTTCACTTGCTTAGAAAACATGGTCAGCCAGGCCTGTTTATTCTGCTTGGTGGGGCCCTGGGCTTCTGCTCCCAAGTCCTACACCGACAGCACCACTGCTAAGAAGGAAGAAAACAGGATGGGAACGATATATTAGGATTAAGAGAGGGCGAAAAAACAAAGTTGGGGTAAACAGCATCAGAAAAGGTGGGAAAGGAATGAGCTGGTGCAACTGTGGTTTGTGAAGCCATGGTGGTGGAAACTGTATTGATAATAGCTTGCTGGGGTCCAATCACGATCCTCCCCCATTGCCCTTGGTGTGCAATGGCATCCTGAGTGACAGACAAGGTTGCCTGATTCAGCTGTATGAAACTTATCCTATGGAAAGCAAAGGTCCTTAGCACCCTCTCCTGGCCTGCTGCTTCTTCCACCACCCTCTCCCTCTTTAGAAACACAAATTTGTCCCTGGGATCAGGAAGCTGATTTGTGGTCCTGCATCGCCACCTACTGGCAAACATTGGTCATGTCGTTTCACATTTGATCCACACAAAATCCCAACAGTTTCTCATCAGCTGGGTTCAGGCTGTGTTAAGCCCCTGGATTTGGGTTTTCACTGCCAAGTGTTTTATCTTTCCTGTTCTGAACTGGGATGCTTTTATGCTGCTGTCTTAGGAGGTTGTGTGTTGCACACGTATTAATGGAGCATGTCAATAGCAGAGTGTATCTGAGCACGTGCGGAGTGCATTTCCCTCACCTCCAAGAAACCTTAGCTGGCTTCTGCACATCTGGGATGAAGGGCTTAGTGCTCCCATGTCAGAGATAATGGCATCCAAGCAGGTTTTGGGCTTCTCTTTCAGGGAATTAACCAAAGGGTTTTAAACACCAGACACCTGTCACTGCTGCTTATAATATGATCATGCATGGTGCTATATGAGGAAGGAAAACACTGGATAAACTGCTGAGCAGTGAGATGGGATTCCCTGTCTTTGGTACTGCCCTTAGAAAAAACGTATTGGTTAGGCTTTCTATGCCCTGTCCTGTTTTCTTCCACAGAATTGGTAGCAGGGTGATTCCCTAGAAGACCAGAAAGCTGAAATTTATAGTTCAATACTCAGAGGCTCTTAATCTCAGGGTTGTGGGTTTGAGCTCTGTATTCCTGTATTGCAGGGGGTTGGATTAGATAACCCTTGTGGTCCTTTCCAACTCTACAATTCTATGATTACCAGAAATGAAATGCAGATGTTATCAGCCACTTTGTAAAGGCTTTTTTTGCCATGAAGAGCTGGATACAACTCCCTAAATAAATAAATAAATAAACAAATAAAATCATAATAGCAGAGAGCAGCAGGCAGCAAGCCCAAGCTTTCCACAGACTGCAGCTGTGTGGGCTCCCCCTCCTCATCACTAGGGGAACCAAATGCAAACGAGGACAGGGCTCCCTCATCTTGAAGAGGGGATTCCACTAGGTTTAGCTCATCAGGCAGGAACAGAGCTGGAAGTTTGTCAAATTTGCAGCAGTAATCTGGAGCTTGCTTCTAAGAAAACGTCAGAGAAAACACTTGGGCTCTGATCCAGCCAAGGCAGAAGGAGTACAGAACAGGCCCAGCTAAGGACTTGCATAAGAAATCTAAAAGGCCC